GTCATGGCGTTTAATAAAGTTGTATACCCATTTTTGCCCTACTAAAGCCTCATCCGATGCCTCCGGCGAGGCTCCTCGTTTCCGGATCAATATAGACGCCATTTCACGAACATGGGAAGGCCTGGGGGGAAGCCCTCGCTTATCCAAGGAGAGAATCCACTGTTCCAACGTCTCCTCCTCTGCAAGAGTCAATTTACACGAAACGACACGTATATCGCTTCGTGATTTGACTCCTTTAACGCGGTTCCAGAGGGTGGTTTGCGGAACGTTGAAAACGCGCGCTGCTTCTCGCAATGACGGAATTTGATCATTCTTTAAAGCCTCAATGGCTAAGAGGATCCTGCCTTCTTGTTCCTTACGTTCTTTTGACGATATAGCCATTTTGGTGGTTGATTTCGTTGATCAAAAGCCTCATGTTTTGGTGGAATGCGGAAGTCACGAGTTGGGCGTTCCACTCGCTTGCGCGTTCCGCTCGCTTACCGATTACGTTAGTTGTGCCAGCATAAACTGACTAAGCCATCACATGTCCGCCTCCCCTCCCCCCCCATACATGCATAGCCACCAGTCACTTTCCACGCAATCCCCTGAAGCAGGATGTTCACCAACTTAGGCCATCTTGTCTTGACTGTCAATTTTTATGGGAGACGCAATGCTATCTGACCTTTGTTAACCTCTTTGACAGAGTCTCCGAACCTCCATGGCCATCAAGAAAGTGCCAGTCCTCCCTTACCGGCGAGGCTCGGACGCCTCCGAGGCCGACTTCTTCGACATTCCCGACGAACCCTGCTTGGCCATCATCAAGCGGCAGCTGCGACACCTTCGGACCTGGGTCGCATTCATATTCTTCGTCCTCTTTATCCTCTTTCTCCGCCGGGAGAAGCCTCCGCCACCCAAAGTGACCCATATCGATTACAGCCGCGTGGACTGGTCCCGCTACGCTTACAGCCAATATGCCACCTCGAGCCCTTACCTCTGCAACGCGCTGTTGACATTCGATGCCCTTGATCGCCTAGGTAGCAAGGCGCAGCGCGTGCTCTTCTACCCTGAGAACTGGGATGTGATTGTCGAGAGTGATCGGGATCGGGATAGTCAAATGCTGGCGCTGGCGTATGAAAAGTACGGCGCGCTGCTGGTGCCGATTGATGTTCAGATGGTCAAGGCCGGAGCCGGTACGTTTTCTTCATACATGGATGCATGCATGCATGCATGCATAAATCAACGTGTCCATCATTTTCCAATCGCTGCTCGAAATCATACAGACGACTCACACTCATATCCTCCCATTAGGTCCAAGCGAATCCTGGGACAAAAGCACCAGCAAGTTCCTCGCCTTCGGCGAAACCGAATTCGACCGGATCATCCACATCGACTCGGACGCAACCCTTCTCCAGAACATGGATGAGCTATTCTTCCTGCCGTCCGCCCAGGTTGCCATGCCCCGCGCCTACTGGCAGCTCCCGGACACGCGGCAGCTCTCGTCGCTGCTGATCGTGCTCGAGCCGTCCTTCAAGGAGTTCTACGCGCTGACGGCGGCCGGCGAGGCGGTGACGTACGGGCAGGTCAACACGACCGGCACCACGACCGCCCGGTACGACATGGAGCTGATGAACGAGCGGTACGGCGACTCGGCGCTCGTGCTGCCGCACCGCCAGTACGGGCTGATCACGGGCGAGTTCCGTGCCGACGACCACCGCGCCTTCCTGGGCAACGACTGGGAGGCGTGGGACCCCGAGCGCGTCCTCAGCGAGGCCAAGCTCGTGCACTTCTCCGACTGGCCGCTCCCCAAACCGTGGATCATGTGGCCGCAGGAGTTGCTGGCCGATATGCTGCCCAAGTGCAAGGTCAAGCCCGGGACGCTCCAGGAGAGCGGGTGCAAGGATCGCGAGATTTGGAAGAAGCTGTATGATGATTATCGACGGAGGCGGAGGGTGAGTTCCTCTCCTGCTATTCCCTGCATGCGTTTACTTGCAAACACATCCCCAAGCCTGGCGCATTACTTTCGCTAACATAACCCCTTTTCCATGAGCAGGACGTATGCAAGCTCCTCAGCTACCCGGCACCAAACTGGCCCCCACGGGACGTGCCCGAGCCTCCTCCCTCGCAGGAGGAAGCGACTCCACCACTCTCATGATTATCGCGTATACCATTCACGGGCTTTTTTTTGGCGCCATCGGGTGTTTCTGTTAGATTGGTGTGGGATACAAGGAATTTCTTTCAGTTCGAAATAGATTGTTGTAATGTAACTCTGAAGCATTTCTTGTGTGTATACTAGCCGCAGGATGGATCGGGACATATTGTGAATATTGTATATAGAGAAGGACTCGGTAGTCTAGTCACATGGCAATATGAGGTCCAAGCACGTTTCAAGCAGCGTGGGGACGTATCTGTAATGCTGAGCAATGTATGTGAGATCTTCGTCGCTGATGCAGGCATTGTCACCCCACAACATGGAATGTGCTAGGGAATTGAGATCAAAAGGAAAGGGTATGAGCGGACTCGGCAGTCAGTTGCATAGGTCAATTGACAAAGCAGTAGTCTACTGTGTATGCAAAAGAGTTTCTGTCTCACGTATGCGTATCGCATATAGTTATTCTACTTTGCCAATGGCAATCCCAGTCACGTCACCAGGGAAAGGGTCAGATTTTATGAATAATTTGATTTTGTTAATTAGTTCACCCTGCGCTGTTAGGAGACAGCGGCTAGCCAGTTGAACCGGCACTAAGGGAACATTCAAGGTAAGAGAAACGCTCTAAATCTATAACGCCCAGCCCAAAGATATCGTCTATCGTTATGTTGAAATCGCATCGTGGCTGTTTATTTCCATACCTTCACGATGATCAAGGTATCCCATCCGATGAAAGGATAACAAATGTTGAAAGTGGTAAACCGCAATGACCAGTGCCTAAAATGAGGGTAAAAAGGGAAAGAAGCTAAAACATGGGTATCACATCGAATCTAAGCAGAATCCTCCACGGGTCCGCAGGTACAGAATAGGTTCTGGTCACCGTAGGCTAGAGAGAAAAGCGAGTTAGAAGGATTGTTCGATGGTAGGGGAGGGGCGTTATGAGCTTACCATCATCCACGCGCGTCACCGAAGGCCAGAACTTCTTCTCCACCAGGTACGGCAGAGGGTAGGCCGCGGTCTCCCGGGTGTATGGTCGGGTCCATTCTGTGGAGAGGAGGTCGCGCTGCGTGTGCGGCGCCATCTTCAGGACGTTGCCCTCACGGGGCTGGGAGCCGCTCTCGACTGCGGCGATCTCCTGGCGGATGGAGATGAGGGCATCGCAGAACCGGTCGAGCTCGGCTTTGCTCTCCGACTCGGTCGGCTCGATCATGAGAGTGTTGGACACGGGCCAGGACATGGTCGGGGCGTGGAAGCCGTAGTCCTGGAGACGCTTGGCGATATCGATCGCCTCGATGCCACAAGTGTCCTTGAACTTGCGGACATCGAGGATGAACTCATGCGCGCAACGGCCGTTCTCGTTGGTGTACAGGATGGGGTAGTGCTCCTTGAGACGGGAAAGGATGTAGTTGGCGTTGAGCAGCGTGATCTTGGTGGCGTGCGTGAGTCCCTTAGCACCCATCATGTTGATGTAGTTGAAAGTGATGGGCAAAATGCTGGCACTACCCCAGGGAGCAGCGCTGATCGGGGGAGATGAAGTCTCGGAGCGCTTAGACTGGAGGTATTCGCTAACCGGGTGAGAGGGCAGGAAGGGCCGCAGGTGCTCGGCAACACCAATGGGACCGACACCGGGACCACCACCGCCATGGGGAATGCAGAAGGTCTTGTGGAGGTTCAGGTGGCACACGTCAGCACCAATCTCTCCTGGGGAGCACAGACCAATCTGGGCATTCATGTTGGCACCGTCCATGTAGACCTGTCCACCGTACTTGTGCACAATCTCACAGGCCTCCTTGATACCAGGCTCGTAGACACCAAATGTGCTGGGGTAAGTGATCATGATGGCAGCCAAGTTTTCTTGGTGCTTCTCGCATTTAGCCTTCAGGTCCTCCAGGTCGAGGTTGCCGGTTTTGGTGTCACACTTGATAGTGACAACGCGCATACCGGCCATGGCGGCACTGGCCGGGTTGGTGCCGTGGGCAGAGACGGGAATCAAGCAGATGTCGCGCTTCGATCCCTCGTGGGCCTCCTGGTACTTCTTGATCACACGCAGTCCAGCGAATTCACCCTGCGCGCCAGAGTTCGGCTGCACAGTCACTTCAGCCATACCGGTGATATCAGCAAGTTGCTGCTCCAGATCGTCAATCATCTGCGTGTATCCCTTGGCAACATCGGCGGGCATAAAGGGGTGGATCTGAGAGAACTCGGGCCACGAGACAGGGATCATCTCAGTGGTAGCGTTCAGCTTCATGGTGCAAGAGCCCAGGGGAATCATGGAATGAGCCAGAGACAAATCCTTAGACTCGAGGTGATGAATGTAACGCAGCATTTCGGTTTCAGAGTGGTGGGTGTTGAACACAGGGTGTGTAAGGTATTCCGACGTCCGCTCCAAGCTGGCGGGAACGGTTGCCACGGCGAGTCTCTCTTCCAGAACGACCTCACCCTTGGAGGCATGGTCGGCGAAGATCTGGAGCACAGATCTCACCTCCTCACGTCCAGCAGTCTCGTCCAAAGAAATTCCAACCTTAGTCTCGTTAACGCGACGAAGGTAGAAGTGCTTCTGACGTGCGGCAGACATGATAGCGTCGGCTTCTTGGGTGCTAGGCAGGTCAACAACGACGGTATCGAAAAGAACGCTGCCATCAGTAGCGTTGGACTTGACAGGAACGTTGTAGCCCAATGCCGCAAGCTGAGCCTGCAATGTAGCGGTCATAGACATGATGCGCTGCGCAATAGCCTTCAAGCCAGTCGGGCCGTGGTAGACAGCATACATGGCGGACATGTTAGCCAGCAGAGCCTGGGCAGTGCAGATGTTACTGGTGGCTTTCTCCCGACGGATGTGCTGCTCTCTGGTTTGAAGGGCCAATCTCAGAGCACGGTTGCCCAGACGGTCCTTAGAGACGCCCACGACACGACCGGGAATCTTGCGCTTATACTTGTCGATACAAGCGAAGAAGGCGGCATGAGGGCCACCGAATCCCATGGGAACACCGAACCTTTGGGCATTTCCGAAAGCGATATCAGCACCAAACTCGCCAGGCGCCTTCAGCAGAGTCAAGGCCAGGAGATCCGTGGCCACACTGAAGGTACCTCCAGCACTGTGAATCGTGTCGCTGAGGGTCTGGAATTCATACACTCCGCCCTCTGTGTCAGGATACTGTGCCAGAACACCAATCAAGTTGTCACCCTGCTCCTTGACCAGCTTGAAGTCGTCCGCCAGAATATCTCCAACAACCAGGTTGATGCCAAAGCCCTCCGCGCGGGAACGCATCACAGCAATAGTCTGAGGGTGGCAAAGGTTCGAAACCACGTAGGATTTTCCGGGCTTCTTCTGCTTGGCCATGGGCATGGTAGCCAGAGACATGGTCATTGCCTCCGCTGCGGCCGTGGCTTCGTCCAGGACGGAGGCATTGGCGAAGGGCAAGCCAGTGAGATCGGCAGTCAAAGTCTGGAAGTTCAGAAGAGACTCCAAGCGACCTTGACTGATCTCAGGCTGGTAGGGAGTGTAGCTGGTGTACCACGCGGGGTTCTCGAGGACGTTGCGCAGGATCACTGGGGGAACAATAGTACCATAGTAGCCAGCACCAATGTATGTCTTTCCCGAAACATCGATCTGTTTCCGGTAGGTGTCGAGCAGTTTGAGCATATCTGTCTCACCCAAGCCACCGTGCACACTGTCGCGGTACAATTTAGCGTTGGAGCTCGGAGGCGACACAGACAAGTCCTTCTTGGAAAGGATGTCCGCAGGAAGGACCTGCTTCACGAATTCGTCGAGCGAAGCTACTGGAGGATCTAGCGTGGCCAGCATCTCCTTGGCCGCATCTGGAGCAGGACCGATATGGCGTCTGGGAAATGTATCGAGGGGCTGGAAGAGATCGCGGGGGTGAGGATCACCGTGGTCGCCAATGGAGCTGGTGTATACATGACGACGTGCAGAGGACTGTTCGGAGGAGGTAGTGTGGAGAGAACGAAGGATAGGTGTAGATACTCTGCGCGCAGCAATTGACGAAGGAATTGAGCGCACTCGCGTGCGCAGAGCGAGCTGGCGAGAGCCACGCAGGGCACACCAGGACGCAGCCATAGCTACGGTGGTGATAGTGGTGGAGAGAGTATGGAAGTATGTAACGAGGAGAAGGAAGGGAGGGACAGAGGGAAGTATGAGATGATTCAAGTATAACAAGACTCAACACATGAGCCGGCACGAGGAACTGAAGGAGATGAGAGGATGAGAAAGAAAGGAAAGAGAAAAGGGAGATTGAGTTTCAAATAAAAAAATTAAATACAAGGGCGCTCAAGAAAGCAAGCGAACGATAAGTTAATGAATACCTCACTGAATACCGCGGACGATTCGGGACCGTGGCGGGAAACTCGCCTCGCACCCGATATCGCCCTTCAATTCCTCCCCGCAATCCGCGATAAGAAAAGCTCCCCCCGATAAGCTTTCATTTCCCGCGGGAAAGTCGCGTCGTATCTCTCTCTCTCTCTCTGCTTCTTCTCCGCCATCTTCTGATTCCATCCAGGCCATTTGGTGACAATTCGAGGTTTCGAGGCTGGAACTTCAGAAATATCTTTGGCAAACAACCCCCATGAACATCGCTGTTCAACTACTACTCACGTACAAAGCTAGAAAAGCATGATTTCATTTCGAGATGTTTCCTCCGACTTATGATGCAATTGTTCCGAATCACTACTTAGTATACAGTTGGTGGCCAATTCTCATAGTCCCACCTCAACCCGCAACTCCCAGCTCAAGACATGATGATCATCAAGCTGAAGGTGGTGGCAACAGTAGCTGGCTGTAGGTGTACTGTAGAATATGGGATCATCTCGTTTAAGCTCGCACTGGGAGGCATATGCTCTGTGTCCTCGGGACCAAGTTCCTGATAGTGCAAGACTGCCCGGCCTGCCCCTTGTCTCCAGGTAGCCTCAGGCCGTAATCAGGCACACATTTAGCACGTGGGGTACAATCACATGATAGTCGCTTATCATTTGCAAGGTTTGCACTCCCCACGGATTGCCTTCCCGATTGAGCCTTTCTCAAGGAAGATTTTCTCCCCCTCGGTCAGACAGGTCGTTGCGACAAACACCTCAGCTCGTTCATTTCCTTGCCTTTATCGCCTTTTCTCACAAATCTGTTCTTTACTGGGGCCACGTGTTGTCAAAATGTCTCCCGTTCCGATCCCCCCGCCGTCCGACGACATCGCGACTCTTCTGCAGTCCGTCACGCCCCCGACGATGCCCCCGCACCGGTCGCACGACCCCTCCAACAACATGAAGCGCAGTGACCCCTTCCAGTTCGGCTCTCGGTACCTGGAGCAAGGAGATGATGTTTTCGAGTTCAACGCATGGGATCACGTGGAGCCCGACGACGAGTTCAAGGCATTTGCTGAGGAACAGTATGCCAAGCAGCGCGACGCTCCAGTATCGGAGTTCGACCGCAACCGCTTTAACGCCGACCCGGCCAAGTGGTGGAACCTCTTCTACAAGAACAACACGTCCAACTTTTTCAAGAACCGCAAATGGCTGCGCCAGGAATTCCCGGTTCTCGACGAAGTGACTCGGGCGAATGCGGGCAAGCAGGTCGTGTTGGAGGTCGGTGCAGGCGCCGGAAACACCGCTTTTCCGCTGTTGGAAAACAATGAAAATGAGGAGTTGATGGTCCATGCTTGTGACTTCTCCAAGACCGCTGTTCAGGTTATTCGTGACAGTCCTAAATACGACACCAAGCACATCACAGCGGACGTATGGGATGTGAGTGCTACTGGGGACGATTCGCTGCCTCCTAATGTGGCGGAAGGATCGGTCGATGTCGTTGTGCTCATCTTCATCTTCTCTGCCTTGGCTCCCAATCAGTGGGAACAGGCTATCCGTAACATCTACCGCGTCCTGAAGCCAGGTGGAAAGATTCTGTTCCGCGATTACGGACGAGGTGATCTTGCTCAGGTCCGTTTCAAGAAGGGCCGGTACATGGGCGAGAACTTCTACATTCGGGGCGATGGTACGCGCGTGTATTTCTTTGACCGGGATGAGCTCGAGAAAATGTGGGGTCAGTGGACACCGGAGAAGGGACTGCCCAAGGGACTTGTGGCTGAGGCAGAGAGCACCGCCACTGACGAAGCCGCTGCTACTGAAGAGACAACCGCTAGCGAACAGCAAGGCGTCTTTGAGGTGATGAAGTTGGCTGTCGACAACCGACTGATCGTCAATCGTCAGCGCAAGATCAAGATGTATCGTTCCTGGATTCAGGGGCACTTTGTCAAGACTGACAAAGCTGCTGCTGCTGACAGTGAGAAGAACGAGTCTTGATTGTGCATGCAATCGACTAGAGTGTTACTACACCGCAACCTTAGCGAGATGGTGGCCATGTGATACGGTCATACCGCGCCCACCACATCGGCGTTCACCGTTAGGTGAGCAGCTTGGTGGTTCATACTGAGACTCGTATTCTCAGTCACGGACTGTCGATACATATCGGCTCCATGGCACCATGTCCGCGCGTGAGAGAATTTATGTCGTTCTTTCAATTGGCATCACGACTTTTTCCATGGTGGATGCTATACTAAAGTATTCCATTCTCCAGTTCAGAACTGTACGAAGATACGACCGACACGATCAATCCATTAGATCTAGATTAGTTATATAGAGAGGAATAGAGCATCAAACCTGGTATTGGCTCAACGAATACATTGTCCATAGTTTACATCAGACTTCAGCTTCCTCGCTGAATTGATCAGAGAATATAGTCTTTGGTCTTGAGTCACACTGCACTGTAAAGTGTGGTTGACTTCAGGTCCTTGTCTTGTGGGCTTGGCAAACAGCTTTTGTGTTGCGGGGTGGAACCGAACTTGGCAGCGGCCGGAGCTTGAAGTATATATCTTGGAAATGATGAGCGCTGAAGGAGTCGTACTTTAACATGCACCTACCTAATTTTATGATGACATGCTGTATAGCATATGCTATAGGCTACATAACCGTGGGAGTAACCACAGAGAGGCATTCCGAGAAAGTTGGTGATGATAGTGCAACCTTATTGAAAATGCGACTCCTCGGCTATATGGAAGGGAGAAGGCTATTTGCAGGTGGCGGGTATTTGTATGCCGGGTTATGATGATCTCCAATCACTTAAATCAGGCACGTCTTTCCAACTATGCCACTTGCTGTCACCTTAAATTGTTCTTGCACACGAACAAGATACACAGTCGATTTTCAACTTCAATTCACAATGTCTCGTATGAATGGGTTAGCACGAAGACTCTACCTTGGCAGGGACCTGCGAGGATCCCTCCTCCGACGTCCAGCCCGCTGCGGCTTCTCCACTACTACCACGCGCCCGTTGATGGAACTGACTGGCTTTACGGAGAACCAACTGACCGTCCGAGATGCCGTATCGGCCGTCTGCGCCAAATTCCCCAACACCTACTGGCAAGAGTGTGATCAAAACGAGCGCGATCCAAAGGAGTTCCACGCCGCCCTCGCTCAGGACGGATGGCTAGGCATTGCGCTGCCAGAGGAACTTGGGGGTGCTGGACTCGGTATGGAGAGCCGATTTTCTACCTTTGGCTGATGGTTTCTTTTCACTAACAAAGGGTTGGACAGGCATTTCGGAAGCAACGATGATGATGCAGACCATTACTCAATCGGGCGCAGGTATGGCCGGCGCCCAGGCCATCCACGCTAACGTGTATGCGACACAACCGCTGGCTCGGTTCGGTACGCGTGAGCAGCTGGAGGAGACGATCCCCAAGATCATCAACGGCACGTGGCGGACGTGTTTCTGTGTAACGGAGCCGAACACGGGCCTGGAGACGCTGAAGCTGAAGACGCTGGCGACCAAGATCCCCTCTCGTGATGCCTACTCGGTGACCGGGCAGAAGATCTGGATCACCTGTGCGCAGGTGGCCGCGAAGATGATCCTTCTAGCGCGGACTACACCGCTGGAGGAGGTGACCAAACCGACCCAGGGCCTGTCGCTGTTCTGCATCGACTTGGACCGCGATCAGCCTGGTCTGGACATGCGCAAGATCAAGAAGATGGGTGGCCGCGCGGTGGACGCTAACGAGGTGTTCTTCGATCAGTATACCATCCCGGCGAAGACGCTGATCGGGCAGGAGAATGACGGGTTCCGCATTATCCTGCACGGCATGAACGCGGAACGGTGTCTGCTGGCCGGCGAGGCCCTGGGATTGGGCTACGCGGCGCTGGAGCGCGCAGCGCAGTACGCCCAGGAGCGAGTCGTCTTTGGCCGGCCGATCGGGCAGAACCAGGGCATCGCGCACCCGCTGGCGGATGCGTACATGAAGCTCGAGGCGGCCAAGCTGGCCACCTACCATGCGGCGCGTCTCTATGATGCATCGCACAAGGACGAGAGCATCCCCGCGCACTCGGTGGGTGTGGCCTGCAACAGTGCGAAGTACCTGGCGGCCGAAGCGGCTTTTACCGCGTGTGAGCGGGCGGTGCTCAGCCACGGTGGAATGGGTTACGCGATGGAGTACGACGTGGAGCGCTACCTACGCGAGTGTCTAGTTCCTCGAATTGCACCGATCAGTCGGGAGATGATCTTGAACTACGTGAGCGAGAAGGTTTTGCAGCTGCCTCGGAGTTATTGAGGGGGGGAGTTGGGGGGGGGGGGGGGGCGAAACAAGTTGAGTTCGTCTACAGTACATATCAGACATATCATAAATTGACGACACGAGAGTGGCTTTGGCCTTTGTGCGGTGACAGGGCCTAGATTTTTTTGATGCAGGATCTGGCCTGGAGATCGTCGTTTTTTTGTTGCTGTCGCGCAGTGTTTGCTGCTCTCGGATGCGGCGCATTGCAGGCATAGTCCTGTTTCCGGCAGGTTGAATAGAAAGCGTTTTCCCAATCGCAGCACTGATTGGTACTGGAACAGAAAAAAAGCAAAAAATGGCGCATAAAAAAAAATCGAGCTCTCCACTTCTGGAGACAATGGTAGAAAAACTGTCGGGGCGTTCAGGGAATCTGGAACTAAACTCAGGAACGCACGGTGAGAAAGGCGTTCGAAGAACCAGGGAATTTGCCTGCCATTTGCGGCATTTTCTCCTCCTCCGGTCCTGCTCCGTAAACGATTTTGTCCTTGTTGACGACGGACTCAGCCAGGTATCTCCAGTTGCAAAGAAAATAAAAACAAATACTTAATGATGATTTGCAAACAATTTCTTTTTCTGCGAGGATGCATTAGTGGAAATTGAGAAAAAGCAAACATACTCAGCTAAAAACAAAAACAAAATGATACAGCAAGGCAGTGATTCGTCAATTGCGGTTGAAGATTAATCCATGGCGGCGGCGGCGACCTTCATTTTATTATCTTATTTCCTTATGGATTTTATTATCTCTTGATTTGGCTAATTTAATTTTTCGGTTTGGGGTCGGCTGTTCCGCCCTTGTCATGGATTGGTTCTTTCCGACTTCTACAACACTCCATCATCCATCCATCCTCCTCCTCCCCAATCTTCAACTAAACTAAACTCATCTTGTCCCGGCCTGACTTTCCCCGTTATTCACTAAACAATGCTTAACTTGCTCCATTTGCCCCGACTAGCTGCTATCGTGGGTCTTTGACCTACAGCAGTTCCGCTCTGGCCCTGCGCCTTTTTCTCTCTCTGCCCCCCTTCTTCTCCCCTCGTCGTCACCGATCGGCAGGCAACCGCAGGTTCCCCGATTTCGAACTCCAACCCTCACTCCCCCCCCCCGGCTGTCATCCTTCCTCCCCTCCTCCTGACTTGTTGTCTCTTGGATCTTCTAGATACTTTCCCCCGAAGTTCTTGACATCTTGACTGACGATCACCCCCCTCTGATCCGTTTACTTTGACGGAGCGAGCTCCGTGCGGTCACACCGCAGGATGTTTTCCTCCATTTTGCGATGGGCGAATGCCGTCACCTCGCGCATTCCCTGGGTGAAGAATTTGCGCCTGAACTATATTCTCATCCATTATATGTACATCTTCGCTACAATAATCCTCACCTCGGTTATTATCTACCCCGGTACCAGTCTCGCCTACATCGATGCCATCTTTCTCTCCACTAGTGCATCTACCCAGAGCGGCCTCAACACTGTCGACCTGAATACTTTGTACACCTACCAGCAGGTATTCTTGTACGTGGCGTCTATGCTGACTACCCCCATCTTTATCAACACCGTCCTTGTCTTTGTCCGGCTTTACTGGTTCGAAAAACGCTTCCAGCACGTCGTCCGCGATGCTCGAGCCCTTCGTTACACTCGCTCGCGCCAACGCACTGTGACTGACGACAAGAATGTGGCGAGCTATGATCGAGAGGAAGCGGGCGTGGGGAACCGGCCTATCGTGGTGTTGCGGAATACGTTAGGTCGGGTCCGTTCGCGAGGTCACAGTATCAAGTCTCCCGAGGAGAACAGTTCGCCACCGGAATCGCCAACCACTCGACGAAATGTTGAGAACAACGCGGAGGATGCAGAAGCGACATTCGCGCGGAAGCTAGCGTTTGGGCTGGGAAATGGGGTGGGGAGTCTGCGCGTGCCCGCGCAACTCAGTCCCGAACACCACATCGCATTCTTGGAAAACCAGCGGAGGAATACAGGAGCCCTGCGGATCCCAAGTCCTCGGGAGTATGATCGAGGTGGTGTGCCGCAGGTGCTGGAAGAAGACGAGAATGTGGTAGCCCCTGCTAAACCCACGGCGAACGACTCCGACGAAGAACGGAGTCCGGGTGATACCAGGGATGGATCCGAGGAGGATGAAGAGGAGGGCAGGAACAAGGATGGGGACGAGGAAGATGATGCTCGGTCTCGCCGGATGGACGGTCCTCATATCACGATCAACGAGCCCGAGATGTTTCGCACGCGGACGAGGAACGAGACTTTTCCTCGCATGGACTCGCGCCCGACATTCAAGGAGACGAAGGAGGATCCGGATATCTCACCACTAGCCAGATCTACAACACGGCGACCCACGTTCAGCAGTGTCTTCCGATCCCTCACACAGGAGCGGGAGCGGCCTACGCAGCCTTATCTGAGTTGGAATGCCACTGTCGCCCGTAATTCCAACTTCGTCGATTTGACTGAGGAACAACGAGACGAGCTGGGTGGTATTGAATACCGTGCACTGAAGACCTTGGCGGTAGTGCTAATCTCCTACTATGTGCTGTTCCATCTTTTGGGCATAATTTGCATGGTCCCATGGATCATGACTACTCATTGGGGATCGGTGGTCGAGCAGGATGGCCAGGGCCGTCCTTGGTGGGCCATCTTCGTGGCCCAGTCGGCCTTTAACGATGTGGGCTTCACTCTTACCCCAGACTCGATGGCATCCTTCCAAGGGGCCATCTTCCCACTGTTACTCCTGGGCTTTCTGGTTGTCATCGGAAACACCGGGTTCCCGTGTATGCTGCGGTTCATCATCTGGGTCTCGTCCAAGGTCGTCCGTGCGGAGACACCCTTGTGGGAGGAATTGCGCTTTCTCCTCGATCATCCCCGTCGATGCTTTACCCTCCTCTTTCCCCGGAATGCTACTTGGTGGCTCTTTGCGATTTTGGTGCTGCTGAACGGAATCGACCTGGTCTTCTTCATCATTCTTGACGTGAGTTGTCACTTCCACTCAATATTGAATTAAACTAACAAGTGCGCTAGCTGAACGACTCGACTGTTACGTCCTTGTCGCCAGGTCTTCGGGTCCTAGATGGTCTATTCCAGGCAATCTGCACGCGTACCGCTGGTTTTACGGTTGTCTCGATCTCAGACCTGCACCCCGCGGTACAAGTGTCGTATCTGATCATGATGTATATCTCCGTGTTTCCAATTGCTATCTCCCTGCGACGCACCAACGTCTACGAGGAGAAGAGCCTAGGGATTTATGGCAATGGGGATGAAGATGAGGGTGATGATACCCAGCAGACGGCACCCAGCTACATCGGCGCTCACTTGCGGAAGCAGCTAAGTTTCGACCTGTGGTACGTGTTCCTGGGGCTTTTCATAATCACCATCGTGGAAGGCGGGCGCCTCCAGGCGCAGGATGACTACTCGTTTCAAATCTGGTCAGTGCTGTTTGAGGTTGTGTCCGCGTACGGCACTGTGGGCATGTCCTTGGGATATCCCGGAATCAACGCCTCTTTCTCCGCCGAATTTCACGTGCTTTCCAAACTGGTCATCATGGCCATGCAAATCCGCGGCCGGCACAGAGGTCTGCCATACGCGTTGGACCGCGCCATCTTGCTACCTTCGGAATCGCTCAACCAGAACGAAATCGCCGACGCAGAGAAGCGTATGCGTCGCCGTGCCTCGAGTCTCAGCCAGATGTCAATCGACCGTGACCGCGATCAAACCCAGCAACGGAATCCGCCGGAGCAGAGCGCCACCACGGGCCATGATCCCCGGGATCATTACCCTCGGCACTCGATGCAGGGCGACGGAGTCATCCGCCGGCACTCAACTCTGCGTTCCCAGCGATCTCAACGTGTCTAAACCATTATCTCTGAACCATTACATATCGATGAAAGCTTATCATCTGTCCCAAGATATTGTTGGTTCTTATTGCAAGCGATGTGGGCAGGATCCAGCAGTCTTTAAATCGAGCGTTATTCTTAGCGTGTCTCTTTCCTTGGTAAAGAGCGTGTCGGACTTTTCGACTTCGCAATTTATACTCCATGTCGTTTACGGTGTTCATAAAGCAAATGGCGGGATTTGTACATAACAACTATACGTATACAAGATGTCGCTGGGATTGTTGGGAGGGACTGGGCACAGCAGGCTGTGTCATGAAGACTCCAACCTCTTTGCATCGTTTCCTTTCTGGATGGACACTTCTATGAAGTAATGGGAGGTATATACACCTACCTACCCTTTTGGTCTTTCTAAACAAGAAAAGAAAGGAAGAAAACCAGTCCAATGGTTATTCCTCCATCATTGTATTGGATCCTGTATATTCTTTGATTCTAATGCCTGCCTTTCCAGCCAGCTCTACTATACACGCACAGAAGATATAAAGACTTATCGCAAGGTGACCAACTCCTCCGCACTGGTGGGGTGAATGGCGACGCAGCTATCGAAGTCCTTCTTGGTGGCGCCCATCTTGACGGCGACGCCGAAACCCTGGAGCATCTCGCCGCAGCCCAGACCCAGAATGTGCAGACCCACAACCTTCTCCTCGGGGCCGGCGCAAATGAGCTTGAACTCGGTGGGGTTCTGCTTCTTCTCCTCGGCCGGGTACAGGTCGTAGTACATGGCGGTGAAGCGGGTGTGGTAGACCTTGATCTGGTCGTCGCCGTACTTCTGGCGGGCCTCGGGCTCGGTGAGACCCACGGTGCCGACCTCGGGGTGGGAGAAGACCACGGTGGGGATGTTGTCGTAGGAGAGCTTGGCGGTCTTGAACTCGGGGCCACCGAAGAGGCGGTTGCCGAGTTGGCGGCCGGCGGCGATGGCGACTTTTGAAGTGTTAGTTTGCTTTGGTTTTTTTTTACGGGGTTGAAAACATACCAGGAGTCAGCTCGGCCTGGCCGGTGACATCACCGATGGCATAGACACCGTCGACGCTGGTGTTCTGGAACTCGTCGACGACGATGTGGCCGTTGTTGTTCAGCTTAACGCCGGGGATGTCCAGGTGCAGGTCCTCGACCTCGGGGACGCGGCCGACGGCCCACAGCAGCTCGTTGACCTCGGTCTCGGAGCCGTCGTGGTGGATCAGCTTGAGCAGCTTGTCCTTGCCCTTGCCGTCGCGGAGGAGCTGGACCTCCTTGAAGCCCTGGTGGCCCCGGTGGACGTGGATGCCGACGGACTCGTAGCGCTCGGTCATGGTCTTGGAGATCATCGGGTCGAACTTGCGCAGGAACTCCTGGCCGCGGATGTACATGTGGGTCTCGACGCCCACGGCGCCCATCACGCCCGCCAGCTCCACGGCGATGTACCCCGCGCCCACGACGGCGACCTTGGGCGGCAGCTCCTCGATCTCGAAAAACCCGTCGCTGGTGATGCCGTGCTCGGCGCCCTTGATGTCCGGGATGCTGGGCCGTCCGCCCGTCGCGATCAGGATGTGCGGCGCCGTGTACCGCGCCTTGCTACCGTCCTCCAGCGTCACCTCGATCACCTTGGGCTCCACGAAGCCCGCCCGCCCGTGCACCAGGTCGATCCCCTCGCGGCCCCAGTTGCGCTCGTAGATCCCGTTCAGCCGCTGGATTGTCGCGTCGCGTCGCTCCTTGAAGTACTTGTAGTCGATCTTCACGTCCTCCGGCACCGTGTAGCCGTAGTGCTTGGCCGCGTGCAGGTTCTCGTTGACGGAGGCGAAGTTCCAGGTCATCTTCTTAGGGACACAGCTGGAGATTTGGAGCAGGTCATTAGCTCTGAGATTTGACGGACAAGTGGGCATAGCTTAGAACTCACCCAACGTTGACACAGGTACCGCCGGAGCGTCCACTCTCCACGATCAGGGTCTTCGCACCATACCAGCCGGCGGCGCGACGGCCGCTGCCACTGCCACCACTTCCACCGCCTAGGACGATGTAGTCGTACTGCTGAACCTCAACGGGAGCCATGGTGTTGGAGTCGGCCGTAGCGGCGGTCGAGGAGAATTGCCGGGTTAGAGAGGTGAGACGTGCGATGGGAATCAGGGTAGGTCGCTGAATGGTAGCCAGCACGTTTCGGCGACTAACGACGGCGTTCGGGTGGGAGGCTGTGGTGATGCTTTGACTGCCGGGTTTGGGCAGACGGACGAACGAAGATGAGCCGTGAGAAAGCCGGTTCTTAAGTACCTGAGCTGGAAGGGAACGGAGAGAAGAACAGGTGCGCATTGGGAGGAGGGGTAGGAGAAAGAAGAGAAAGAAGAGGAAGGGAGAGGGAGGGAGAGGGGAAGAGGTTGAGGTCAGACGCCGAGGTGGAGGGGCAGAAATGGCACTGGCACTGGGACTGGGACTGGGTGGGGGGGAAGGCCGGCAATGACCGAGAGAGCAACGGGGCTGTAGCTCTAGTAGTCTATGATTCGTATATGATCACCAATCAGCAAGACACACTCGGGCAATTGACAGAGTTATCGCGATAGTAGAAAGTATACGAAAGGGCTGCTGGAGGGATGACAATTGGACCATTCAGAATTGTTCTGACGCCATCTGAGCTGCATTAAAACCGGACGGAGGCAATCAAAGCCCCAGTAATTCCCCGACTAACTATCGGCACGGTGCAAATTAGGTAAGCAGTTTTTATCCGGATTATCAATCCATACTGAGCAAATCAGTCAGTTAGTTATCAGACTGGTCTGGAATCTTGTCCGTCTTTCATCAGCTCTGCACCGGACCAGCACAGACCACTACCACAAATCCAGATGCTGCATAAATTAAATTGCTGAATGATATTCACAAGTAGTCAGTAATCATCCCGTGGCGGTGAGATGTCACTTTTCTGCTATCCATAATCCAAGTAGTCATAGATACAGTAGACTCGGCTCACCGCCCAGCGCTATTGCGCTGCAAGGCGGTGGCTATTCTGCCGGGTACTTCCGTCATCGCCCAGCAGCCCGGCTCATTTCACCACTCACCACTCACCACTCACTCTCATTCTCACCTTTTTTTTAGTTCGGAGTGCTGGAAGCTCGTTATCAGTTTGCGCCTCACTCATCAAAATGGACGGCACTGGATCTGTCGAGTCGCAATGGCTCACCCAGCTGGCAGCCATGCGCCAGGCCATCGCCGATCTGAAGCTTCCCTCAGACCCCGCCAAGGAACCCAGTTACGGAAGTGACCTGGAGCTGGATTTTGAAGATGATTATTCATCGCCCGGAACTATCGACGACGACATCTGGGATATCATCAGCTCAGATGATGAATCCAGCGAGGGATATGATGACTTTGATGACCTTCCATCCGCCCCGCTAACATCGGCATACGACCAGACATGGCTCGAGCAGAAGTGCCAAAGCTTGGCCTCCAACAAACCCGGTCTCGAGGCACACGACATTGCACAGCAGATCACAGCTGCGCTGGCCACCGATAGTGGAGATGACGAACTTCAGATGTCGCTGGCCGAAATCGTCGGATTCGACGATCTCGATTTTGTCATCGACTTGATCGCCCACAGGTCGGAGATCATCGCAAATGCGCACTCCCATGCACGCACAGAGGCCCAGACAGATGGTCTGTTCACTGGTAGACTCCAAACCAGGGCGGAGCGCGAGCAAGCTCTGCGGCAGCAGGACTACGAGCATAAGCATGCGCCGCTGTTGGAGGCACAAACCAGGACTGAACCGCATTATCCTCATGTTTTCAAGATGCATGAATCCAGAAACGTGCTTTCCCTTGGAGGGAAGAGGTATGGCCTGCCGATGGGTAGTAAGCAAATCGAAGAAAAGAAGTACACCGAGATCGAAGTCCCAGCATCCAAGACGGGCAGCCTGTTTCCCGGTCAGAAGTTGGTGCCGATAGCATCCATGGATGGTCTTTGCCAGGGTACCTTCAGAGGTTACAAGACCTTGAATCGCATGCAGAGTCTGCTCTATGATGTCGCTTATAGGACGAATGAAAACATGCTCATTTGTGCTCCTACTGGTGCTGGTAAAACAGATGCCGCAATGCTAACGATCCTGAACGCCATTGGCAAGAACACTATCCCAAACCCCATCGAGCAGCCAGATGCAACCGAGTTTGCGGTGCAGCTGGAGGACTTCAAGATTATCTATGTGGCCCCAATGAAGGCTTTGGCAGCTGAAGTCACCGAGAAGCTGGGGAAGAGGCTCGCTTGGCTAAACATCAAGGTTCGCGAGTTGACGGGTGATATGCAGTTGACCAAGCGAGAGATTGTGGAGACTCAGATTATCGTCACTACCCCTGAGAAATGGGATGTGGTAACCCGAAAGAGCACGGGCGACACGGAACTTGTACAGAAGGTGCGCCTGCTTATTATCGACGAGGTTCACATGCTTCATGATGAGCGTGGTGCCGTCATCGAGTCCCTGGTAGCCCGTACCCAGCGTCAAGTGGAAAGCACACAGTCTCTCATTCGCATTGTCGGTCTGTCCGCTACGCTGCCCAACTATATCGATGTTGCAGACTTTCTCAAAGTCAACAAAATGGCTGGTCTGTTCTACTTCGATGGATCCTTCCGCCCTGTACCACTAGAGCAACACTTTATTGGTGTTAAAGGGAAGCCTGGCTCTAAGCAGTCGCGTGAGAATATCGATGTCGTAGCCTTTGAGAAGGTCCGCGATATGCTTGAGAGAGGACATCAGGTCATGGTGTTTGTTCATTCACGAAAAGATACTGTCCTAACTGCTCGGATGCTTCGCCAGATGGCCAGTGAAGATGGTTGTGAAGGCCTCTTTAGCTGTCAAGAAGAAGAAGGGTACTCCAACGGCTTGGCAGATGTGAAGCGCAGTCGGGCTCGCGAGCTGCGTGAATTGTTCGCGGGTGGACTTGGAACCCATCATGCTGGAATGAGTCGCAGTGACCGTAACCTGATGGAGCGTCTATTTTCTGAAGGACTAATCAAGGTACTTTGTTGTACTGCCACACTCGCGTGGGGTGTCAACCTTCCCGCCGCGGCGGTTGTCATCAAGGGTACCCAGCTCTACAATCCACAGGAGGGTAAATTTGTCGACCTGGGTATCCTTGACGTATTGCAGATCTTTGGTCGTGCTGGTCGTCCCCAATTTCAAGACACTGGTATTGGGTTCATCTGTACCACCCATGATAAACTGAACCACTATATCTCCGCAGTAACGTCGCAGCAGCCGATCGAATCCAGGTTCTCGAGTCGTCTCGTGGACAACCTGAATGCGGAGATCTCACTCGGCACGGTCACTTCAGTCGCAGAGGCTGTGCAATGGCTGGGATACTCGTATCTGTTTGTTCGCATGCTGCGCGAGCCCCGGAATTATGGTATCGACTGGGCCGAGATTCGCGACGATCCGATGCTGGTCCAGAGACGTCGTCAGCTAATCATACAAGCGGCACTTGTCCTTCAAAAGAGCCAAATGATCATATACAACGAAAAGACGGAGGATCTTAAAGCCAAGGACGTGGGCCGCATAGCAAGCCAGTATTATGTCCTACAAACAAGTATTGAAATCTTCAACAACTTGATGCGACCACGTGCAACTGAAGCTGATGTGCTAAGCATGATTAGCATGAGCGGTGAGTTCGATAACATACAGGCACGCGAGAGCGAGTCGAAAGAACTCAACAGGCTACGAGACGAGGCTATCCAGACAGAAGTAGAGGGTGGAAACGACTCACCCCATGCAAAGACCAACATTTTGCTTCAGTCATACATCTCCCGCGCTAGAATCGAGGACTTTGCTCTTGTGTCGGATACCGGCTATGTGGCGCAAAATGCTGCTCGTATCTGCCGTGCTCTGTTCATGATAGCCCTGAATAGACGCTGGGGTTACCAATGCCAAGTGCTTTTGTCGATGTGTAAATCGATCGAAAAGCAAATGTGGCCTTTTGACCACCCGTTCCATCAATTTGACCTGCCTCAACCAATTCTTAGGAACTTGGATGAAAAGCTTCCAACGTCAGCTATTGAATCTTTGAGAGATATGGAAACGGCCGAAATCGGACAGCTGGTTCACAATCATAAGATGGGTAGAACGCTCGCAAAGTTACTGGACAACTTCCCTACACTAAGCGTCGAAGCCGAGATTGCACCACTGAATCGTGATGTCTTGCGGATTCGTCTTCTGCTCTACCCAGAGTTCAGCTGGAATGACAGACACCATGGAGCCTCGGAATCGTACTGGATCTGGGTGGAGAACTCGGAAACATCCGAGATTTACCACCACGAGTACTTCATTCTGAGCCGGAAGAAGTTGCATGATGAGCACGAGTTGAACTTCACAATTCCACTGTCCGATCCGTTGCCTAGCCAGATCTATGTCCGCGCGATCTCGGATCGATGGCTAGGTGCTGAGACGGTCACACCGGTGTCGTTCCAGCATCTCATTCGTCCCGATACCGAGAGTGTGTACACCGATCTACTCAATCTTCAGCCATTGCCTATCTCTGCCTTGAAGAACCCGATTTTGGAAGAGCTCTATGGACAACGCTTCCAGTTCTTCAACCCTATGCAAACCCAAATCTTCCATCTCTTATATCACACCCCAGCCAATGTTCTGTTAGGCTCCCCGACAGGCAGTGGAAAAACGGTGGCCGCAGAGCTGGCTATGTGGTGGGCGTTTAGAGAGAAGCCCGGCTCCAAGGTCGTGTATATTGCGCCCATGAAAGCGCTTGTGCGTGAGCGAGTTCAGGACTGGAAGAAGCGTCTCACAGCGCCCATGGGTCTCAAGCTAGTAGAGTTGACCGGAGATAACACTCCTGATACTCGGACAATCCGAGACGCGGATATCATCATCACAACTCCCGAGAAATGGGACGGTATCTCGCGTAGTTGGCAGACCAGAGACTACGTGCGTAAGGTGAGCCTGGTGATCATCGACGAGATCCACTTGCTTGGCGGTGATCGAGGACCTATTCTCGAAATCATCGTGTCTCGAATGAACTACATTGCTTCTCAGTCCAAGGGCTCTGTGCGGTTGATGGGTATGTCCACTGCTTGCGCAAACGCTAGCGACCTCGCGAATTGGCTAGGTGTCAAGGAAGGTCTTTATAACTTCCGTCATTCAGTGCGCCCTGTGCCTCTTGAGATTTACATCGATGGATTTCCTGAGCAGCGTGGCTTTTGTCCCCTCATGCAGTCGATGAACAGGCCAACATTCCTTGCCATCAAGAATCACTCGCCTGACAAGCCGGTCATTGTATTTGTTGCTTCTCGCCGACAGACCCGTCTCACAGCTAAGGATCTGATCAACTACTGTGGTATGGAAGATAATCCTCGACGATTTGTCCGTATGTCAGAAGAAGATCTGCAATTGAACCTTACTCGGGTCAAGGATGACGCTTTACGAGAGGCACTTAGCTTCGGAATCGGTCTGCACCATGCTGGTCTGGTTGAATCAGACAGACAGTTAGCCGAGGAGCTTTTTGCAAACAACAAGATCCAGATTCTGGTGGCGACAAGTACCCTTGCATGGGGTGTCAACTTGCCTGCGCATCTAGTTGTCGTAAAGGGTACCCAGTTCTTCGATGCTAAGATCGAAGGCTACAGGGACATGGACCTGACGGATGTATTGCAAATGCTGGGTCGTGCAGGACGTCCGCAGTTCGACACATCTGGCATTGCCCGCATCTTTACGCAGGACGCAAAGAAAGCCTTTTATAAGCACTTTCTGCATACCGGATTCCCTGTCGAATCGACTCTGCATAAGGTTCTCGACAACCACTTGGGCGCTGAAGTGTCCGCGGGAACCATCACCACGAAACAGGATGCTCTGGACTACCTGACCTGGACTTTCTTCTTCCGACGTCTTCACAAGAACCCATCGTACTATGGGCTCGAGATCTCGGCTGAGGAGCACAACACCATGGCTGCTCAAGCTATAGCGCAAGAGTTTATGATTGACCTGGTCGATCAGTCCCTCAGCGAGCTCGCCGAATCATCTTGTGTCGCTTTCGACTCGGCCACTGGCGATGTTGACCCCACTCCCTTTGGCAAGATCATGAGTTACTACTACCTCTCGCACAAGACTATCCGCTACTTGATGTCGCATGCCAAACCCAACCCCACCTTCCACGATGTCCTGAGTTGGATGTGCTCCGCCAGCGAATTCGACGAGCTGCCCGTCCGGCACAACGAGGACCTAATCAACGCCGAACTGGCGAACCACCTACCTCTCTCCGTCGATTCGATGGGCGACTTGCCCCTCTGGGACCCGCACGTGAAAGCCTTCCTCCTCTTGCAGGCGTATATGTCGCGCATCGACCTCCCAATCTCCGATTATGTTGGTGATCAGACCTCCGTCCTCGACCAGGGCATCCGTATCATCCAGGCCTCAATTGACGTCATGGCCGAATTGGGCTACCCGCACGCGTGCCAGATGTTCATGAGCCTCCTCCAGAGCATCAAATCCGCCCGCTGGCCCGAGGACTCGGCCTTGTCGATCCTGCCCGGCGTCGATATCACCAATCACACCGAGTCCAAGGGCGGCAAGAACAGCAGCAGCAGCCTCCTCCCACCCACACTTGCCGCTCTCGCCGCCCTCCCCACCAGCGCCATCTCCTCGCTCGCGCGCAAGCTCACTCTCTCCGCGTCACAAGCCCAGTTCGCCAAGGCCACAGCCTACCTCCCCAACCTTGCCGTCTCCATCGCCACCATCACGCCCCGCGGGATAACCGTCTCCATCGCCCGCAAAAATGCCCCCATGGACCGCGACTGCCGGATCTACGCCCCGCGCTTCCCCAAGCCCCAAACCGAGGGATACTTCCTGCTCATCTACAGCGCGAAGCCCAATGGCCAGGACGGGGAGCTGCTAGCCTTGAAACGTGTTTCATGGCAGACCGGTCCGCGCGGAAAGAGGAATGGTCACAACAGCAACAGCAGTGGCCGTGGCGCTGCTGGCCCCTCTGCTAACAGTAGCAGCGGCAGCATCGCCAAGAAACCCAATGAACGGCAGCAGCAGCAGCAGCAGCAACAACTGACAGTCCGATCCTCGGTCAAGTTCCCCGAAAACCCCGCGGCGCCTAGCACCAAGCAGGTCAACGTGCGCGTGATTAGCGATTCGTACCCGGGCATGGAATGGACGGTGACCCGGGTGGAGGTTCCGACTAGTGCTGCCGCCGCCACGGGAGCTGAAACGCAGAGTGTGCCGGAATCCACTATCCCTGAGAAGGGCCAAGAAATGATCCCTTAGTCTTTGTTTTGTTTTCTGTACATACTTTTTAAGATCTACAAGATTTTCTTTTTCTCAACTTTGGGAAAAATTGGTCGGGGTGATACAGTAGATGCTTGGGAAATGAATCATGAACATGACTAGAGTTTCAGGTATTTGTTTTGCTTGGATCTGGAAGAAGGTTTCTTGGTTTATTTGTGTGAAACGCGAGAGCATAAGATTTTCGGATTGTTAAATCAAGTCTAATTTGAGAAGGCTAGGGTCTCGGACCGTGCCTTGGACTGGATACCGAGGTGGGGGTATTTGGGAAACAGAAAGTATGGGGATAAAAATAAAAACATGAAGATGGGAGACTGTTCGAACCCCAGCATGACTGAAAAACGGCAGATATCGATCTGACAAAAGTAAGAAATGGGATATGTCACATGGAAATGGATAGAAGTAAGCTATCAAAGCATAATAGTATATGCTACCTGCGCTTGTAAAGGAGGGCCGGCTAAGAAAGAGAAAAAGAGAGAAGTCATCGAGCCAACCAAAGAAGGAAGATAAACCAAGAGTGTGACATAGGATCGTAAGAATGGACTAAAGTATAAGCTCGAATGTAAAGAAAATGTCAAATGAAGTTGCCGACACGGACGGTTCGCGTACTTCCAGGTCTAGGGCTCAGGTCCTCACCGTCTCGGAGGCGAGGCGGCGGACGAGCGATCCTGGTTTCCACGACCCGATCCGCGGCGGTGGTGTTGGCGCGGTCTAGCCGGGGCCGGATGGGGACGATCACTTGCTTCTTGCCCCTGGAGACGGAGACGGATCGAGCGATGGAGATCTCCTTGCCCCTGGAGACGGAGACAGATCGAGCAATGGAGATCTCCACGGTGGGGTGAGGCTTGTTCAGGTCTGACGTGCTGGCGTTCTTCCTCTCGTCGCCGAGTGGGAATCGTCGGGCTGCGATTGGGGTAGTGGTGACGCTGGTGGTGCTGGTGCTGGCCTGGCTGACTGTGGGAGACCGCGCTGGAAGATTGGTTTTGCTGCGAGGTGTGTTGGGCGACTTGGCTGATGAGACGAAAGAAAAGGGCGATGACGCTTCGCTTCGGGAATCAGCAGAAGTCCTGATGGGTGGCACTTGCGTGTCGATCGTCAGGGTGGCAGGAGCCTTTGGCCGCGGGATGGCAGGAGGGATAGGAGGCACAGGCTCGCTGGTGTTTGGGGACTTCTTGTTGATGATCTCCCATTCGGGCTCTCGCTCATCGACGTAGCTGCGCACCGGCTTGAGTTTCTGCAGAAGGAGTCTTTCGTCCTCGGGGCTGATAGATGTTGCTGATTGGAACGATGACACGGAGCTCTGTTGCTTGTGCGAGGACGGGGAACTGTGCACCATAAGAACGAGATGGCTCTTATCCTTAGACACGTCCTCTCGATGAGGCTCGGCTAATGACGTCTGAGTCTTGTGTAATGGGCTAGGGCCACGGGGTATGTTCTGCGATCCGAGGACCTTGGAAGCCTTGCTAACTTGGGTGGCGGGAAAGAGTGTGAAGTTCGGAGAGTTAGACCGTGAACGCGTTGGTGAGGTTGCCCTTCGACGAGGAGGAACCATTTCGGGCGACGGAGGCGATGGTCGCTGGGACAGGTTGTTAGACGGATCACAGTTAGCAGGCATGGGCAACTTACCTTTGCCTCTTCTGTGTCCGCATCATTCAGCGTCTTGCTCCGTCGGTTCAACGATGAGGGTCTATTCTTCTGCAGAACTCCCCCAAACATAACACTGTACCGTTCCAGTTGGATATCAGGAAGATCAATCTGAAGCAATGGCATGAAACTCGAAGATGCGTTATTGGTCTGAGATGGTTCATCTATGGCAGTCGTCTCCGACTGTTCGTGCTTCAGGGCTGTAGGTTCCGGCGTTGGTTCCAGATCCAGGGATGGCCAAGCTTCGATGGGGCTGGGTTGATCATCGGGCCTGGGGTCGGCCTTCTTCTCATGGTTATCCCCGGGTTTGGGCTTCTCGTCAAGTTTGGGGCTCTCCTCGAGCATTGGTTGGCGCCGGTTAATGGAGACTGCAGAAGCTGGCATGGGCCACTCAGTCGTCGGTTGGACACGATAGAAGGGTTGGTTAGGAACAGGTGCACTCAATGCACTCTTTGCTTTGAATAGTCCTCCGATCTTCTTCCATTTGCTTGGTTTGCGCTGTAGCGATGGTCGCACCGGGGTCTCCGGAGGCCTCTCGAATTGTTGCTCTTGCGACATTGCCATTGGCACCTCAACCATGCGGGGACTTCCTAGTGCGACACCAATCAAGCCGTCTGTCGGGGAGATGATCGGGCTCGTTGGCGAAGTCATGGCATTCGAGGGGGTTGCTGGGATCTGGAAATCAAAGCCAGGATTGGCATCCTGTACATGCCTCTGCTGCTGCTGCTGTTCTGCCGTTTTTGGGCGTGCAGAGTCCTGAGGCAAGTTTGCAATTGGTTCGTGACGTCCGGAGTTCTTGCGCGGCCGCGCGTCTGCGTGCTTTTGAGCAGTCGAGGAGCTGGCCTCTGGCTGGCGCAATGTACGCGACCTTCCACGAAAAGTGCCTAGAGCCATGGTGAATGATTCGGTTGTAATACTTTCCCCAGAAATCGAGGATATGCTGCTAGCAATGAGACAACGTATTTCGACTGGTCCGTGAGCGCCCTTTAGGTTGAATCAAGCAAAGATAAAAGAGTGGAGGTGGTAATATAAACCGGGAAAGGAGTGACCGGTTAAAGAATGTCGGAGAAAAGAACTTCAAGAACCAGTCATGAAGGCTTGCAAGTAAAAGGAATGGACGGCCTTCCAGAAAGCCCGAAACAGTACCACGAAATCGTCACGAAGCCGAAGATTCAGTCATGGTCGGGAGAAAAGGAGGGATGGAGGAGAAGCAATAAGTTGAGGGGAAGAAAGAAGCGCGAGACAAAGCCGTTGTTTAGGGTGGAGCCTGAGGCCGACGGACGACGCAACACCTAAATGAAACAAGCGGCAGGGGCTGGTTAGTGTCAGACTGTTTTGTTGGATCCATGGTCAGTCTAGATACTGAATAGGATTTGGACTGAGTAAGATCTGACGAAGCGCCAGAGCCCAGTGACCAACGAGAGCGCTGGAAGTAAAATTGTCTAGGAGGCGTTACAGGAGCTACGCGGGCGGAAAATGTGTGGCATCTGTGAGCGCCACGAAGGTGCTTATCGCGGAATCTGATTGATTGAGCGTTTGATTACGGCTTCATCCCATGGGCGAGAGGGATCGAGAGAACAAGCTTGGCAGACGCAGGGTTGAGCTCGCAGCTGGACATCGTCCTGGAGTTAAAGAGATCTCTGAGCCAATAACAATGTTCTCACCAAGGAAATCTAAGATGCTGATACTTGCAGCAAAGGGGGGTTTTGTTACAGATTTTAGGTGGGTGCTACAAGCGAAAGGAGACTGTTTCAGACCGATTCCGTGCTCTCTTGCACGTGCGTGCCGTTCGCTCCTGCACAACGGTGGGTATGACAGGTCATGATTGAGTTGTGTCATGTCCATGGAAGACTATAAGTACGTACGACAAGAATGTCAGATGCAAGTCTGCAGCTGTCAGAGCGACTGACTGACTGACTGCGTGACCAACGGACGGTTGTTCCGAGGGCTAATTTCCCTTGTTTCTGCATCTGACGTGGCCCGGTCCCATGACTAAGTCGATCATCTGTGAGGCTCCGTCAACGGGAGCGAATACAGTCGTAACTCGAGAAGAGTAGAGTCGCCGGAAGGCTGCAGAGTGCATAATGAAGAGTGCAGTTGATGTTCAACACATGACCTAGTCTCATGCATTTCGCCACTGCCCATTTGCAAGCATGCGCTAAGGGGAAAAGTCTCAGTTCTTCGACATCTTTGCGCAGAGACAGAAGAGGCGGTAAGGACATCGGTGGGACTGAACAGGGTCTAGCATTTGCAAAGGCAGGGAGACTATTCCGAATTGCCTCGGATTATGGAGACCTGGTGTTTTGGTCCCTCCACCGCCCCAGACCTCTCATCTTTAGACCGGTTTGCTCTTGGTCTGTTGACAGCCAGCTTGAGTCGGATTCACGCAGGAAGCCTAAACAGATTAGATAGACAGACAGACAGACAGCTCCAAACCACGGATCAGACGCGGGTGCAAGAGAGGAATGACGTAGAGGGGAGAATGAGGGGACAATCAGGGTTCGCACTATTGAGATAGTGAATGGAGGAGAAAGATTAAGCTGAGCAGTAGGAACTAGTCAGTAATAGAACAAACCCCTATAGAGAACTATAGAGAACAAGAATGATCGAATCAGTCAATCAGTCTCAATCTAGTCTGATGGAGCTTGGCGGGGCACATTGAGAGCAAGAGAACTGAAAGAGAGAGAGAAAGCGCGCGAGCGACCAACAAAAACCCCCACCTCATCATCTTCTTTTCTGACTAACCCCCCCTCTTCATCTCATCTCCTTTCCCCTCCTTTCCCTCAACCTCTCCTCCTATCCATCAACTGCATTACATAGTAGTTCACTTATCATCTTTCCTGGTCCGACTTTTTTCCTTGGACGACCGCCTTCTACCCCCCCTACTCTTTCTGCCTTGTGGGAACTTTCCTCCTTTCCTCCTTTCCGTTCTTCTTCCCGACCATCTCCGTCGTTTGTTTATCCCACCACTTCTATTCTCACCGTCACCATGGGTCAGCACTCCGCTATCTGGCAAGGTATGCTCGACGTTCCTCTGCATCAGGGATCTCTATCCTTGCTTCTTGCTGCGTACTATCAATTCTGTATCCGATAACTAATTTCACTCTTGTTTTGATCAGGCTATGTCGATTCCAGGTATATAGACCATCCCGCCTCTACCCCGCTTCAAATGCATCCCTATATCGCTCCAGCTCAGCATGTACCCTAACACAACCATCACCTTCCAGCTTGATGGGATCCGGCCAATTCGACAAGGCTGCCATCCTCGCCTATGACTTCTCCGATGTTGAGGCTTCGTCCCCCGGCTTCACGGTATGATTCCACCGCCATCGGGTCGGCGCGCAGTCACCCATCCGGCCATATCCCCTCTCTTTACCGAATGGAACTCGGAGTTGACCCCGCTGTTTAGATCGCTCCCCAGGAGCTGACCGGTCTCGCCGCCATCTTCAAGGACCCCAGCAGCGCCTTCGCCAACGGTATCATCGTCGGAGGAGAGAAGTTCGTTACCATCAAGGCTGACGAGCGCAGCGTGTACGGCAAGAAGGTACGCTTCCCTCTCCCTGTGCTCATCTTTGAATCCCCCCTCCAGACTCCTGATCCTCTCGCATGGGATCATCATTTCCGCCCATATCCTGACAAGATGAACTAATCACAATCGTATCACAGGGCAAGGAGGGTATCGTCATCGTCAAGGCCAACTCCTGCGTCTTCGTCGCCCACCACGGCGAGGCCGTCCAGACCACCAACGCCGCCACCGTCGTCGAGAACCTCGCTGACTACATCAACAACCCCCGGTAGATGGGCCGGTGTATACACCTAACCAAAAAGTCTGTCGTTGGGGGCGGGGGTGACAAGTCAAGGGGGAGCAGTGGTAATACTCTGAATGTAGAACACGGTGGTCTCCTTCTCGATTTTGTCTGTTCTTAATTTTCTCCTTTGTTATCTTTCTCCTGTTGTTATATGATATCAGCTACAACGCGTAGATATGTGCAAATATGTGCCACCTTTTCATTCTCCTGAGATGATTCTTGTCTAGATGGATGATGCAACCTGTCAGAGCTCTTGCGAAATTGTTAGTCCACTGTGCTCCAGTATATGTAATCATTACTTAATATGAAAACGAATGTCTATATATCCAATAACCGGTCTGCAACGAATGAAAAAGAAAGACACCGCCCGAAGAGAAAAATATTAACAATTACAACATCTAATACACTCCAGCCAGAGTCACATATGCACCCCGCCGAAAAATGACTTCCCTCCCTCTTCCGCAACCAAGTACAAGGGACATATCCTTCACCACACCGCAACAAAAAGTACATGAACCAGTACATTCCACATTTCGTATTCCAAGAAGTAAAAGTCGTAAGAACGGTAAGTAGGCAAGTCTCGTGATACCGGTTCGTTTTACACGTTAACATTATATCACGCCACTCATGTAATATACGGGAGGTTTGTGTTTTTTTTTTTTTTTTTTTTGTCTTCCGTTTGCATGCATAGACCCAGGGTTTACGCACACCACATCCGCAAAAGTCGCTTGGCACCTATCGAAGTAGGCTTCCACGACAGTAGAGAGCTGCTTCAAGCTTTTTTTTTCTGACGCACGGGGGAAAGGATGAGATCTGGGGCCAGAAAGCTGAAAAGAATCCCAATTTCCAGGATATTATACCGGCAACTCGGCATTCCGCCGGCCGCCGGCCAGCGCCTCCAACGCCGTCCTGATGTACGGCCCCACGACGGGGATATTCCCCGCGAACTGGCCGATGGTCACCAGGAAGTCGCCGAAGAGGATGAACAGCCCGTACAGCTCGATGATGAAGCCCGTGAGCGGCCAGCGGAGGAGGATGAGCAGGATGCCGGCGACGAAGGCGGCGGTGCCCTTGAGTTTCTGGCGGCGCGAGAAGAAGGCGAAGGTCTTTTCGACGCCGATGATGAGGGTGAGGCCGATGAGGAAGAGGATCTATTTTGTCTTTTGGTTAGTTTGGGTTGGCGGAGGAGAGGGTTGCGAGACGAAGGGAGGGTGGGGGAGAGCGAAGGAAGAGTGGAACGTACGTTGCCCATGGCAAGTCTGTGAGGTTTGAGGTTAGCTTTTGTGGTGATACGTTGTAGGTTGGGAGAGCAGGGTCGGTGTTTGGGACGTACAGTGAGCGATCGAAGAACATGAGGACTCCGCCGAAGAGGAATAGTGCTCCTGTTGGATGGGGTCAATTGGTTTGGTCTTGGTCGGGTGAGACTGGTGGTGTGTGGACGTACCGGCGGAGCAGAAGATGACTCCTATCTCTGTGGGTTGGAAGACGCTGTGTTAGCCATAATCTCTGCTTTATGGAGCTTGGTGCTGGGAGGCTCGTAGATCGGAGTTGCCGGTTGCGCTTACTCTGATTGTCGGACAGCCACATGGTTGGCATTTTTGTCTCACTGATGCAGGATTCGTAGGTATTTTGATATTTCTGAGGGGACGGTGGTCCTAAGTTGACGGCAAAAAGATTCGAATTGGATGCACGATGCGAAACTCGAGATGCTGAGTAGATCGACAAACAGATGCCTGCGGAGAGGATCGCGATGAGCGGCAGAGATGTCGCGTGCGCGCGGAGACGTTGATCAGAGAGACAACGAAAGCTGGGCGCTCGTAGAGGCGAGTGGGACTAAGCCGAAGGATAGAGTAAAAGCTCAAGGCTGTATCGTCCCAATCGCTAGTACACAATCAACTGATTTCCCCAACGAGTTGAATAAACATTGATGATAGGCGCCCAGAATTCCCCAATTCTGCCACGTTCCTTTCTTGGCGAGATGAGAGCTAATCCGTCTTGGGATGGCGGTCGACTGGCTTCCGCACTTCCACAAAACTCGCTATTTTGCTCCCATATTCCTTTTCTCTCATTAACAGTACCGACTCTCCTTTCGAGATTTGTTATGGTGTTGTGGTCAACACCTCAACAATAGCTATCGGTTGGCCATGTCGTCAATTCGGTTCAATGCCTCTTATGACGAGGTGAACCAATGGATAAATACACCAAAACAACACTTCAATGGTTGATTCCTAGTGCTACTGTTGAAAAACACGACATGGAAAGACACTACAAGCACGACGCGTGCTTGCAACCGCCAGGTCCTCTCCCAACCTTCTCCTCCCGTATCCTATCTTCCTGCCAGCCTGTGGCTGAGCGCAACCATACGCCGCGGCGACAGTATTCCCAGTGATGCTGTAACTGACGTTCCCACCGGTGGAGCGTCGGTACTAGTCGAGTGCTGGTTCTTCCAGCACAGAGGCGAAGATCAAAATCGTATTTTTATAATACAAGATCACGAATAAGCCGGAGCAGTTCCTTGAACCTGTCTCGAGAGGGGCAGGTGGATGGAATCGCTTGACTGTGTTGGTCGTACATTATTATATCTCAAAATCAGAAAAGAGTCATAGCGCCTAGCTAGGAACATAGCATTAGATCCGACTCTTCATCTGTTCTTCACTCTGCGTAGATCATGCGGGACTTACCCTATATAATCCCATGGTAAAAAAACTAACTCCCAGATATCATAAGCTCATTTCAGCACAACGTGTGCAGCCCTCAATTCCAGATAACTCTCCGGAACACCCTGTCCCAACGTCCGAACCACGCTGAAAACCTCCTTGTCGTGATATCTCAGTCTCGTCTTGGGGTCCGTGTATGGGGCCGGCAGGCCGGTGATGTCGCAGTATCGGGTCTGCTGGGAAGGGTTCAAGGACGGAGCGGACTCGATGTTGGTGTAGGTCACAGTAGGGCCGGAGAAGGCCGCGCGAGCGTTCTTTTCCAGGACCAGCGTGGAGAGGTTCTGCGCGGCTTGCGCGATGTTGGTTCGTGAGCCGCCCTCCGCAGGGGTCTGGCTTCCTTCGGTGCTGGCGGAGGTGGTGGCGGGGAGCGGCGTCGAGGCCCCAGAGTTGGTCTGTGTGGCCATCACCGAGGCCTCTTTTCTCGAGCTCTCGGATATGAGCTGTTTGACATTCTTGTTGCGCCGTTGAGAGGGCTTCCAGTGCGGGTTGCGGAATGGGCGATGGACGTGCGCGATGTCGAGACGGTCCAGAAGTTGCTGATGTTTCTCGCTATCTGCAGGTGTCAGAGGAGCCATGATAAAGGCCGTGTCTCAATGCGCTCCGGATTGTTGATGGTGCAGAGTTGGTGTCGTGGTTTGAGAAGCTGGTTGCCTGGTTGCGAATGACGGAGATGATTCTGAGGGAGAATCTTAGAAGTACGGTCCGGAAGCATGTGCGGATTGACCCAGCCCGTCGTTGTATGATGGCGCGTGCATTACCACCCCAATACCAGCAATAATCTTTCAGGAGAGGAACCCTGTTGGAAATCTTGTAAATCGAGGCATATGGATTCTAGAAACAACTCTGTGCATGATATCTACTGTCCCTTTTTGAGATACGCAACGATCGGTATTGGTCACGTGATATCTTGGTTGGTTTCTTTGGCAAACGGGCAGCAACAAACAAACATCACTATCAAACGATCTCAGAGCGTCTACCTTACAATATACCACGATGGTAAGCACTCCCAGACTCAAAGTACAAGTGAATCACGAGAAGGGAGAAGAACTAAAAGTCATGCAGGAAAGTCCTCACGAGCATCAGCAAGCCTTGCTGCTATCTCGCATCATCGGCAACATTGTGTGTTATTCCCACTAATCAGTCAGAGGTCACGACTGACCAGGCTCAGGAAAAACTTAATGAATCAATCATGGTCATGAACCGCAATCTTCAGGTATTCTCCGCATCCTTTCATATTTGTCGTCGATGGTGTTGACCGTTGCATTACAGGAGATCAACATCCAGAACATGAATGTTGAGCTCGTAGCGCAGATGTTTAAGAACTACCAGTCCAATGTCCTGTTCCACTTGGAAGGTATAGTAAATTCTAAGTCGGCAACAGCGCCTGCCTGGTTCGACGTTGCTAACTTCTCCTAGCGACGGACAACCTGAAGGAGCCATCCTGAGCGTCTGCCAGCGTCCACTATTGTACTTACGACGATATGATATTCCGTTTCCATTGTTCCAATGAAATATTCTTTTGGTGAATTTGAGATTTATGCTGTTGAGTAAATTATGTAAAATCCGGACAATTTTCCTTGCTTGTTCTGTATAAAAGGTGTATCCCCATGATCTTGGCATCATGCGGCGCCGGCGGCCGGAAGGTGCAGCGAACCCAGCTCTTGACTATCTCTCGTTTATCACCACTTCCGCCGCCGCCTCCAGACTTCTTCTCCCTTCCAAGAACCATTTTGAGGGAGGGCTCTCGACATCCTTCATCTTAACCCACCAATCCTTTGCCCAGTCAAAATTGCAACCCGCGACAAATCGCAATGCAATGAACTGCGGTTTTCGCCAGAAGCTCTTGAACTGTTAGTCCTGTTAAACCGGGCCCGGTTGGCCCCAGAAGACCACCATGGCCATCACTTCCATTTCAACCGTCCTTCCCACGCGATTTTCAGTCAATTCCTCCGAAAAGACGGCCGCAAAACCGCCACCTCCCACGCCCTACAATGTCCAAGATCACCCGTTCAGAGGGTACCACGCACCCCAGCCTGAAGGCTATGCGAAGAGCTCCGGCACCAGCGCCATCGTTATAGACAATGGTGAGTGAAGAGCACCCTTCTCTTCGGGTTATGAACCACGGTGTCTAACCTTATATCATCTACGATCTAGGCTCCAACCTGGTCAAAGCGGGCTGGTCCTTCGACAAGAAGCCGCGCTTCATCATACCCCCCGTGATGAGTCGGTATCGCGATCGGAAACTGAACAAAGCCTGTCAATTCATCGGAAATGACGCCTACGTCGACGCCACGACGCGCGGCCAGCTGCGGTATGCGTTCGATCCCGCCTCGAGCGTGGTGGGCAACTGGGATGTGATGGAGGGAGTGCTGGACTACTTGTTCATTAAGCTTGGGGTGGACGGGGGCGCCGACGGAGGCGTCGACCGACCCATCGTTATGACCGAGCCGATTGCGAACCTGAACTATCCGCGACGCAGTAAGTCTGATGGCCGCCTCGTCGTTCTTGGGTGGATGTGATCAAACGGAAAGGGGGACTTGTGGTTGCTGATGTGGTTGCAGTGATGAACGAGATCCTCTTCGAATGCTATTCGGCGCCGTCAGTAGCCTACGGGATCGACTCCCTGTTCTCCTACCGGTATAACCGTGGCACGGACGGTCTCATCGTCTCCTCATCGCATACGTCCACGCATGTCATTCCTGTGCTGAACAACAAGGCCCTGCTGTCGAACTGCTCGCGCTTGAACTGGGGCGGCCTGCACGCGTCGGAATACCTCTTGAAGCTAATGCGGTTGAAATACCCGACTTTCCCGGCTCGCATGACCGACAACCAGATGCAAGACCTGGTGCACAAGCACTGCTATGTCTCAAAGGACTACGATCAAGAACTAAGCCGGTACTTGGATTGGACGGGGCTGGAGGATCGGGACCACATCGTCCAATATCCGTATACGGAGCATGTCGTGCCGGAGAAGACGGAGGAGGAGCTGGCGCGCATTGCGGAGCGGAAGAAGGAGAGCGGGCGAAGGTTGCAGGAGCAGGCTGCGAAAATGCGCCTGGAGAAGTTGATGAAGAAGGAACAGGAACTGGAGTACTACAAGGATCTACAGCGGGGGCTTGCGTCCGAGTCGAAGAAGGAGGCCCGACGCATTTTGGAAGCTGAGGATCTGAAAGACGATGCACACCTTGACCGCTTAATCCGCGATCTCGAGCGGTCGATCAAGCGCTCGCGGAATCGTGACCTGGGCGTCGAGGAGACGGAGGAACCTCAGGAAGAGATGTCATTCCCGCTGCTGGATGTTCCTGACGAGGAGCTCGATGAGGCCGGGCTCAAGGAGAAGCGCCACCAGCGACTGATGAAGTCTAACGTAGAGGCTCGCCAACGCGCCAAGGCCGAGAAGGAACAGGAGAAGGCCCGTCAAGAGGAGGAAGAAAGGCTTGACCGCGAGAAGCGGGAGAACGATTTCGACAATTGGTTGGCTGAGCGAAGGGCTAACCGTCAGGTAATTTATCTCCCTACATACATATGCACTTTGGCACTGACATAGTCTTATAGAGCCTCCTGCAACGAATCAAAGAACGCGACAGGATGAAGGCTGACCTGGGCAATCGCAAGTCGCTCGCCAGCCAAATGCGCATGAAGACCCTAGCCAACCTCGCCGCGGACGGTCCCAAGAAGAGACGGAGAGGCGGCGATGACGACACCTTCGGCGCCAACGACGAAGACTGGGGTGTCTACCGCACCGTGGCCACCGGCGACCAAAGTGACGAGGAGGAGGAAGAGGATCTTGGCGGCTTGCTGGACGCGGCCGAGAAGGAGCTTCTGGAATACGATCCGGAATTCACGGAGAACCACACGCTGGCGGCGCAATCCGACTGGACCAAGAGCCTGGTGCACGTGTTCCTGCGGGGTCCCTGGCCGTTCGATCCAGAGAGTCAGCGCGAGGCCCATCAGATCCACCTGAACGTGGAGCGGATCCGGGTTCCCGAGGTCGTCTTCAAGCCATCCATCGCCGGCATCGACCAGGCGGGACTGGTCGAGATCGCCGCCGATATTGTCAACCAGCGCTTCTCGAACCCCGAGGAACAGGCCCGGCTGCTGCGCGATGTTTTCTTCACCGGTGGCAATACGCTTTTCCAGAACTTCGACGAGCGGTTCCGTCACGATTTCCAGGCGTGTCTACCGGCCAATAGCGTGTTGAACGTCCGCCGCGCGGCGGACCCTATCCTAGATGCCTGGAAGGGCGCTGCTCAGTGGGCGTCGGGCTCGGAACTCCGCAAGTCGTCCATCACACGGCAGGAGTATCTCGAGAAGGGCAGCGAATACCTCAAGGTAAGTTTGTGGAGCTTTCCGACGGAAGTCTTACAACGGATGATGTGGTGTGCATGTATCGAGGCTGACCACGGTCTACAATAGGAACATGATCTGGGTAATGTCACCACGTGGTAGTATATCCAAACACTTGTTGGGTGTTTGTGGGTGTGTTTTTTTACCTTATCGACCCTGTCGATCTAGGATGTCCGCCTTAATCCGCTGATTGTCTTTCCGACATGATGTCACTGAACATCGCCCCGGGGGTTTACGGATATGACAGAAACCCATAGCATCTCATAGAACCCGAGTTGCTGGCCCGCTTGTCCCGTTACTGCAATGCTCACCAGCTTTATACTCCAGTAGGACTTGGAATGTGATTTTGTGTTGCGGACGACGAAGCCCTCAAGCACGTGGTGGGGTTGAAGATTTCCAACTAGTATACAACAAGGCGTCTGGCGTCCAAGCGAGTGCGGAATGGGTGGGAGGGAGGATAACCAATACCTTACTTGAACCTTTAAAAAGAACCTGTTTCTGAATTTTTGATGTGCGTGTGTGCACTGGGAAAAGAAGAAAGCTCTTGTTATTCTTTGAATCTAGCTTTTCAACTTTTAGAATATTGAAGTCAGTTCATTTTCCAGCAAGACTTGTCCTCCATAGGTGTGTGTATGTGGAGTAGTTGGCACGGGTCGATCAGCCTCCCGCCAAGAGATGGTTTCCCCTCCTCTTTCTGTCTTTCGGAGGACCCAAGTGCTTTTGCTAAAGTTGATCAAGAATCTTGTCTTTCCGTCCATTTAATGGAAACATCTACCTCTCTAATTCTGCAGATAGAGAAATCTGAAATCCCAGGATATCTTTGATCTGCAAGACCGCCGCCCGGGCGCGAGAGTTCAATAGCTCTTCCCCTTGTGAAGTATGGTATAAGATAGTAGGGTAGGTATACTTTAGACTTTCACCCATTGTCCCAATTGTCCAAGGACAATCAGTCAATCAAGTACCGTAACACAAACCCCACCAGCACAAACCACCAACACCGCCAGCACCAGCACCAGCAGCAGATCCCCTCCCCTCCCCCAGATCTCCGAAAATGTAAGGGGGAGGGGGAAACAAAGTGTGGCCGATCCTCGGAACAAAAGCCGACGTGGTCTTTCTGGTTGGAGATGCTGTAATTGGTTCTGGATACTGCTTTTCCATCCGAGGACAGACCAGCATCGAAAGTTAATGATTCCACTTAGTGGTAAGATGAGCCAGTCAAGTAGTCACGAGGTTCGTGAGGTAAGTTAGGTTCGGAGTATGGTGTATGGTGGAGTCTGTATCACGGTGTAACTTATTCATTGTCTCTGTTATTGTTAACGTACTGGAAGTCTTTTGTGACTATGGGATTGGTAGGCTATTGCACAGTGCATGAAGATGGAGGTATACGTATGGATGGGTCAGGGTACCGTCACGCAGAGATGGCTCTTGGGGCCGATTCTACTGTGCAGTACATACATACATGGATGAGTCGGTTGGTCGGTGTAGATTCCAGAACCTACATAGTATGTCTGCGATGTCTTGATCTTACTTACTCCTCATGCATGAGGCGAGGAAGCGGGCTCAACTCCAGGTCCGAAAAATGAGACTGAGAGAAAAATGTTCCTTATCAGCCTTGTGGGTCTTGGATATCATTCCTCAGTCAGTTGATCAGTCTATCAGTCGTAAAGAATGAAATCATTCTGGTTGCTGCCGGAGGCATCCGGCAGGATCTGCAGCGCCGTTCGGCTAAGCTCGAAGCTTCGATAGGCGTAGACAGAGGCAGAGGAGGGCAAGGAAAACAACTGGAAACCTTACCTACCTTTCCTGTTCTTCCGCGGGTTGCACGATGGACGTGGCGTGGTTCGGCCACTGGTTCCTGGTTTTTGGTGGTGGTGGTGGTGGTTGCTGTTCTGTTCTCTTACTGCTGCTGCTGCTGCTGCTGCTGCTGCTGCTGCTGTTGTTCTTGCTGCTTCGAGTCTCCGCAGCTGTTTCTTTTAGTCCAGTTGTTATCTCTCTTGCAGTCTCTCGTAGTATCAGAGAAGAGAAATTCACCTCGCTGGTGCAAAGTCTGGGCAGGGCGGAAAGAGCGGCCAGACCATGACGGTAAGATTACCATCGGTACCGGATGCCGGGCGCCAAGCCCTGATGACAGGCCATTTGGCAACCGATATTGAAGCAACTATAAGTTACTTCTCGATGATTCAGTCATCACGCAACCTCCTCCCTTGCACCACATTCCCCCCATCAGTCCATGTCTCTTGCCGATCAGTGATGTGATGCCAATCGTCCACTGCCAAGCGTTCCCGCTTCGGGCCCCTGCGAAGCTGAGCTGTGATGGTCTTCCCCCCCTCCCTGTCCATCAATGCTTGTCGTTGGGCAGAAGATCAACAAGGGTACTGGACAAGAATTGAGTTAATCAACCATGTCAACCAACTGACTAGCTAGCTATAGCTGCCACTAGCGCAAACTTGCAAAATCTTTTCCCCATCAAAGGAAAAACATCACCCAATCGCCCAAAGCCTGGACCAAGTTCGGAATCAACTTACTTCATGCAGAAGGGAAACTATGACGCATCTGGGGGAGCCAACACTTTGTCTCTATCTCCCTCCCACCATCGAACTTTCACACACGGTTCTCTCGGCATCTGGTCTTTGGGGCCAGAACCAGAAGAAGATGGAATCTTTGCAGGCCCCCGAATTAGAGAAGGAAAAAAAAAGCAATCACAGCGTAAATGGACCTCTGACGTAAATGCTACGCTTGGGTGTTGACTTGGGTTCGAAGAGGGATAGACCATGCGCAATTCCCCCCTTCTCTTGAGTATAAAGAACCCTGTCCAGGTCACACATCTGATACCATCCAGGACCAGTCTGTAACCAGTTCGATCACAAAGAACCAAAAGCCACCACTCAAGGCCTTGCCCTATCGCGCGCTTTCTTTCTTCTCAGCTCTCTCTTTTCCCCAGCGGATTTATAGCAACCCTAGCCGACCCTCGATCTTCCCAGGTCATCTCCTTCTCAGAGCCAAAGAGATATACTACGAAGATGTTGCTCTCCACCACCGTGGCGCGTCCCCTGCAGCTGCTCACCCGGTTCATGCAATGGGCCAGCGCAGTCATCGTGATGGGCATCACCTCCTACTTCATCCACCGGGGTCCGCGCGGGCAGCACATCATCTACGATGAGGTTATTGTACGTTCTCCCGATTTTGTGAGGTATACACCTTTTGACTAACCACCATATTGTATGGTCTAGTCCACCATGTCCGTAGTCTTCTTCCTCCCGGCCTTCGTCTCGCCATTCATGCCCCACGCCCTGAGCAAGTTCGTCCTAGCGATTGACGTGATCTTCTCCTACCTGTACGTTCCCCTTCCTGTCCCCAAGTCTAAACCCTATACAACCTTCCCCAGAGCAACCCCACTAACCTTGACAAAAAAAAAGATGGCTCACCTCCTTCATCTTCGCCGCCCAAGACTACAACTGGCACAACTGCGGCGCCAACGCTCCCCCGGGGGCCTCCTGCGCCCTGAAGAAAGCTAACGAGGCCTTCATCTTCCTCACTTTGTACGTTGCCCTCCCCCCCCCTTGCGTTACAGCTCTCGCGCATTTATCCCCACCCGCCCTTGAGTCAAAAGAAAGAAGCGAATGCTAACACCCACTAAAAAGCATCTTCACCTTCTTCGCCATCTTCCTCGAAGTCGGCGCCCTCTGGGCCTACCGCCGCGAGAACGCCGCCCCCGCCCGCGAGAAGCACACGGGCGGTGCGCACGGCGGGCCCGCGGATGCGCCGCTCGCTGCGTCGGCTTAGGGTCTCCACCAGTCACTTGGTGTGAATTGAATTGAACTAAACTGGACAGGAATGTGCTGGTCTTGGACACTGTCATCGGCTGAGTTACTGAACTATACCGAAGATGATGGGATGCGAGATCGACTTTGTCTCGAATTTTCTCGAACCGTGTTATGATGATACCATGTTCTGGGTCAGCTGGAACCACCTCACCCGGCCGTGACTTGCTACTTACTTACTAGTTTAATCTTGTTGTGGATGAAGGGTTGCATGATGACTTGATTTTTATGTTTGTTGGTTGGTTGATGGTGATGGTGATGGTGATGCGATAATGGATCTAATGATGTTGATGATGATGATGATGAGGTCGGTGAAGAGATAGTGGGTATGGTTATGGTTGTTGTTGTTGTTGTTTATACCTTTCTCGCTACCACGTTTATAGTTATAGTAATCAACTTAATCTTCCTTTTCTCAACCCTCTCAGTGCAGTTAGACTGAAATGAAACTCGGCACGTAATTCTTCCTAGAATCAGGAAACAATTGCGACGATGCTCTCCCTTTTTTTAACTGGACCTGACGTAAGTATGCTTCGCATTCATGCAGAGCTGCTCGTATATCTGACTCTATCGCAATCGACAATACTAACAATCAACCGCGTCTATAAGCTTTGATCTGTGCAGCCATCTAGTCAAAAACAAACTGAGTCCTGGCATCGTTCGTCAACACACACCGAAAAAGCCAAGGAATCCTATCCAACACCTCTATACTTCCTCCCCGGCCGCATTACCGCATACCGGTCCTCGTCATCATCCTCCCCAGCCTTCAGCAGCACCACTTTCCCCTCCTCGCCTTCGCCCGCCTGTCCCTCTAATGTGTCTGGCTTCTCTTCTCGAATGATAAACCTCGTCTCCGTTGGTCCCTCCGTCGCCACACCTGCATCGTCGGCAGAGGAAGAAGTAGGGGTCCCCCTCGTCGCACCCGCAACAGCCATCATTCCAGCCAGACTCAGCCAAAACCCCTCCCGCAACCCCCGCGACCATACCACCACCCCCAGGTCCACCACATGCACTCCTACCGCCACCGCCAGCACGATGGCGATGGTCCATTCCCACGGCAACCGCGGTCCGGACCCATACAGCTGCCACCGCACGGGACCCTGCAGGGTCGTCTGGACCGTACCATTGCTACCACTAGCCGCCTCGGAAGTCGCCTCCTGCAGCACAGCGGAATACGTCCAGTCGAACGAGGTGATCATGTCCGTGAAGACCGTGGCAACGACAGCTGCCACCCCGTCCAGGCGCGTGTACCCCCGGTTCAAACTGACGAGGTCATCGGCCAGGGTGAGCGCTAGCGAGGTGAGGTTGAGGAGAGCAGGGTCGGACGTGAAGGATTGGAGGTTGGGGAGGATCGCTGTGAACCAGCTGGTGGTTTCGGCGGCGATGGAGGCGTCGGCCTGAGACGTGCTGTTCTTGGGGAGGAGGGCGAGGGCCGGGTTGGGGTTGTTCTCGCCGTAGTCGATGGCGTAGGCGTAGTTGCTGGTGCCGGAGTACAGCCATTGACCCAGGGGGATTTGGGCTTGTTGGACCTGGAGCTGGCAGGTGGCACCAGGGAAGGTGTTGGTGCTGTTGTCGTTGGTGATGTTGGTGACGGGGCCGATGATGAGCGTGATGGTTGCGTTGGAATTGGAGGTGGCTTCCCAGGCCCCTGCGCTGCTGCTGCTGCTGCTGCTGCTGCTGGAATTCGAGTGGTCGGTACAGGAGGTAGTAAGGAGGACACCGGGGATGAGGAGAAGCGCGTTCCATCCGGTGGAGTATCGTGCCCAGCTGTGCTTGCTGTGTGCTTTCTGCGCCTCGTACATCTGGATGGCGAGGTCGCCATGCACGGCCATCGATTGGATAACTGCGGAGGACTCAGGGATCCGGATTGCGCTAAAGGCAGGTACGTCGTTATCCCCGAGGGACCGCCAACCGGGCGCGTTGTTGAAAGTGTTGTAAAGAAGGCCCAGGGCTTGCAGGGAGTGATAGGCTGCTAGAGAGTGTGCCTGGAGGGAACGGACTTGTAAGCATCGTTCTGACAGGCAAATGCAAAAAGAAAAAGAAAAGAAAACAAGAAAAAGGCGAATCGTACCATCTCCCAAGAAACAGGCCCTCCGATGCGCACCATATCCCAGGCTTTGCCCCACAGCGACATTCGACTGACGCTCGCTATCTGGGACGTTTGGTTCGTGAAATAGAATCGATCATCCGGAGGATCCGGCACCACATAACGCGTGTCTGGCCACCAACGGGATTTGGGAATGGCAATAGTGTTCATGGCTGCCCCGAGCAGAAAGAGACAGATCCCTACCGCCAGTGCACCGCCAAATCGTAGCCATGCGATACGCTTGCGCACACCAAGTTCGCATCGCTTTTTGAACGCGGAAATGGCAGCCCAGGGAATCTGGTGTTCTTCGTACAGCTCAAAGTCTAACAGGCTGGCTCCCTTCTGCCCCTTTCCAGTCATCCAGCGGGTGACCAATGTAGTGAAACTGTGCTGGAGAGCCCCTTGGGTGAGGAGCTGCAGGATACTGTTTATCACACCAATGGCGGCGAGCTGGGCATCTTCATCAACAAGAATACCATTTCCGACCGTAAGGGATGCGATATCATAGCTCTTCCCAATGGCACCGAGAACGATTGCTCTTTTGATGCCAGTAATTAGTGATAGTATGAAGAATGAACGCACAGAGTGCCCGGTAGCTCACGTTATAAGTATGAAAAGGGCCATGACCCGAAGGAACACGATGCGCGTCAGCGTGGCGCCATCGTCATGGAGTTCATAAGCTTCGTTCGTCCCTGGATTTACAAAAAGATGCCTCCACCGCCAGCACTTTCTCTTCTTGAGCAGTAGTGACGCGGCCGGCTCGGTAGTAGCTGGTTGGCTGGCCTGAGAAGGTCCACCCCCACTGCTAGAATCGCCATCGCGACCATTTGCTGTGTTGGAACGAAGACTCTGACGGGTCGAGGACCTATTTACTGTACTAGTTGAGCTGGGTCGAGATGGAGTGACTTCTCCACCGCTGGGAAGAAGGCGCTGATCCTCGCTATGTCTAACTTGTAGACGATGGGGGTCAGAACGATGGAATTCATCCAGACCTATTTGCGCCCCCGGCAGCGCCATAATCGCGGGACCGGGCCGCAAACATGACAGCGGATGTGGTTCGAGCCGTGTAGGTGGTGGTTCTTATACTTTCCGAGTCAGAGCATGCCAAGCTCATTGTACCGGATCCAGGAACGAAGGCTGCATGTCCATTTTGCCTCTGAAGTCGATGTGTGGTTGCCATTGGGCGTAGGCACAAGGCTAGACTTTCGGCGCTGAATCCCTCCCGGAGACTGTTACCTGTTTCGGTAATTCCCCGAAGAAACGACCACAAAGGAGACGCTGTGGCCCGTGAGCTGTCACGACGCTTCGATTGATGGCTCCATCGAAAACCTGGAGAAGGTCACTCAGGAGTTGTCGGGCTCTTCGTTGCATAGGTCATATAGTTCACAGTAGCACTGCTGGGTATCGGGACAACTGTCAATTCGTGAGACTGTTAGCACTGCATTTCCAGCCAACCAGCCAGGGACATAGCACGTACGCAACTGGTGCTTCTAGAAAAATAATATGCCACAGCATTTCAAATACAGATCCGACCGCAAAGTTGTCCAGCTCCGTGGCGATAGCCCAATCGCGCATCCGCATGTAATCCTCTTTCGGTCGGCCCCGGATGCGCTCGCGTGAGACCGCAAATTGACCACAGCAAACGCCTCCGATTTCTGGGGGAATCTGGTCCACAGGCACTCGGAATAGGTCTACATAGATGCTGGTGAAGTTGCGGTACACAATGTTATGGTCGGAAGCCATGTCAGGGTCAAACGGCCGCACGGCCACCGGACAGCCCGGGCGATGATGGCAGCGCAAATTAGCGTATCCCAGCCGCTCCACCGTGTGAAGATTGAGACTGCGGAGCAACGATGGCGAATCCAGGTCCCTGACATCATTATGCCACTGGCTATCACCGCCGTGCATGAACACGGTAATATCGGCCAAATCATCGTAGTTATCGATAATGTGCGTTAAGTAGGCCATGCTCTCGCGGCCCTTATTCGCGGGGAGATCGACAAATCCGGGTTCTTGGTCGGAAGTATAGATGTATGGCCTCCAGCTATTCAAGACGTTAGTGAGTAGGCCGGGTTTCTGTCCGCATCTAGCTGTCCATGAGCACGGCGTCTGCTTACTGGGGCATGACCCGATAAGCCCAAGAGGTATCCTCTCTTCGAGACTTTGCCACAACCAAAGCCAAAGTTCTGTCCGGGTTCACTGTCGGGTGCCGATCTGCTGGCTGTTAGTAGAGACCTCCAGGCTGTGAAAACCTAGGGAATGGGTCACCAACGCGAGATTGTGAGAGCTTCGTCTCCCATCACGACCAGTAATAGAAACACCAGGAGAATGCAGCAGATGACCAATAGAGTCCATGTGCGATGGAGCAAAAGTCGTAACGGACCACATGGAGAGGCTGTCATTGTTTCTACTGCAGCGTCCAAAGAATCGTTCAGTCAGAGGTTCGCCCTAGAGGAACCGGTTCCTCGATGGGAAACAGGCGGTGGAGATAAGCACAGGCTTCAAACGTGCATGGTTTTATTCTGACGGGTGGTCCGGAAACAAGTAATGTCTCAAGGAATTTCGAAATTGGCTAGAGTAACTGAGTAACTGGGGCCCCAGGAAACAAATGCACGCGTAATGGGCAGATGTCCGAGTCAGCAGGGCCCTTGAGAAAAGATAAACAATCGGCGAGGGAGGGAGGGGGGAAGAGAAACGGATTAATGCAGAGTGGAATGGAGTGCATTAACTAGCCCCGGTGGCAGTGACAAGCTTGGTTGCAATCCGGGTCTAGAACATCGGGTATTGTAAGTGTGAGTTGGTTGGGGGCGGGCGACGCCGCGACACCCACTCCACTCCACTTCCTGGAGTGGAGAGAGAGAAAGCAAGCTCCGGTCTTACCGTAAGCATAGGGTCTGACGGTCTGTAGATCCCGTCCCGATCCCTTCGTTTCCTCAGACACATTTCCTTTCGCCGTACACCTAACATAACGAACACGAACATCAATTTCAGCATCATGTGTTCCAGAAGTTCCCTACAGATACGTCTACAGTTGACATGGTAAGATAGTCCAAAAATTCTAGGCTTTATATCTTGATTTGCATTATGAAATACTCTACCTCAGATACTTGCGCGTCGAGGCGCTAGTGTCCGTTGAAGTTTCTTCTTCTCTTCCGTCTCTTCCGGTAGCGGAAGAGACCCTTCGTTCTTCAACTTCTCCAAGTATTCTTTGCCGTACGTGTACCCCACCTGATAGATCTCATCGAACTTAGCAAACTCCAGCGTGCCGTACTTGTCGATCGGCGGCCGCATATACAGACATCCGGGGGTCGTCTTGGCGCGTTCAAGGTTCTCGATGGACGAAACATATGCCAACCGTGCTTGAATTTCCGACAGAGTGGGGGGATTGGGTAATGAGGAGAACGGATTCCAGCGATTGAGCACCGTCCAGAAGCCAGATAGTGAATCTCCATACCCTTGGGGGGTATTATCGTCGATAGATCCAACATCAACCGCGAAAATCACGTCCGCACCCAACCCTTTCATGTGGCCTACAGTGAGATTGTCGATATATCCGCCATCGAGCAGCATGCTACCTTCGTCGCAAATCGGTGGAATCAAGCCTGCCAGAGACATAGACGCACGGACATAGCGCCACGTGTAACCGGACGAATGATACTCCGCGCGAGATCGACTGATATTGGTGGTGTTGCAGTAGAACTCCAACCAGAAGTCTTCAATTTGGCTGTTGCCGAATGTTTTGAAGATTCCGCGATTGAACTCGTGTCCAGTCGTGTAGGACACGGTCGGATAGGTTAGATCCAGCGCAAACCTCCAGATGCTTCCCATGCGACCGGCAAACTTCTTGGCCCGACCATACATAGGCACGACGTCCGCATCTCGGGCATATAAAGCTCCGATGAACGAGCCGATGGAGGTCCCACCAATGATGTCGATGGGGATGCCGGCTTCTTCAAGCGCTTTGATGACTCCCACCTGAGCGATACCTCGAGCTCCACCACCACCTAACACAAGTCCGACTGAACGACCACATAGCCGGCGGGCCAGCCGATGGAAATCGCCCTTGAATGGTGTCTGGGCCGAATAAAGAGGCGTCTGGCGTATACGGCGGGATGTGTACTTCTGGATCTCGGCTTGGATGACCTGGACTCGTTGTTTCAATACCGTCCCTAGGCGTTTCGTTTGAGAATGCGTAGGTTCAGCCGCGAGACGATAGGGCATCTGGATGTGGTGATGACCTCCATTGATCCACACACGATTCTTCAGCCATTGACGAGTCAATCCGGGATGACAGTACCGTTCTTCGTGTATCAGCACCAGTTCCTTTCTGGACGTTGTTTTCATGCCCAGCAGGAATCGTTCATATTCACCAATGCTGGGCGAGGATTCTGCAAGACCGACCAGCAGGATGCAATCGGCCTGGGTGATACAGGTTTGCGTCCACGGTGCATTTACGGTGGTGTCAGCAATGTAGAGCACCATTCCATACTTTTCTTCTAGGTCCGCTAGATATTGTGTCAACTTCAATTTCCCCATCTTACTGAAAGCATGCCGTCCTAGGTGATTCAGGATAGCAGCTTGGTTGAGAGACGTGACGCCGTTCGTCACCCCGATCTGATGCAAGGCTTGCAGCAGCCGGTGCCCGAACTCAACGACAGGAACTCCGCCTGTCACCGGCAAGACGCAAACAGTCCGCAGGTTGAGAGTTGAAGATGCTGTTTTGATGGTGCCGGAATTGCCTCGTTCCATCCCTTGTTCTTTCACCGGTTGCTCCACTAGATCTCGCATCCGTTGTGCGATGAGTTTAGATACTTGGATGGTAATCCCGGGGTGCTCCTGCGCCAGGCTGTTAAACAAGGTCCGAGGGAACTTAGCCAGTTCAGTGTCGCGAATTGCATGTAGAGATGACGGACGGGTTGATTCAGTCATCACCTCCAGCTCGCCAATACTGTCACCCTGCCCGTATTCGCTAAGGACCGTCACCTTTCCATCAGTACCTTCGAGGACCGACCGTAAACGACCGTTCAGCACAAGGTAAATAGCATCACTTTCGTCGCCCTGGTGATAGATCACTTGACCAGCATTGACCTGCACCCATTCCAGTGCGAAGTCAATATGAAGGAGTAGGCGGGGGAGAATGCTCGTTAGTCGTTTAGCCAGCGTCAATAGAGCGATCGGATACCGCTCCGCTATCCTCTCTAGAGCAGCCCGCGGGAGGAATCCCACGTAAACATCAGTTTTGGCAACCACGTCTGTGTACGAGCGATAGGATGCGACGGCACCAACATATCCTTGAATCCCTCCAGGCTTTATCATATACAGAGACTTCCGTGGCTGTCTCTTGCGCTTAGAGTCACTAGTACCTGTTCCCATGCTTGTGGTCGAAATGCGCGAAGTGTTGGTTTGAGTCCGTCTCAGAGTTGGGAAGGATTCCTCGCGAGATTGCGCATGCGCTGGGCGGGAGGATCCAACAAGATCATCATCTTTATCGCTGACAGGGATTCCCACATCCAGGAATCCATCGATCACATAATACAAGCCTGGATGGCGCTCGCCTTGCTCCACCAGCACGGACCCTTGGGGGAAGTAAACAATCTCGATGTCGTTTCGCAACTCTTCCCTCAAATTGATGACTGGCGACGTACCACCGGCACTTGTGACGGACATCGACATCATTGACTCTGTGTCATCTACGGAGGCTTCGTAAGGGTCAATAAAGCCAAAAGCATTATTGCCAAACACCGCCTTTTGGCGACGCGAGTCGTAAGAGAGAAGCCTTGGAGATGCGTCGCCCGAATTTTGACTCTTGCGGAGAAGGCCATTGGTACTTTCGGTCAAACCGATGCCCTTCATGATGCATTCTAGTATAGATTCACGGAAGAGAGCATCCTCGTCCACGTTTTCCTTCCGGTAGAAAGATCCCATGGGCTCGATGATGGGCGATGGGGATCGCAAAGGCGACTGTTCCTTCTCTGCGAGTGGGCTCAGCAATTTTGGAGCAAAGTTCTCGTACCTAGACCCAAAGCGCGAGAATTGTATGCTAGATAGCAAGTCCCCAGGGCTAACACCTGCAGCTTCACGATCGTTGAGAGAGTTGTTCTGGATCACAGCCGCAGTCGGGCGCCGCGATACGCCCAGTTTTGCGTGGAGCACAGCGTCTTTCCTTCGGAAGCTACTCGACCGGTTTCTCCTACCCGAGAAGGGATTGTGTAGGGCGATTCCTTTCGTGACTTCTTCCGGGCCCAGGCGATTCCGCTCCTTGATGAACTTGTCTTTGAGGCGATCCAGCGCCGCCCCTCGCATTTCGTTCGGCAAGTCATATGTAGTGAACTTGGTCATCTGTTTCTCAATCCCCAGAACCTCGTTGTTCAGACCCAGATAAGAGTGGGCTGTCATGAATGTCACTCTTTGTAACCGCGTGAGGATGACCTGCACAATATGTGCGGTCGCTTTGGGGTAGACCCGGGTAAGACGGCGGAAAGCACTAGCGGGTATAATTGCTATAGTTGTGTCGACCATTGCCCGCGCCACAATATCTGGATGAACCGACTTCTGGCCATGCTTGCCTCGGTGCGCTCTTGTACTTGATTGGGCATTCTGGGTGTTGGGCGTGGGCGGTGTGTGACTTTCACCAAGGTGTAAGGGAGGCACAGGTGGCAAGAAGTCCGCACTATCGTTGATATGGGAGGTAAAGCTGCGGTCTCTGGGAAGGGTCGGCGGAGAAGCATCCAGCGCCTGAGGGCTAGTCGGGAAGGAGTCGGACAAACGTGAAGGGGCAGGTCTTAGGACAGATGAGCTCTGCTCAGCACTATCCCCATATCTCAATTGGACATCTTCCGTGAACAGTGACAGTATAGAGAACAGAGACGACATCGAGGCGCCATTCTTGACCTCAGTCAAAAGTTGGTAGCCTTGTCTCCCATCGACGTTGTGGTCATCCTCGTCCGACGACGCGCAATTCGTTTCTCTCTCTTCAGCCGACTCTCCCTCTCGAGTTGATTTGACGAAAATCTGTACCAATCCGTCGACAACCAGACAAAAGCCTTTCTCCTCTTCCAACAGAAGCGTCTCGCCCGCGATTAGCTTCCTAGTTTGCATTGTTCGCGTCAACTCATGGAAAACCGGTCTCTCCAAATAACCGAAGACTTTGATCGCGCTGAGGAATTCATCCAGGTAGTTGGCTAGACCAGGCTTGGAGTCTTCCTCTTGAAGGTTTGGAAAGAGGTCGAGCTGGGGTTCCTTGCGTTGCGGCTCCGGAGGCAATCGGCTGTACATGTTCAGGAAGCGGTAGCGTATGAACCAGCTGATGGTTGAGACCACGGCCAGCGCGATGAGCAATCTATGATTGCACCAGGCATTGTGTTAGTGTGTTGTCGGGGCCAGGACCAGGATCGGGCTTGTCTGGGTCAACCACTCACAGCGTTGTGAAATTCATTGTGAAGGTCAAGCTCATAGAGAACAGCGTGAACAGCCATGTTGGAAGAGTAATTGTCGAGAAGGTAATAATCCAGTATAGCACACTTGGAATGACCTGGAAGAGGACGGAAAACACCCAACCAATCCACCCCACCATGGTTGTCGGAGTAGGAGGGGGTACTGGCCGGGGCGGAAAATGGGAGGAGAAGCCGGGCACCAGGGAGATGCTGGCGGTTATGGCCGGAGGGGTTGGATTTGCGAGGAATGGAGTGGAAGTCGATGAGGCAGAAGGAAAGACATGTTGGAGAGAAGTGTCCAAGCTCGAGGAGGCAAGCAAGGTCATAGCGGACATTCCGCCGTCGGTCATGATGCCATCAGACTTCCCTGCTTTGAACGGCGGCCCGCTAAGGTACGGGGGGGAAGTGGGCTAGTCACGAATGGAGTCTCAGATAGGCAGCGAGGGCCACCTGCCAGATGCGGTATTCCCGTGGTTTCCAACTCACTGACTGATATCGACCTTTTCGACCTACCAAGTGCAGCAATTAAAAAGTCAATCGTACCCTGTGCAAGTGGTAAATAGACATGCAGCGCAGGCCGCAACATGAGAGCAAGTCAAAAACAACGTGGGCTAGGAAATGGTTGTGGCTGGTCTATCGCAAGATGGAAACGAAGGGAAAGGAAGGGGAAGAACCGCCCTTGACCGCATTTGGCCTTAGTAGCAACGCCCCGTCCATGTTTCTGATGAACCTCGGAGAATGGTCCAGACTTCCACAAGTTACTACTCCGGAGCGAGATGCTTGTGTCTCTTACCTTAAGCACTGCCGAAGTCTCAGTGTAGTATACTATTCTCAGGTAAGGCCATACAATTGGGCACTACAGGGTTCTCACATCTATCTCCAGTACGAAGAACTATCTTCGTCTAATTGTGTAATCATGACAAGGTGTCAATGGTAAAAGACCTCGAGCTTCGTCTAAATATATATTCCGTAATAGCGTTATTATCTTTCTAAGAACGATCTCCATAATGAATATCAATGATCTCGAAGAGCCAATGTAAGCGCTACGCAAAATTAAAGTCTCTCCATGCAAGATAAAGTAATTCTCAGCTGACTTACATCCAAACAACAACTAAATGCCCAAGTTGCTGCTGCGATTGTCGCCCCCGAGTCGGCACATAATCACCCTTTTTTGCTGCCCGTTCCCGCCTGCCTTGGCCGCCCGTGCCAGAGCGAAAGGCGATTGAACAACTGGAACTGCCGCGTATGAGCCTCCACCGCCGCCTGCTGCGGAATCTCCCCAGCCCGTCCTTACATGCTGTTACTCCCCTTCTTCCCTCTCTTTCGTTTGTTCCTCTGTATTATCCTCCTCGGTCGCATTCTCCTCTTTTGTCTCTCCTTTATCAACTTTTGTGCCGTGGCCTTGGCTCACAGGCCCGCTTCGGCCATGTTTCAGGTAACAGCACAACGTCTCCCGCTCCGAATCAGGCACACCCCTCGTGCACCTCCTGCTCGTGCTAATCATACCGTCTTGGTGACAACACAGCGTTTGCGCGACGCGATCGACTCGCGGATTGCCGAGGAGCAAGCCCGTCAACGCTCCGCCCAAACCTCCATCTCCCGCTCCAACTCCGCCCGCCAACCTTCGAACCGCACGACCACTTCCCCATCCCGCCGCTCTGGCCGCCCGCGCCGCAACACCGGCACCCCCGTCCGGGGCCCCGACCCCAATGAATTCGAGCCCGAGTTCGCCATTGGGGATGATGACTCCTCGAGTAGATCGGGAACGCCGCGACCGGAGGCCGCAGCTGGAGGAGGCTCCGAAACCACTCCGGAAGGCAACAATGCGGCAGCCGGAGAGGGCCAAGGGCAGGAGGGGCCCGTAACGGAGAAGGAGTCCACACCGGCAATTGCGGAAGGCAACAACAACAACCAGTCCTCCTCCACCTCGGATCTGCCTCCAGAGGTTCGGGTCAAGTTGCGGCGGCTGGCCAAATTGGAACCCCGCTACCAAGGTATGCAGCGCAATCCACGCAGGGGGAGCTTTTGGCAACGCAGACTAATGTGGTCTTTCGGTGATCATCAGAGCTTCTCAAAGCCTATCGCATGGCACACTCGCGAGTCCTTTCCATCGAACCCTTCGAGGCTGCTCTTCGTGAAAATACCCCCTTGACTTCCATCGGCGAACCGAAAGCCCTGACCGAGTACTTGAACCAGCTGTCGCTGAAGGGAGATATGGTGGTGGAGGAGCTCAAGCGCGTGACCACCGAGAGGGATGACTACAAGAAGAAACTGGAAGAGGCTCAAAAGGCAACCAAGGCTGCATTGGATGAGGTTGCGCAACTCAAGGCTGAGAAGGAATTAAATGAGAAAGCCTCGGACGCCAGTGAGTCGGTCGCGAAGTCTGAGGAGAAGCCTACAATGGAGGGCACTGCTGTGATTGCCGCATCACCGAAGAAGTCGGCTGAACATCAAGGTGATAGTGAAGAGTTCTTTTCTTACGATAGCGAGATCCCTCGTCTGGAGTCCGAGCTGAAAGAGAAGCAGGAGGAGATCGAGTCCATGAAGACTCAAATGGAGTCGCTGAAGCGTGATCTAGCAGTGGCGCGAGAGTCCACCGAGGGCATGGTTCACAACCTCGAATCCGCAACCCGAGAGCTCACAGAACTGCGTGATTTCAAGGATAAGCAGGACACAGAACTCGAGAAGCTGCAGTCTTCCAAGCAAGGAGAGCTTGACGATCTGAAGGCTAAGCTTGAAAAGTCCGAAGAAATGGCATCGAAGACTAGCGCGGAGATTGAGAAACTAAAGTCCGATTTGACAGAACGGACCGAAGAAATCGAGAAATTGCAAGCTAAGGCCTCTCCATCCCCTGCTGCCGGGAAGGATGCCGATCTTACTGCAAAGTTGGAAAAGATGGAGCAGATGAAGGAGGCTAATGAGAAACGTCTCAGTGTACTACAGGGTCTTGTCGACAGCCTCCGATCCCAGCTGAAGGAGAGCGAAGAGGCAATGACAAAACTGAAGGCCGATGCTGAGCAGAAGAAGGAAAACAACCTGCAATTACAAAACGTCGTTGACTTCCTCGACACTAATATGGAAGGCAATGCCACATGGCAATTGACCAAGGAACAAGTCATTGGCGGTAAGCAAGCTAATTTCGATGAACTTCGTGAAAGCTTAGTTCCCAGCCTTAGCGCCACTGAAGCTCAGCAGGAGCCGACGGAGACTGTAAAGCCGGTTGTGAACCCGCCAAGCGCTGCGGGAAGTGGTAAAAAGAAGAACAAGAAAAAGAAGAAGGGAGGGGCTGGCGGTGCCAAGGTCGGCGAAGAGGCTAGCAAAGCAACGGAAGCTGACCAGGAACCGTCGCCAAGCGCGGAACCTGCTTCTGCACAATTGACAGCGAAGGTGGCTGAGTTGGAAGAAAGTATTGATACACTCAAGAAGCAGTTGGACGAGAAGGATGCCGCTATCGACCGTCTCAGCTCGAAACTCAAGGGCGAGGAAGACCTGAAGGAGGAGATCGAGTCCCTCCGTGACGACTTGCTTCACATAGGTCAAGAGCATGTGGAGTCAAAAGATAAAGTGAAGGTGCTGACTGCGGAGAAGCAAGCCTTGGAGGAATCCATCGCTAAGCTGGAGAAGGAGTTGACGGATCTACGCACAAACATTGCGTCACATGCGTCTCAAAATGCTGATTCGGAGAAAGCGCATAATGATCTCAAGGAGGAGTACGAGAGTATCAAGATCAAGCTCACAGCGCTCGAAACTGAGCTATCTGCTGCTCAACAATTGGCTGCCACAAGGTTCAAAGACATCACGGAATTGCGCGAGACTCTCCAGAGACTTCAGCCAGAGCTGAAGAAGCTGCGCGCCGAATCTTCGGAGCTCAAGTCCACCAAGGAGTCCCTCACAAGCAAGACGAATGAGTTGAGAAATCTGGAGAGCAAACACGATGACCTGCGGGCCGAGCTCAAGACCCTGAAGAACACGATGTCTGAGCGAGAGAAAGAAGTGAAGACACTCAATAATAAGATCAAGCAGGAAACCGACAGTAGGCTCAAGGCCGAGGAGAAATTGACGGTCGCCCAGTCTGACCTGAGGTACTCGGAGAGTAAGAAGCAGGAAGCTACGGAGGCTAGGGAGAAGGCCACCTCAGAGCTGTCTAAGACTCAGGGGGAGCTCAAAACCGCCCGCGCCCGGCTCCGCGAAAGCGAATCCCAGGCCAGTCAGATCAACAAAGAACTTCAAGGCCTGCGGGAGGAGATTCAACTCAAGACCGCCCAGCACGCTAGTGCTCAAAGTTTGATGAATAGTATGCGCGACCAAGCTGCTGAATTGGGTATGCAGATGAAAGAGGCTCGCGAACGCTGCGAAAGTCTCGAAGAAGAATTAGCGGATGCTCACCGGCTGCTGAGCGAACGCACTCGCGAAGGAGAGACCATGCGGCGTCTTCTGAACGACATCGAAAGTCGCACCGATGCCAAGGTGCGCGATTTCAAGGAACGTATGGAAGCCGCCATTGAGGAGCGAGATCGCGCCGAGGATGAAGCCAGTGCTCAGGGTCGACGCCGTGCGCGTGAGCTGGAAGACCTGAAGAGTAAGCTACGCGAAGCCGAGCGAGCTCTGCGAAGTGCGGAGCAGGATAAAGAGGAACTGGAGCAGACTCAGAAGGATTGGAAACGTAGACGGGATCAACTGGAGGCCGAATCTGAGAAGACGACCCAGGAGCTTGCCGATCTGCGACAGGCCATGGCAGGTCTGCGCGATTCGCTGGATGAAAGCGAGAAGCAGGTGCGCGACCTTGAGAAGGAGAAAGCCGAGCTGCGCCGATCCGTCGAGGAAACGAATTCCCGTTTGGAAAAGCTGCGTAAATCGAACAAGCTGCTCCCTGATGAAGGTCGCTTTGGTCATACTACACAGTCGTCACGGTCCTCGATCGATTCTGGCTCGAGAAGAACCATCACCTCCCCAGTTGCGAAAGAGCACAGTCCGTCGACACGCAGCGGCACGCCCACTGGAGTCGGCGCAGGGTCCATTGATTACATTTATCTGAAGAATGTTCTTCTCCAGTTCCTGGAGCAGAAGGATAAGAACTATCAGAAGCAGCTGATTCCCGTTCTCGGCATGCTGCTGCACTTTGATCGGTCAGTATTATGCGTATCCTCTTGCATATCGTATAAACAGCTAACCTGTCATAGAACGGACGAGCAGAAATGGATGTCGGCCATTTCCTCCAAGTAAATGCTCTGGTAGCCTTCAAGCACATATTTGTAACTGTACATAGTCGCATATATCTCTTCGCAAACACATATTCACACCTTCCCCTCCCTTCGTCTTCGTCATTCTTCTATTCGATTCCCCAGTGTATACATGCGCGCTCTTTCTGAGTCACTCTGGACACCGGGAAAGTCAAAGGTAAGGCGCGAAATTCCGTAAGGCGTGGAGTTCCAGCCAAAGAGAGCCAGCCTCGATACGGATGTGGTGGGGAAAAGACCCATCGGTCTAGGCGGGTCTTCGAATTCGGGGAAGCCAGAGACACTATAAGAAGGACATTCGTTCTCCTCATAGCTACATCCCCCAACTGAATCATTTACTGACACCTCATCTTGCATTCCTCCTTCCGCACAATGTCTGCACAACCTACAATTCGTCTCGCGACGCCTGAGGGTAGGCCTACCAGTACCCTCACTGACCATGTCATGCTACAGCCTCACTGACCGGATCAATGCAGACGTCCCCATCATCCTCCAATTCATCCGGGAGCTTGCCGACTACGAGAAGGCTCTCCACGAAGTCGAGGCAACCGAGGAGTCTCTCCTGGCGACACTGTCTTTTCCCGACTCTACCCCCAAGCGAGGCTCTGTCTACACTGCGCTCGTCATCCCTCCGGCAACTGCGGAGCAGCCCACCCCCCTGCCAGTGGGCATGGCCCTTTTCTTCTACAACTACTCCACCTGGCGCTCCGCTCCGGGCATCTACCTCGAGGACCTCTACGTACAGCCGAGCGCGCGCGGCAACGGATATGGCTTCAAGCTACTCAAGTACCTTGCGGCTAAGGTCCTGGAGGTCAACGGCAGACGGCTAGAATGGAGCGTCCTCAAGTGGAACGAGCCCAGCATCAAGTTCTACGAGCAGGTGGGCGCCAAAGCGATGGATGAGTGGACCAAGATGATGATGGAGGGACCCGCTTTGAACAAGCTTGCGGAAGGCATCTGATCGCGCGCGAGTTTTGACTCTGGTTCGTGAATCATCAGGCGATTATTGTGAGTCTGGCCACGGGAGGACACACACCAATGCCCTTCTGACACGTTAAGTTAACAAGTGTCTTGCGGGTTGTGTCGTGGTTTGCGCTGGTCGACTTCTCAGAAGAGTCGCTTTCGAGGCTCTCAGCAGGAAGGACTGGAACTCGGTAACCCTTGGCTATATTTTTCTCAATCGCTGAACATGTACATACATTGAAAATACCCCCGAGTGAGGATCACATTTCGAGCAATATACAGAATAGAGTTCTTAGTGTTCAACATTTACTCTGTAGGATGCGAGATCGAGGAAATTTGTTGTATCATGCGACCACGAAAATAGAATCCAGATCTTAGACAATTGACGATCGGGTCGATCCAGAGGGCAGATGAATGCATAGTGACGGAGGGGGAGGGTCCAAGCCACCGCCCAGGGCTAACCCTACAGTCAAGCTTCGAAGGTGACGTCGTCATCGCGGGCGGAAGGGAACCCCCCCAAACATCCCCTGATAAAAGCTTCACGCAGCGGCCATCTCTTGGATAAGAGCTCACCACATTATTCGATCGCACGGATGACTTAAAAGCTTACATCTTCTTCTGATATGGCTTCTACAACTCCTCGCGATCCCGTGCATAATAACCACTATGTCGACTACGTCATTCGTTATAACTTTGGCGATAATGGTAAGTGCGCCACCGTACCTGGCTGGCTATTATCATTGAGTTTCCCAGCCCTGACCCTGTGTAGACATCGTACAGACTACGGAGCAACTAGAACGACTGCTGCATAAGCTGTTTGAGGTCGGATTACAAACCGAAGTGAGGCAGGGTGACGAAACATCTCTGCTGGTCTTTGTCCGTGCTGCGCGCAAGAAGAGTCTCCAACGCGCAGTGTATCAGTCCCGGTGGGTCCTTACCTGCGTCTTTTTCTATGAAGGACTTGCCGCTTACCGTGACGTCCTCATTCTTTTCGCAGAATCCGCGACTGGCTCTATGGCGTCCGCAACACCGAGCCCGAGCCGGAATCCTCGGCCGAGCCGCAGTCCGAGTCGGAGCGACTGCGCGTCATCTACCACATGATGACAGTACCCAAGGAGGCTGGCGGTGCTGGTATCACTCCGAAACATGGGGAGTGGAAGAATGTGGATTCGATCTTTCCCTTGCATGATGAGGAGATGAACAAGCAGTGCATGAAAGACTGGAGCCAGAAGACGTTCCTGTCCCCGGAGGATCTAGATCAGATACGCAATATCTTCGGAGAGAGTGTGGGTACCCTTCACGGATTCGATGCTCAGTGCAGTGTCTGGAAACTGACAACCGTGCGGAACTCTAGGTCGGCTTTTACTTCTCGTTCCTTCAGTCTTACTTCAGATTCCTCCTGTTTCCCGCGATCTTTGGGTTTTCCTGCTGGCTTCTGATTGGGTCGTTCTCAATTGTTTACTCCGTGGTCAACTGCCTCTGGTGCATCGTGTTTATTGAATACTGGAAACGGCAGGAGGAGGACCTGAGTTGTCGATGGCAGACCAAAGGAGTTTCCGCCGTCCGCGAGAAACGGCGCGAGTTTAGGCCGGAAAGAGATATCCGGGACGAGAGTACCGGGGAGATCAAGGGCGTGTTTCCAGCGACAACGCGCATGTGCAGACAGTTGCTCCAGATCCCCTTCGCCTTGCTGTCCATCATCGCTCTGGGAGTTATTATCGCGACATGCTTTGCCATTGAGATCTTCATCTCTGAGATCTATAACGGGCCCCTCAAGTCGTACTTGGTAGGCCTCGCTAGTACCTGGTGCTACTTCGTTCAAATAAGCTGACGGATCAGGTCTTCATTCCCACTATCTTGCTCTCGGCCTTGATTCCGACGATGAGTACGGTCTTGGTGTCGGTTGCGACCAAGCTGAACGACTACGAAAACTACGAAACGCAACAAGCTTACGATGTCGCATTGACGCAGAAGATCTTCGTTATCAACTTCATCACATCATACCTCCCTGTGTTCTTGACAGCCTTTGTCTATGTGCCCTTCGCTAGCCGGATTGTGCCACACCTTGACGTTTTCCAGGTGACTGTTCGTCCATTTGTCTCGAAAGAGGTTGCTACGAAGTCACGTACTGAATTCAGCATGGACCCCGATCGCCTACGGAAGCAAGTCATCTATTTCACCGTCACAGCTCAGGTAGTCGGTCTCGCCATGGAGACCGTCGTACCGTTTCTGAAGCAGCGTCTTCTACGCCAATACAAAGATTACCTTCGCAAGAAGAACGGAAAGGTGGAGTCGGATTCCAGCTCTGAAGAAGAGGAATCGCCAGAGGCTTTGTTCGACGACCACCCCGATGAGACCAAGTTCCTCATTCGCGTCCGCAATGAGGCCGATTTGTCTGACTATGATGTGACCGACGATCTGCGCGAGATGTGCATCCAGTTTGGTTACTTGGCTCTATTCTCTCCGGTCTGGCCTCTCGTCCCCGTTTCGTTCCTGATCAATAACTGGATTGAACTCCGGTCCGACTTCTTTAAGATCTGCGTCGAGTGCAAGAGACCCTGGCCGCAACGCGCGGAGACAATTGGCCCCTGGCTGGATAGCCTTGGATTCCTGTCATGGGTTGGTAGCATTACTACCGCAGCACTTGCGTACATGTTCAGCACTAGCCACGAGGGACCCGGTGGCGAGCCGACTACGATCAAAGGATGGGCCTTGCTTCTGACCATTTTCTTCTGCGAGCATATCTACCTTATCGTGCGCTATGCAGTGCGAGCGGCCATGGCCAAGCTTGAGCCTCCGAATGTGCGCAAGGAGAAGACTGAGCGATACCTTGTGCGAAAGAGGTATCTGGAGTCCACGGTTGGAGCCAGAAGCAGTGACGATGAGATCGATGTCGACCAGAAAGAGGACCAGTCGGAGCAGCTTTCTCAGCTGACTCGTGATACTCTGGAGGACGACGCTCGTTCCTGGGCGACTCATGACACGGATCCCGCTGAGCGGTTCTGGATGCGGCAGAAAGGGTGGAAGGAATCCTCCCAAGTCGGCGCAACGATCATCAAAACGCTCAAGAGAGACTCGAACGCCAAGAAGCAGCAGTGAGGAAGAGACATCTTTTCGACCGTTGGATGTTGTGTACTATGATGCTTGTGCTGCCTGGTAGTGACCAGTGTGAAAGGAATTGTTCATATACAGCTCATGACTTGTTGTGATAAAGTACAAGTTCATATCTTTGTTTATTAGTTTCATGATCAACTGTATTCTGTACATAGTTACCTGCTGTATACGAAGATGAGCAGTATCGAACAGTCGTCACAATTTCTATGCCCGATGTGCTGGATTTGCAAAGGTATTTGAAAATAAACGGCCAAGTTGATCCGCTGGCTGGCTGGCGATCTTCACTTATCAACTGCAAGAACAATGAAGATAGTGATTTGATCCACAGGTGTCGGCGTTCCGATGCCGAGACTCCGACGGAAGCCTCGGAGATATCGCACCGAGAGTAGCCATCAATAGTGCCCATTGAAAAAGGATAACGCCATCCTTTGCGATTGTGATCATTGGTTCAGGGTGGTTGCACCACTTTGTCAATCCCCTCTGCATTGTGACAATCCGCGGCCTCAATACAAGCCCAGAAGCACGCCGACCGTGGATGAGTCAGCACCTGCATGCCGGATCAGTCATCGATCCGAGGGAATGATGAACGGCTTTGTCAGCAATATCGGCGCGAACCAAGAATAAGAACAACAAGAATAGCTACAGTTACAATAGAGGGATGGTCGAATGAACCTACGAAGCAGGCTAAGTTCTTAGCAGTCAGACACTTCTACCTTGTAGTTACTGGTAATATTTAGGTACATACCAGTCGGAGTCATGTCTCCGTAGTCATCGCATAAGTCATTGTCGGAAGTTGAGGAACTGTGCCAAGAACTAAACAACCCAAATAGGAATTTAGTCTATTCCGGGCGTACGCACTCGAGTCTTGAGTGCCGGAATGTGGCTTGGACACCTGAGGCAATCATGATTCACCAGATTCCAGCCCCTACCGGGGGGAGCTGCCGGGGGAAGAAGGTGTTTAACAATCGTTGGTGACCTTTTTCCCTTCCCTTCCTTTCCCTCTCTCCCTTCTCCGTCCTACACGTCACCGTCTGACTGATACTTTAACTAATCGCCCCCCCCCCCTTCCAGTCTCACTTGCTTACGAGATCAGTCCTCCCCTCCCTTCCCTTTCCCCCCAGGTTTATTCAACGCCAAAAATAGTCAGCATTTGGACTATCAAAGCGAAACGGACATAACTCGTACCTCACCTCACCAAGTACCGTACTAGCGCTAGCACTTCCACTTCCAGGAAAGCTATCTCCGACGTCGTCTGCTTACCTCATCCTCTCCCTCCCCTCCGTTTCCCTTGTCATTCTCTACATCCTCTCTCCCTTCTTAAGAGAACCAGGACTTCTATACAAGCTGAGCTGTTCGACGGCCCCCTTGCCCGACTCGAATTGGTGATATTTTGTTCTGTTTGGGCGCATCCTCGTTGTTTTCGAATTCTGTACTCTCGATGCAGCCCACACTAGCCCCAGCGCCGCATCCAAGCATGCAAACCTCTGCTCAGGTAAGCAGCCTAATCGTGTCGCGGTTTGTCATCAGATCGCGTTTGTCCCATCCACCCATTGCCCCAGATCGTTCCCGAGTGATTTGCTTGTAGACATCGGACCCTGTTCTGTCTGTTCTCACGGTCGCTTCGGCTGCGATTTGGGTCCACGATGGGGGCTACACCCGAGAATCGACGACGCGACTGTCTTCAGCGCCTCCCCGGTCGCGTCGCGACGATTACCTGAATGATCAACAGTGATGATGATGCTAACATTGACCTGTCTCATAGGATCATGCGGATCAGGGTAAGCTCTTACCTCTTGACCCAGTATTAGAGTTGAGTCGATACATGAGCTATGGCGACCAGAAAATTTCTCGCGTAGCTGACATCGACTCAACGGGCGCGTCTGTTGGCGGCCAACCTCGCCAAACTAGTGACCTTGACTTGCGAGACCCGAATGCTAATGCGACATCTGTACCAGTGCTGCACGATCAGCTGCTAGCTGCTCATCAACATATGTCTCACCCACAGCAACCGCGCCCGCAACCGCAGACGGCACCGCCTCCGCATATGCAACCCAATATCACGAGTCCTCGAGATCAGAACAACATTGACCCTGCCATTTCAGGCGCCACAATGCTGAGTGGTCCCCCGCAAACACCCCCTCAACCCGAGCCTACGAGCCAAGAATCGCCCAAGACCTATGGCAAGCGACCGCTGTCGACCTCCAAGCGCGCTGCGCAGAATCGTGCCGCACAAGTGAGTAAGCCCTTGTCGCCTGAATGAGAATTCGGAGAATGCGAGGCTGACTTTAGCAGAGAGCTTTCCGCCAACGGAAAGAGAGTTACATCCGAAAACTGGAAGAACAAGTCAAGGAATTCGATGGCATGTCAGAGACGCTGAAGGCCCTTCAGGCTGAGAATTACCAGCTGCGAGAACACATCATCAACCTGCAATCCCGGCTACTGGACTCGCAGGGCGAGATCCCCGAGCTGCCCGGCAACATTGATTTGAGCCAGCCACGAGCAGACCTGTCCCTTCCTGGCACCGGTCCAGCACCCACGGGGGCACCTGCCCAGGCTCCTCCAGGACCTCCCCAACAGCCTCAAGCCCAAACGCAAGCATCTGCGCCCAATGACGATATGAACTCGCTGAACCGCATCGCCGTGGCTGGTCTGGGTATGCGCAAGCACCCGAATGAGGAAGCCAATTTTCTAGGAAACAACTTCCAAGCTCGCCGCCCGCGCGCCGATGAAGGTCAACCAGATGCATCCGACGTCCCGAAGACGGAAATGAGCCACGGCTTGCCGGTTGTTTCATGAGGCATCACGTCATATTGATCACCTACTCTACGTTATTTTTTTGCTGTTTTTCTGCCCCCGTTGATCCTCGAGTTTAACCATCCCGATTGCTCTAGCTTGCAGTTTTTCTCCCACCCTTCTATGTATCCTCCTCGGTGTAAGGCGCCATGTATCTAGGTATTATCTCTGGCTCAGGAAGAAGCGGCGTTCTGCGTTCACTCTTCATATTCTCTGTCTACTTTATCATATGAAACCTAGAAGGGAAGAAAATGATAACCACGCTAGCATGCCTTTATATATGTTTCCTACTCAATTGCAGACCTCATCATCATCACTTTCAAAAATTGTAGTCCAAGAATTCTGTTATTTATGCCTCTTTCTCGCCTCAATTTGACTTAAATGGGTGACACGGAGAAGGCAAAGAAGGCTACCGGAAGAGTGACTCCTCTGAACGTGGAGGTGCTTTTCCGTCCGCTGCAGTGACTTGATTATTCTATTTATGGAGGCTGGGTCTGGAACATTTTCTGTATAAAAGTGCGATGTGAAGGTTTGTTTTTTCTCTTCTCACAAACAGAGACCCCTCATTGGCTTGGACATGATCTCTAAGAGTACCTATCCATGGGTTTTAATGACAGGGTTTGTTAAGTTTGCTTACCCCACACTTATTGTTTATCATCTTCCCCCACCTACACTTTCCAGCATTGCCCCTCCTTTCAGTCAGACGAGAGAGAGAGAGAGCCATCTGTGCTCGGATGCCACATACCGTTCCACTCAATCTCCCCATGCTGAAGAATTGTTCGACAACATGGCTGGCCCAACTCTGATTCAAGGACCCGATGATCCCGTCGGGTACCGGCCCCGGACCTATCAGACGGAGATGTATGAGGCCAGTTTGAAAGGCAATATCATCGTAACGGTGAGGTCAAACAGCGGCAAACCGGTCAAACGGACAACTAACGGCGTCTCTCGCTTTGTTAGATGGGCACTGGCAGCGGAAAGACGCACATGTATGCTCTGCTACTATGCCCCCACAGGCACTTATGTATGCTTTCAACCCTAATCATGACTATATAGAGCCTTGTTGCGGATCAAGACAGAGCTGGAGAGGAACCCACACAAGGTGAGAAGAAAAAAGAAAAGCACTGCACCTCCGATGTACACAGTTCAACTGATGCGAGTTGCGAGAAGTTGATCTGGTTCTTGACCCCCACTGTTGCTCTGTGTCAACAGCAGCATCAAGCGATCTCAGCGCATATCCCCGCCATGAGAGCAAGAACGCTCACCGGGCTAGATAAAGTGGAGTTGTGGACAGACCAGACCGTCTGGGATGCAGTGCTTCAGGACGTCCAGGTAGTCTTCTCCACACATGCGGTCTTGGCCGATGCTATGAGCCATGGATTCGTGAGGATCGGTCAAGTGGGTTTGATAATCTTTGATGAAGGTAAGTGAGCGGCGTAGAGCTTCTTACTGGTGGTAGCAGGACGAGGCTTATGATATCGAACAACACTAGCCCACCATTGCATGCGACGTCACCCAGCCAATAAGATAATGCAAGACTTTTATCATCCGGCTCTTGCGGAGTACGGCTACAATGCAGTGCCAAAGATATTGGGTCTGACGGCGAGTCCGATTGTGAGATCCAAGCCGGAGGAGCTCCGGTGAGTGTGGTCAAGAACATGTTGGCCTGTCTTCTCCGTGTTGACCGCCATGAAATTAGAAAGATCGAGGCCAACCTGGATGCAATCTGCAAGACACCCCGCAAGCATCGACACGAGCTGCGGAGGTTCACGCACTGCCCTCATCTGCGTCCAATGTTCTATACTCCTTTTGATCCTGAGACAGAGGTAATTGGGAGCAGGACATTGCGAGCCCTTATAATTGCCTGGCAGGATCTCGACATTGAAACTGACCCGTATGTCAGGCAGCTGCGAAAAAGTCCCGTAAATGGGACCGCACTGCAGAAAGTGCTTCTCTCAGGCAAGACCTTTTGTCGCGAGCAGCTGAGGAAATTCGTGGCCCGAAGCACACATATCTTTGAGGAACTCGGGGAGTGGGCTGCTGACTATTACATCGCTGCGTCCTTTGAACAACTAAGATCGAAGTCAGAGGACTCTCAATCCGCGTCGGGATGGACAGATGAGGAGAGAGCCTACCTGATTAGATTCTTGTCCGAACTCCCTGACCCGAAAGTCACGCTCACATCACCCAACGCGGATGATTATCGAATATCTCGGAAACTGGGCGTCCTTTTAGGATTCCTGCACGAAAGAGCACACCCGAACTTTGCAGGGTTGGTCTTCGCAAAGCAGCGTGTAACTGTTAGTGTGCTGGCGCGACTCCTGTCAGTCCACCCGTCGACGAGGGGTCGCTTTCGCTCTGCCGCCTATGTTGGCTGGTCCAACGGTGGCAGCAAAGACGTTCTGGGCGAGCTCTTGGATCCTCGACTGCAGCGTGAAACCCTGAGCGACTTCAAAAGTGGACAGACAAACCTGATAGTCGCAACCGATGTGCTTGAGGAGGGTATTGACATTAGTGCATGTAGCGTGGTGGTTTGTTACGACAAGCCACCCAATTTGAAATCGTTTGTGCAGCGTCGCGGGCGGGCACGACATAGGGAGTCGACCTATGCCATTATGTTCGCAGATAATGACGAATCTGCTGGAACCAGCAGATGGGAATCTCTTGAGCAAGCCATGATAAGAGCTTACGAAGATGACGAACGGAGATTGCTGGAGGCGTGTGCCCTTGAGGAGCTCAACGAAGAAGTGACGGAAAGACTTATCGTTGAGTCTACCGGGTATGCACGATTTCAGAACCCTACTATCGCATTATCCAGCTAATGCCTGATACAGTGCTGTGCTCACGGCAGATGGTGCTGTCGCACATCTGACGCATTTCTGCGATGTCTTGCCCCGTCAGTCCTATGTCGATACTCGGGCCGAATACTCGTATGAAATGGACGATGCAGGATTGCTGAGAGGAACAGTGATTCTTCCCGCATGTGTTCACCCCAACGTTCGTCGCACCGACGGCAAGCGATGGTGGAAAACAGAACGGGCAGCGAGAAAAGAAGCAGCCTTTCAGACATACAAAGCGCTGTACGAGTTCGGTTTGCTGAACGACAATCTTCTCCCGTTCACCGGCAAAGAAGAACTCGAGAAGACTGATGCTGCGGACATTCCAGCTCTACTAGAAGTGGCAGAACAGTATGATCCTTGGGTTGATTGGGCGTATTCATGGTCCTCGCCAGATCTCCATCAGACTCGAATTGCTGTTGGACGCAATGGAGAGGCCGCCCACCTGTACGTGAGGTTGACTACACCGACCGTGTTGCCAATACTCAACCCGATGACTTTATTCTGGGACAGCAACACGACCTTCACATTGAACTTTGAGGCTCCCAATCGGGCAGTGGGTCTGACTGCTGACGCCGTAGAGCATATCGGGTCGATCACCTCACTTCTCCTCAGGGCAACTAGTTCGAAACCTACGACACCAGAGCAAGACTTTGTGCTGCTATTTGGGCCCGACGTACCTCACACTGAGCTGGAAAGCTGGTTCCTCCAGTATCAGGGTATTGAGTCTGCTTGTGATGTGTATGCCCGCAACCATCACCCTGCCGTGATGGGTGTCGTGAGAGATTGCTACAACAATCCGATGCTTTTCCGGGAGTGGATTGTAACAGAAGAGGACGGCTTGACTGTTGTGAAAGTCGAGTGTACCAGCCTCCCTCGCAGGAGAAACCTTCTGCATCGCCAAACGTTGGCTGCAAAGATAGATGACGATATGCCCGTCACTTCTGCGCGAGTGTGCGTTATACCAGCAGACTCATGCACTATCGAAAAGCTTTCATTTACGCAGAGCATTTTTGGCCGCTTCATATCTGCTATTATCGACAGACTGGAAGCGAATTTACTTGCGACGAGGCTGTGTCAGACGATCTTGCAAGACGTCGACTTCTCGAACACCGGCCATGTTATAACTGCCATCACCACACCCTCAGCCAGCGCCTTAACGAACTATCAACGGTATGAATTCTTCGGTGACACGGTTTTGAAGTTCACTGTATCCTGCCAGCTCTTCTTCCAGAACCCCAACTGGCACGAGGGGTACTTGTCCCAGGGAAGGGACTCGATCATCAAGAATCATCGCCTCGCTCGCGCCGCGCTCGACGCCGGGCTGGACGCTTTCATCATCAACAAGGTTTCCATGCCGCGCAAGTGGAGTGCGCCGCTCATCTCCGAGAAACTAGCCTCTGCTGCCGGTCGACGTTCGATGTCGACGAAGGTGCTTGCTGATGTAGTGGAGGCTCTCATCGGCGCAGCGTACCTCGACGGCGGATTTGATCGAGCCCACGCCTGCATCCGACGCTTTCTCCCCGAAGTTGACCTCGAACACCTGGGCCAGGCTCTGCCCCCCGCCGAGTCCCCCACCCAGCACACCGTCAACGACGAGAAGCTCGTCGAGCGCATCGGCTACACGTTCCAGAACCCCACGATCCTCGTCGAGGCGCTCACCCACCCGTCGTGCCAGCACGACGCCTCGACGCAATCGTACCAACGCCTCGAGTTCCTCGGCGACGCCGTCCTGGACATGGTCATCCTGACCACCCTCCTCGCCCACCCCACGGAAATCTCCCAGGGCGAGATGACCCGCATCAAACACGCCGTCGTGAACGCCAACCTCCTCGCCTTCTTCTGCATGGAGTTCTCCCTCACCCAAGCGCGCACCCACGTCGCAACCCACGCCGCGGATCAGATCACCCTCTCCTCCGCCACCGAGGTTCTGTCCCTCTGGCACTTCATGCGCTGCGGCGGCGGCACCGACCTCAAACACGCGCGCGACCAAGCGCTCACCCGTCACCGGGCCCTCCGCGCCTCAATCCTCGACACCCTGCACCACGGCCCCCAGTACCCCTGGCAGGCCCTCTCCACGCTCAACGCCGACAAGTTCTTCTCGGATCTCATCGAGAGCGTCCTCGGGGCGATCTTCGTGGACTCCGATGGAAGTCTCGATGAGTGTGTTAGTTTTGCAGAGAGGATCGGCCTGCTCTGGTTCCTGCGCCGCGTCTTGGCGGAGGGGGTGGATGTGGTTCATCCCAAGATGGTGGCGCAGCAGTTGGCTGCGGCGGCTGGGCTGGGGGGTACGGTGTTCACGTCGCAGCGGGTGGTGGTCTCCGAGGCGCAGGGGCCGACGGCGGCGGCGGCGGAGGAAGACGCTACGTATCGGTGTCAGGTCGAGATAGCTGGGGAGGTTGTGGTCGTGGTCGAGGGTTGTTCGTGCGCCGAGGAAGCGGAGGTCAAGGCGGCGTATCAGGCCATCGAGCTTCTGAAGAGTAGGGGGGCTTAAGGACGAAGGTAACGACGATAAGCCTATGGTTTTGCCGACGCCTACTCTCAATCTGGGGATCGGAAATTGGAATCCTCTTGGAGGAAGGGTGTTTCTTGGATGCTTGGACGCTCTTGGGAGACGGCAGTTCGCCCTACTTTCAGTACTACAGTACTTGGACCGGATCAATCACATGGTATCTTTTGGGCAAATATATAGAAGAGATCAGAGTGTTCACCTTTTGGAGGCTTGCAATGGTTATCGGGTTGATCACAGACTGCCATTTTGGGACTACTTTTGGTCTAAACATGATACTTAGGAACGGAACTAGACAGGAGAAGATTGAGCTATTAACGAGGCAAGCGTATGGGCTTTCATGCTGGCTGAACGATAACGGAAGCTTGGAATTCTATGATCGATTTTGAATCACCGAATGCCTCGGTATAACTAACTATATCGTCATTCCATACAGCTGACTAGCTTTGCCATGTACCTCAAATCCGTAATGAAAGGTGAAACGCACAAGCTACGTACTCATTGGAGTAAGAATGATGTGATGTATTGTCCCAACCATACCAAGAGAATAAAAGCAATGATACGAAAGTCCCTAAGGAGTCTACGATCGTAGCTCAGCCCTTTCTCTTCCCCGCTTTGCCACGTCCACGAGTCGTCTTCGGAACAGGTTCCTCCTGCTTCACCTCCTCCTCTTCCTCGTCTTCTGCTTCATCCTCCAACAACTGATTCTCGGCCCCCTCGACGCCATCACTCCCCGAATCGACGTGCTCATCGTCACTGGCCGCAACAATCACCCCGTCGTCCGATCGCTCGCTAACAGACGACTGGACCTCGACATCGGTGTTCTCCGCAGCGGCAGCGGCAGCGGCGGCGGCAGCGGTAAGTGCAGGCTCATTCCGTATGCCCGCAAGCACCTTCTTGGCCTCGCTCTCCTCGCCATTCCACGCGCCACAGCTCCCGCACCGCCAGCGCCCCAGCTCCTCCAGGGACTTTACCCCGGGGGGCGCCTGGCCGTTGACCAGCCGACAGTTGGCGCAGATCAACACCATGCGGTTCTTGGGCTGCGTCTCGTCCTCGCCCAGCAACACGTCCAGCAACCGATCATACCAGTGTGAGGATTCGATGTACTGCGGCGGGGTGGAGGAGAAGGCATTGGGCGCAAAACCCGGCTCGTCGAATGCAGGCGGTGAGGGCAGGTTTGACCCCGGCCCCGACCTGGGCCCCTGCTGCTGCTGCCGCTGCTCGTGGCCTGGAATCATGAACGGAGAGGGAGGAAGGTGTTGCGGCTGACCACCACCGGGAGTGGGGGGTTGCGGCTGTTGTTGTTGTTGGTGTTGCGGTGTACGACGGATATTGGCCGTCGGGGGTGGAGGTAGCCCCGTGCGTTGAACGAATGGCTGCTGCTGTTGTTGTTGGTTACGCTTCTTGCCGGCCGCCGCGGAGGCGTCAGACTTGCGCCTCTCGTCGCCGGTACGGGACTTGGTGCGCTTGAGGGCGCCACCGCCATATTTCTCCAGGAGCTGCTGGGTGGAGTTGTAGCGGGTGGCTTCTTTGAGTTTCTCGATGGTGGCGTCGCGTTGTTTCTGGAGGGAGTCGAGGTGGGCTTGTGTCTTGGTGATGCGGTAGTCGTAGTACCGTGTGGCGCCTGTGCGGACGGTGTAGATTCTGTTTGCGTAGAGAAAGCGGTATGTTAGGTTTGTTGGAGACAAGACGAGGAAAGGAGCTAGTAATTGAGGAGAGGGGAAGGGGAAGGGGAAATGAGGTCATACAGGATAGGCCCGCCCACTATGGCGGCGTATTCAGCCATCCCCCAGTTCTGCCATCCTAGCACCAGAGCCAAGATGATGGAGTAGAGGAGGTAGGCGAAGGTGGTGTAGAGGGTCCAGAGGGCCTTGAAGCGGCGGGCGTGTTGACGGTGAAGGTCGAGGCGGTTGGTGGTTCGGGTGATCTTCTCGGATAGGGCTGATAGAGCTTTCTCGAAGGATGCTGGAGAGTCGTCTTCGGCCTGATGTTGGGGGAAGGTTCCCGACGCAAGTGAGTGAGGGGAGTCGCGATCAGTGGGTGTGGAACGTACCTTGAAAGGCCACAGGCGCACCATGGCGGTGTTGTTCGTGTAGCAAGTTAAACTGAATTCTGGATAAGTGAAAGAAGACCGGGAAACAAGGATGGAATGAGGCTAAGTCAAAAGCATATTTGGTAGACGGGGAGATCTTCGTAAGTTCCCTGGAGGGGATGATATTGGAATGGAAAAGAATGACTGAATGAAGAAGTGAAAGGAAAGAATGGATGGATGGCTGGATGCTGGAGATGCGGGAACGAATTGCTGCCTCAGCTTTGAGGGGGGAAAACGACAACGACGTCAACGTCAGCTGCAGCCGCACAGACCACTTGCCGGTTACGGCCTGAAGCTCCCCTCGGCCTCAGGCTCTCTCTCTCCCCTCTCCGCTTCTCTTCCGTCTCCTCCAAGGTTATTTACTTCCTACATTTTACTGGTTGTACAATCCACACTCCATACTCGACACTTTTCGCCCCTCCACTTGAGTCGGTCTTCGTTCTTTGTTCATGCTTTCTGTCAATGACCACACTCCCATTTGCGCCTGCGCCTGCGCCTGCTACTGGCGATGACCAATTCCAAATATAACTCAGCGGACGTTGCCTCGTCACCGTGTCACAAGCATGAGCATCTGGACCTCCGTCGGCTGTCTAGATACCCCCGTGGGTCTGGCTTAGGCAGATATCAGCTGGCAGCGTTTCTATGAGATCTTGCTGAGTTGGAGTTCTGCCTGAGTACAGGAAAAGTGCTTCCTCCTACCATTTCTCATTTGGAAGAATGCCCTAGCTTGTTGTATCTACGAGATCCCACCCCGCGGTTGAGGCCCAGGGCACTCCGTATGCATAAACCGGCTGCAGCTTCTTGCGTCTTTTTGGCCACTCACAACAACCTGCCGGAAATCATCTCCTGCGTGCTTGGATCAGTGGGGTTGACACTAACCCTCCTCTCATAGGGAGGCCTACCCAATTACAAAGAGTTCACAAGGGTGTAATGCGACAGGCAGTATTGCATTGCATGCTACTCGAGTTCAAACAATAGCCAGCGAGCTTAACCCTGGAGATCGAGGATCGAGTCCCTGGTTGACAGCAGAGCTAGCCGCATTCAACCCTGAAAGCCTGCTAGCCAATTTGGCATCGATCAGCAGGGGTCTGCGCAGGGATCAGGCGAGGGAGGGCGACCACCGTAGACCCAAACATTGTCGGGGAAGCCACCAAGTCGCCGCCCACATTAGCTCTGTGGCATATGCCTCTGAGATGTGAGGGCCTAACCATGACTGAGAATCTTTCGCGGTTTCTTTGTCTGAAGTTCTGGCGAGTCGAAAGCTCGACCACATAGGCGGTTCCAGACTCGCGAGACTGCCGCCACCAACCACGGTATGGGACGGCAATAAGCTTTGGCCAATTCAGAGCAATGCAGTAGAGCGTGACGGAGCATGCAAGGGGAGCTCTTCGCTCTGATTTCAGCTTGCCAGTATCGGCAGCAATTGATTAGGTAGATACGACCAAGGCCCGACCTACCGTCTGCTGAATGGTTCGCCACGCTGGGAAGTATCAGTTTACGCGAAATCACCTTCGGCCATCCTCGCAATACGTCGAAATGGAGTCATTCATGTCGAGCAGATGCGTAACTCTCCTACCGATAGCATTTTGGCATCTAAGTGGTCGATGTTCGGCGGTCGGAAATGCATAGTCTGCATTTGCTGGGTAGAAAATCGAAGCTACCATACTTCGGATAAAGCAAGCCTTCAGCCATCGCTACGGACAAGCTTGACAGCTACCCTTGTCAAAAGCATGAGAACCACGGTATGGAAAGGATCAACCAGCAGTTCAAACTGCCCGATTATCGGTTGCTCTTGACGCGACTCAATGGAGATCACTACAGTCCAGGATTCTATTAGCTCAGCACACCCATCATGTGCGGTAGCGCCTGGGCATCGAGCCAGATTCTCTGTTGTTTTGAGACTTCTTTGTTTAGAATCTATGAGGCCCCAATGCCTCAAAGCTTCGGCTTCGACTATAATATCCACATACCTATTTATTTCGCACTATTCCCTGATGAACATCTTCTTGATATCAGAGAGCATGATTGCACAATAAACCAAACATTAACCGAGACAATAATGGCGGGCACGATTCAATTGATCCGCACTGTATCTCTTCCAAAGACCTTCTTGCTTGCATGTTTCGTGGCGGTTGCCGCGTTTGGCTCGATTGAGCTCCTGCTTCTGATATTTGACTTCTTCAAACGTCGCCGGGGGTTGTACTTTTGGAGCCTGCTCTTATCGACCCTGGCCACCCTTGTCTTCACCGTTGTCATCACACTTCTGTGGTTTGCAGTACCCCAGGCACGCTTTGGTCTGGCCTTCGTCATTGTGATATGCTATCCCACCCTTAATGTGGGCAACACCCTGGTCATCTACTCGCGGCTTCACCTCGTCACCAGTGGCCGCAAGATCCGATGGCTATTTTGGATGATCATCATCAGTTCGGTGGTGTTTCTACTCCCACAGGCCATCATCGTCGTTATTTCCGCCTCTCCCGATGGCGGACATGTCAGAAACCTTTACAGAACCTTTGAGAAGCTCTCCGTGACAGCCACCTGCGTACGCGAGATGATCGTGGGCGGCGTCTTCGTCTGGGCGACGGCGCGCAACCTCAAGCCCCTGATCATGATCAAGGGCCGTGAAGGGCGCAAGATGGTCTTCTATCTGATCGTCGCGACCACTATGATGGTTGTCACCGACATCATCATCGTGGTCGTCGTCCTCTGCGGCCAGCTCTACATTATTTCTGCGCTGACAGCTTTTTTCTCGGTCCTCAAACTGAAGCTGGAGTTCTTCAGTCTGGGGAAATTGATCCGCCTGATTCAAAGCGCTCCGGGCGTCTGTCATCACCAGGCAACTGAGGGCAGCTCCCTCCGCTTTAACAACTCCCACGAGGTCGATGGCCTGCAATTCAACGAGGGGTCTGCGCGCAGCACCGGCGCGCAGTCCGGCCAACAGCCAAGCTCGCAGGAGACGACCCAGACCCACCAAGAAGTGACAGTCAACCCGAATAAGGCCCCGGAGACGCCCTCGTCACCCGGGACGGGCGACTCGATGGCGACCACATCCCGCACGCTGTCGACTGACCCTCTCGTCCACGGCCGACAAGACCTCGAAGCCCTCGAGCCCACGCTCAGCGCTCAGCAGCATTTCACACCGCGAACATGGAGCAACGCAGTATGAGAAGCCGTCGGTGTTGGTTGGCGTTGATGTCTTGACGCTCTTCCTCGTTTCACCGGAATATGTAATACAAAAGGTTCTTTCGTGTCGCACTGGTCTGCAGACCTACTTTTTCTTCTTCAGTGATGACTATACCTTGGAGGGATGGACTCTTGTTATGTATCATGTAGCCAAGAACGAGATTATCAGCCTGTTTCCCTGTATGCTATTAGATGTCCCCGTATGTTATGATAGACCATATGTAATATGGTCCCAATACTCTTCTGGAGATACATACCCACCCAAGATATTATGATCCCCTCCACCTTGGCCCATTTGCATTCACCTTCCCTTACACATTCCTGTTGTATCAAGTATCAAGAAGACAAGCAAGCTAATCAACCCAAATAAGCCATTCGGCACCCCCAGCCTCGCCCATCAGCAATTCCACTGACCTCATCCACCTAATGATTCTTCCTTCCTTCCTTTCTTTCCCGAACCCCTCCCCCTGTCAGCTGCAAGCAACAAACCTCCCCCAGATCTTCAAATGATTCATTACTTGGCTCTAACCCCCTCAGACCAAAAGTTCACCAGTCCTTCAGTCAAGGTGGAAAGCCTCGGGAAAGAAAAAGGATGAGCATACAGTCCTATCTCAGCGAGGAAGGCCCGAAACCTCGAAAATGGAAAGGGAAGGATGAATCGAAGGTCCGAGGGCCTGGGACCCTATCTTGATGGAACAAACGCAAAAAAAAAAAAAGAAAAAGAAAAATCAAAAGATAGCAAAAGCAAAAGCAAAACAAACCAGATAGACAATAGATAGATCCTTCGAATCCTCCCCAAAATCGCGCGAATGGGAGGCGGCCTGTTCTATACTCCAGCTCTATCCATATTTACCTCGTCTTCTTCGTTTTATTTCTCGGAAGGAAGGGATAGAGAAAGACACACAGAAAGAAACGAAAAGGGAAGAAGCTGGAGAAGGAAAGGTGCGAATGGCATGTTTTTGTGTCAAGCTATTGGGAAATTCCCTAGGTACAGTACAGTACAATAAAGGAACCGCCTGGGGATTCGAGGCATGCATGTGTACATGTACATATCTGGACGGGGGAGGAGGGGGGGGGGGCTGCTACATCATGAAATACAGAGGGCTTACACAAGGTTGCGTGAGAAGGGGGAGAGTGACATTGAGCGTGAAGGTATAGATCCAATCGAAACCGAACAGAATACGAGGAAGAGGAAGGGTTTACAACCGGCGGTGACTATAGTTTAAGGTCATGGAAAGTGAGTCACATTCTTCCTCGCAGAGGCCAATGGCATCCAGCCAAAACTCCAATCCGAAACTTGCCCATCTTATCTGCATCAACGGACTTCCGAAACAACCCGTAACTCCAAAAGAGAATCCTAATAAACGTACACATACAAAGTCCCACACAAGACACAGAAGACTAGAAGGCTGAGGTGTATTTGGAGCGGCGCAAAAGCTGTAGTAGTTACTCGAACGAAAAACATGTAGTCGAGAATCAGAAATAAGAAACAAGCCCTGGCCATTGATGGTAACAAGAAATGATAAGGCCCAGTCCAAACTAGTGGGGTATACAAGAAAAAGATATATGGTTTGAGTGACAGCGGTCCCAGAAGGCAAAAAAAAAAAAAACAAAACAGAAAAAAAAGGAATCTCGGTGGGATAAACCCAGGTGTAAATGCAACGAAATTTTCATCATTATGACTTTGATAACGTAATCCCAACAGGGATAAAACAAAAAGATACGAAGATCACATGCTTCTGGAAACAAAAGGCATCGTAACCGGTCATAAGATTTTCGTTCTTCGTCATATGGAAGGATAAACGGGTAGGGAGATGAGAGGGTTTCCGGAATCATATGGGTTGATATGATCGGAGATAGAAGAGTCGGTAGGAGTTCGAGGACGGAAGTTGGAGGGGAATAAAGTCGGAGGGTAAGCGAGCCGTAAGGGCTTGGGACAACCTAAAACCAGCCCCCATTCTCCCAATCTCCAGGCCGGTAGGTAGCATTGCTGCGGGCTTTCTGGTCTTCCAATCCATTGAGAAGCACATTAAGACGGTTGAAGTTGATGGGCTTCATTACCCATCCATCAAAGCCTGCACCAACATACAAGGGCATGTCTTTTTCAAGAAGTGAGGCGGACACTGCAAATATAGGCACCCGGTTGTTGGCTTCTGCGATCGGGGAGAGGGAGCAGTTCGGCTCCTTCTCGAGCTGGCGAATCATCTTGGTTGAGTTCAGACCGTCGACGATAGGCATCTGATTGGAAAAAGGCAAGAAAGTCAGAGTGGTGCATATCGTTAGATGGGAGATGGATCATCGCTTACCTGTATGTCCATCAACACAAGGTCATAGTGCGCAGGATCAGCACGGAATGCCGCTGCGCATTCCTCGCCGTTGACAGTCAAGTGAACAGCGTGGCCGGCCTTTTCGAGTCTTTTCTGGATGATCTTGCTATTGATAGGATCGTCTTCCGCCACGAGGATACTATAGACGCCGGAGGGAGTCTTAGGCTCGGAATCCTGAAGGACCGTTTGACCCTTCGATGGTTGCGTGATAGGAGATGCGAGCACCTTTGTATCAGGTTGTGAGGACTCTGCGGCGTCATCTGCTGACTCGGTTTGGGCAAGTTTGGATAGTTCTCGGATAGATACGCCAGCAAGCTTATCTTTGAGGCTGTCGATCGGAATTTGATTGGGATGTGATTTCTCAGCACTATCAGCTCGCGAGCTGTCGCCGCTACGTCGTCGGCCCTCGTGAGGAGTAGTTGAGCTGTTATCCACGAGCACAAATTCTTCCTTCGCCTGGAAGGGCGTCGGACTATCAGTATGAGCCGGAATGTCGGTCGGCTCTAACTCCGGCTGCTCATGGCTTGCGGTCACGAATTGGAGTGAGATCTGGAACCGGCTTCCTTTGCCTTGTTCTGACCGGACACTGAGCTGACCGTGCGTGTTGCGGACGATTCGCGACACCAACGCCAAGCCCAAGCCCAGGACTCCCTTTTCTCCTTCTCCTGCGTTCGCCTCGGTTGGATTTTTGGGATGGCGATCGAAGAAGTAAGTGTCGTCGTCGTTATAGGAAACTTGTTCAAGCTCTTGAAATAAGGTTTCGAGCATGGTCTCAGACATCCCGCATCCCGTATCAAGTACTGTCATTTGGATGGTGACGACGTCGGGCTCTGGGGTGACAGGAGCGCGCCAGAGTTCGACAGTGACCTCGCCCTCGGTCGTGTATTGGACTGCATTAGAAATGAGGTTGCTGATTGCTTGTCGCACGCGGCGTTCGTCGCCTAGGACCGTCCGAGGAATGCCTGGATGAGTGATCACAGTATATTTGATGCCCTTGCGTTTAGCTTCCCCTTCAAACATGGCAGTCGCCTCCTTGAAGATCTGAGGTAAATCAAAAGCCTCGTCTTTAATGAGATTCTGGCCCTTTTCGGTGTTGGTGAGGTCTAAGAGATCGTTGATGACGTAAATGAGAGATTTGGAGGCAGAATATGACTTGGTGAGATTGTCGCGAGTCTCGGTATCCAGAACGCCTTCAAGGGCGATCTCTAGGTAGTTAATGATGGCATTCAACGGGGTCCGGACCTCATGGGCGGAGTTAGCCAGCAGTAGCTTCGTCAGCTGCGATCCCTCCAGAGCGGCTTCTTGCTGTCGCCAGACCTTGATAAATTTACCATATACAAGGCAAAGAACAGCGGCAGTTTCAACTTCCGACTCGGACCATTCACGAGACTGGTCGATCACTGTTTCGCTCCAGACCTGAAAACTCTTTCGGGGCTCCAAATGGCCATCTTTGAATTCCTTCTCATGAGGATTGCCGCCCCATTTAATCTCTGTCAGCTGGCCCTTGCGGAAAAAGACAATGAAGTCCTTGCCATCGGAAGAAAGCGGCACATAGAGCATACCCGAGATATGCTTGAAGCCTGGAAGATAGTGCAAATCGGGAAAATCTTTCGTTACATGATGCGATGCAACCACCGAATGAAGCTGACGCATCTTCAAGAACTCTAGTAAAGCCAACATTTCATGAGATTCGGTTGACTTGCCCAAGATTTTGGTTTCGCCGCGGATTGAAATAGCCCCATAATCCGCATCAAATAACTTGAGCATATCATCTGACGAGGCGATGATATAACCCGAGGGATTTGCATCGGTCGGAATGGTGTTGATCAGCTTACGAGCTTGCAATCGTGAAGTGTAGGAAAGACGCTCAATATTGCGCGAAAGGGTGTCCCCGATCAATCGACACATTTTGCGTATAGGAAAAGGCACCCTCATAGCTGCGTCGCCGTGGGTATGGCATGAGATCAACCCCCATAAGTCATTGGGGCTGTTGATACTGATGGACATGGACGATCGAACGCCCATGTTGGCGAGGTAACGGATGTGAATAGGCGACATTGCTCGTAGATGGGCATGGGTCAGATCCAAAGGCGTTTCTAGATCCTGTGCGCTGCGGCAGACAAGCCGCGAAGTTAGGTGGTCCCGATCGTAAAGTAATCGAACTTTATTTATGCGATACAGATCTCGAGCTTGTCTGGGAATATCCGCAGCGGGGAAATGCAGCCCTTTATAGAGATCTTTGGTAGTCCGCGGGTCAACCAATTCCGCCACGACGGTACCGTTATATTCGCTATCGAATTGATAAATCATCACACGATGGAACCCGGTCAATTCCTTCACCAGACCCACTGTAATGTTGAGGAGTGTATCGAGAGTTTTAGCATCTCCTAATTGATCCTGGATTTGACTGACGATGCTGAACACCTCCATGGCAGCGGCTTCACCGCGTCTCCTGCGGGCATTCCGTAGGACTCGTAGTGGTTGGCTAATATTGACGGTGCTGCTCGCCAGTTGTTCGGGGGTGGGATCAAACCCAAGAGTATCGGATTGGGTCAGGGGCGTTGTGCGACCGCCCATGTTGAGAGGGTTGAGCCGGTCATCCTCCAATTCAAACTCGCAGATGATGACCTCTCGTTGGGTAGGGATCACATGAATGGCGCACCAAAATCGTCGGGGACGTCCACTTCGATCGTTCACCGACAATATGAACACCTCCGGCCCGTCCGCACTGGGATCATGGCCTTCATCACGAACGAAGTCGACATGATCAAGAAGAATGTCCGCCTGATCCTCCGACAACAGGTCACAGAAGCTCTCCAGGGCGAACAGACTGCTCGGGGAGTGGTCTAGAATGGCCTCTGAATTTTCGCTTGCGACCCGAACTGACAGTATGCCATCTTCGTCTTCTCGCATGGCGAGCAATACTCCGAAGCTTTGCACCGCCCCCGGAATGTGGATGGGTTCGTCTTCGCAAGCCATGAACGTATCGGGCGTGTTGCCGGTGATCACGGCGTGTCCGCCAGCAGTCACGACATGCTGGAAGCGGGAGGTGACATGCGTCTTGTTCTTGTCCACCGGCAGTAGTGCCCCGTTTGAATCGACAGGCACCCGTATGCCGGCGTCGGAGTTACGTGAATGGCCTTCGGATGGTTGTTGGGAGGCGTAATCGGAGGTTGACGGGGTGTACTGAGGTTCGCTACTACTGGCAGCTGCCTCGCTTGGTGGGGTAAGGACGGGTTGTGTGCGAATTTGATCCCAGGTGTCGGAATCGATGATCGAGTAGGATCGAGCTCCGCTTCGAGACTGCGTGGAGCTAGTCGTTGCAACGGCTTGAGACGGACTGGTCGGAGAAGGGTTGACGGACACGATCGATCGGATGGGGTATACTCTATCTGATCCGCCGACGCTCGTATCACGACTCAGATCGGGACTCTCTGGGCTCGAACCCGATGAGGCCCCGTGGGTGTCAACCGCTAAATCCGTCCGCGGATTGTCGTCGACATGCTGCCCTGAGACGGAGGAGGGATCCATGTTTGCGACCATCGTCAAGATTCTGAAGAAAGGATGGCCGTGGGTTGATGTAGGATCTTGCCACGGAGATTCTCAGCGCATTGATGAGAGATACTCACAAGCTTACATCAGTCAGTGGTGTATTCGGGTGTGCGAGATGGGACCGTTTCTTACAAGCGAGCCAAGTATGACGATGGACCGATGATGCACAGATGGACCCTGACAGCGGGTTATAGCGGTGTCCTGCGCACAATGATTGCAGCAAAGTCTTGCCCCAAGATGAGCAAGCCTCAAACGCCACAAAGCCCTGGTACAAAGTAGAGCAAGTGCTGACACACAAGGGAGGGGGGGGGAGGAGGGGGGGAGGGGGGATGGGAAACGGGGGGGAGGGTATCCCGTTCCTTCACGTGGGGCTGATATTATACTAGAGACGAATTAATTAGCGACTCCAATCAGTCAGTGGCGACCCCGGGAAAAGCGAGCAGTAACCGATTGGTACGAATAGTATTAAGAACATCGAAGGCAGGATGAGGGAAACCCACGACAGCTAAAGCCCAGCACGCGATGACGGGAAAGGAGGCGAAGAGGCGAGTGGAGGAAGAAGGGAGGGGCGCACGATGGCTTGATCAATGATGCAGGCGAGAGGGTGGGGGAGAAACTCTTATTGTGTAAGGACGGGTGCTGTGCAGGAATAGCTTGTGATTAACATTAAGGTAGGGAAAAGGTAGGGAAGAATTTGAAGTGACGGGGTCGAAGAGAATGATGTTGACGTTGTTATTGTGGTGGTGGTGGTGGTGGTGGTGTTATGATAATGATGGAAATGATGGTGGGAGTTGCCTTCCCAATATCTTCGCAGGAGGTGCTAGTGTGCTGTTGAAGTGAGAGTGAGAGAGAGAGGGAAGGGCGATGGAGAGGGGAAGGGTGGTAGTAGGTAGGCAGTTGGAGGCCTGAGAGACCAGGAATATTAGGTTGAGAGAAAGAAGCACACTCACTGAGCACACAGTTCTTCTTCTCGTTCTTCTTCTCAATTCCAATTGTTTTTCAAAGAGTCTCGAGTCTTCTTGTCAGACGTGCCCAATTTTCCGAGTCTTGCCAGTCTTTCCACACTTCAACAACCCCATGGGTGAGTGACTGACTTGGAGTGAGTTGGAGTGACTTTGCGCTGAGATTTGATGGGGAAAACGAATCAACGCGGCCCGGCCGGGTGGATGAGACGCTCGATTCGGTTTGGTCTCCAGCCGTTACTGCACCAAAAGTTGGCAGCACCAATGAGAATGGCAGGAAGCCTGGTTCGACCCTCGCTGTCGCTGGGAGAGTCTGGGAGAGGAAAAGATCACCTCCAATTCGATCGGATGGCGTTCCGACAAATCAGACACCACTTTTTGACACCCCCGTGACGGCTGGATATGATAAAGCCGAATGAATGCACTGCTTACCTCAGCTGTCCGCTTTGCGCTTCTTTCTATGGTACACAAAAGGGAAAGGGAAAGGAAATGGAAAGGAAATGGAAAGGCAATGGAAAGAGAGAGGCAGAAAGGGAATCTCTAGACCGTAGTATCACTCGAGTCCCGACACTTGCTAACAGTCCTCCTCCCTGGGAAAGTTTTCCGGTGTTGACCCCACGATTGGGAATTTTTGTGCCCTTGTGCAAATGGCCGAGGAGGGCCGGCCGCGAACTAGGCCTGAAGTTATCTGCTCCCCCGAGCCGCTCAGTGGAATGAACAGTTTTGATTGACAAGTAACAAGGGGAAGAAAGAAGGGAGAGAGTCTTGCTCTTTTTTTTTTTCTCTTTTGCGTTCGTCTTCCTTTCACAGCTACGGAGGAGTTTTCTTCGGATATTCCGCAGCTTGAGCCAGCTCGATCGTCTCCAATCCTTTTCCCAGGTGGACAACTTCACAACATCTTCAAGTCAAATACCAATGCTCTTCTTATACACCTCCAATCCAGCAGGCTGAACACAAGGAGGCTAGTAAGTGTTCATGTCACAAGCCTGGAATGGCAGGCAGGTGTGGATCGCCATCATCGCCATCATCAACATCAAGAAACAAACTTGCACGACATGATTCTTGGCTCCCCCTTTCTTCTAGCATAGTCCATTTTCAATACTTGTGTTTACGAATTTGCCAGAAAATTCTGCAATCCTCGTCGCGAATCTCGATAAGACGGGTGGGTTTCTGCTGCCCTGCCTTGTCTTGTGGCCCGAGAGGGGAGAGGGGGGGGGGGGAGATCATATTACCGTCAGCTCGGATATGCTGCAGCTGGTGGGTACGCGATTGAACGATCTGTCTTACAAATAACATAAAAAAAAAAAAAAAAAAACTAGGAATTGCCGGGAAAAGCTAGTTCTGCGCCAACTTTCTTTTGTCGGCGAGTCAATATCTCCGCGGGTGAAGTTTTCCGCTCCCTCACCCCCAACCCCCCTGACCTTCGACTTGTAGTCAAAACAATAAGACTTGACTGGCTATGGTGGACCGCCCGCAGTGGGCAGAGAACGGGAAGGAGGAGGAGAATGGGGGTGTGCTTAAATGCTAACCGATGCAGAAAGAACCTGCCCTGAGAGCCTAGACACAATGCTGGACAAAAGCTTGGTTGACCTCCTTCCTCCCCCTTTATGACTTGAGTACGAATCTGTCTTTCAACTTTTGTGGTAGGTAGGTTAGTATGGTGGTTTTCTTCCTACCGGTAGTTCCCACTAGTGAAGCTGCAACCGCTGAACCCGAACCTGGCTGGCCTGGAGTCGAGACTACCTATATGACCGGTATTATTACTCAGACTCCTATGAGCGGATCCGATTCAGGTTCCCTTCAATCCCGACGCTAAGGATTTCGATTTCGATCTGTCCACCCTTCCCGACGGCTCGGGCTCGGGTCCGATGCACTCGCCAGCGCCGCCGGGCCTTGACGGTACTTTTGCATCATTTTTTCTTACTGCCTCCTATCATTACTCTGTCAGTCCACACTCCACAGTAGTAGTTTGCCATCTATGGCAAGTTATCTCTCTGCCTAAATCCACCCAAGGTCATCTTCGGCAGCCTCTTTTTTGCCCCAAGTTCTTCTACGAGTGAATATAAGGAAGATCAAATTATCAAATATGACAGATGTCAGACCGTGTAGATAGACACGAAGATGCAATTGGATTGGATCTAAATTGGGTATATGCAAAGCACACCACTAGATTTACAGAAATGATATGTACAATATGACTGGTGCGAAGTCTATACAAGGTATACACAAACCGGCTTCTCGACCGATTGATTCTTCCCGTCGCTCAATTTGGGCAAAGGCGGATGCAGTAGCCATGCCCAAAGAAGAAAAGCGCAGTCCCAGTCATGTCGGCGCTTGGGCCAAGAACTGCCGCAAACCTGGGCGGCATGGGGTTCGGACCGAAGCAATCGGGCAAACTAGGCCACCCAGTGGGCACGCTTGGCGAGTCGCCTTGGGAAGACATTCCGCTCAGTTGGCATGGTCAATTCCTGAACACCTGATCTGTTTAGGGGTTCGAAAAAATAGATCTCAATAGCCACGTCGCATCCCCAGGAACGGCTATGACAGGTCACAGAGGGATGCAGGTCAAAGCCCCCAAAACGTACTTGTGTCTCACGCTTGAGTGATCAACTTCAATAGTGGCCTGTGCCATACATTAAGGAGGCCGGGGAGCCTCCGATGACTGCGACAAGGGCCTTCTACGCTCGGACAAAGCCAGGCTGTCCATGGAAAGGGCTGTCCAGGGATATCGCGACTGCGTGTGCGCGCTGGGCGGAGCTGCTCGCGTGACATCGCCCGTGATCTGCTCTGGGTCCACGAAGTTCGGGAAGTCATCCTGGTCGGTCGAGCTGGATTCTGACGGGCGGGTGTTGACGAGCGAGACGAGTTTTCGCAATACTCCAAACTCCAGCTTCAGTTTGACGCTGTAGACAGCGGCCTTGAGCGTGGTCTGGAGGGTGTACAGTCCCACATACTCCAGCACGAGGAGGGACACATCCAACAAGACAATGACCATATTGATCGCAATCAGCTCGTACATGCTCTTGTGCCGTTGCGGATCCTTTTCGGGCCGCAACCGGAGTAAATTGATTGTTTCAACGATGTAGATACCGGAGATGAGAATTTCCTGAGCGCAAAACCAGGCCAGCTGCATTCGCTCCATCACATTGTACCCTCTGATGATCGCCGTGGAGCCAATGTAAATAGTGCTATAGGTAAGGACAGTCGTAGGAATGAGGAGGATAATTGCATCAATGATGATCATGGCGAGAACACGTCGAAGGGTCGTTTGGCTTTGTACCACCAGATGAAGACGAGAATACAACACAATGGATTGGCCAGGCACCATAAAGTAGAAACCGATTGTCGAAAGAGTGACCGCGAACCACAATGGACCCACCGCGAAAAATTCCAGCAAATAACCAACCGCGTGGGGAATGACCCCGAGTACGTCGGACAGAAGCATGCTCCAAAAGTAGAGTCCGCTGTAGCGAGTGAAAGTGAGGAAGATGAGAATAACGAGTTCGACTGCATTGTAAAGGGCAATGGCACTGAAGACAGCCATCAAAATCTTGATCACGAGGCTGGACCCTTGGTAACCTCCGATGAGGCCCTCCGGTGGGTTGGAGAGAGAGTCCCACATGACGACAAAGGAAAGACGCTGATACCACCACGGCTGCCGGTCACCGTTCGACAAAAGGGAGAGGCACTGGTAACTGTGGATCGTGAAAATATCGTGAGGGTCCCGGGGCACAGGGTCAGGCACAGCAGTATAATATGCGAAACTAACGTTGGCCCGCTTGACAATTCCAGAGAGCCATGGTCAGGGACAATGCAGCGCAGGAGTTGGATGGAAAGCCTGGAGGGTCGAAGCGCAGTCTCATTCGCATACTTTAATTATTCCAGACCTGACGACTGACCAGCTGATCGGGCGCAATACGCTCGACCACCCGGGTTGGTCGGGTAGGGTAAGGAAACGGCCTCTTGCTTGAACCTCAATCAAGTGCTGTCCGAGCGTCTTAAAAGTCCGAATAGCAGCGAGATTCGCCCTCCCAGCAGCTGAAGGTTTCTATTTATGTGCCTGAACGGTGCGCTAGTGGCAGGGGAAACGCAGTGGCGGCAAATGCTGGCGTTCCTGCAGAATGTAGGGGGAGAACGGGCGGCCTCGGATGAACGCGACGCAAGTGAGGATTGGCGACAGGCTGTGAGATGGCGCTGCTGGAAGGTTTATCTGAACTCAATCCCCCAAGGGAGGAGAAGCAAGAGATTTGAGGAAAAGGAGTTCCGACCGGGGAAGGAGAGAGGAAATCTGGAACAGGAACTGGAGAGAGAAGATCGAAAGCGATCACCCTTCCCACTCCAGACGGGAGGGGTAAAAACCAGTCGCCACCGGCTATCTGTACTGTACGCTGTAAACTGATGGCCGCGATAGATAAGAAAACGGAGTGCGAGGAGCGGGCGGGGGGGGGGGGGGGGCAGGGTGGGGGGAAGGTGAATTTGAAGGTTCAGTGGAAATTAAGAAGAGGATGGAAAAGAGAAGAGCAGACAGTAGGAAGAATATCAAGGCAGAGCGAGGAGAGGGGAGGGGGGGGGGAGGGAAAGTCCGGGGTTGGGAAGGAAGGATTGAATTGATTGAGCCTATGATGGGCGATAATGATGATTTCTCCTGGAATGAAGAAGAAGGGCCTGAGAGACCAGGCCAGCCACTGGCGTGCCTCGTTACTCAGGCCGGGCCAGTCACATGGCTGGCAGCCGTGCCTTTTCCCTGGTTCTCTCCCCTGTTCACCATCCATTCCCTTCTCCCTTCTTCGCCTTTTGGATCCATTCGGAAATATCTACGCCTTGTTTTCGCCTTCGCTTCTCGTCCGAGACCTTGACTCTCCTGACTCTCCTGACTCTCCTGACTCTTCCGACTCTCCTTCAAAGAGTTACAAGTCGCCAAGATAGATTTCTCCGTGTTTCAACCTTGATTCCATTCCATAGTGTCCGTCGGATTCACCCGATGCCAGGGCTCGATCGATAGCGTGGGCCACCATATGTTAAGGGATAACTTTACGACTGTCGCAAAAGTCTAATGGACATATGTAGTGGGAAATGTGTGAGCCAGCTCGCTTACTCAAAGATTCAGAGAGGTCAAATGCGCCCGATCAGTGAAATTATTGTATTTCATTAGCTTGCGGGGCCCCGCCTGGCATTGACTCTTAATCGATGCACCCCAGTCTTCAGGCCTAGAACCGTCCCCCTTGGACGAACACCGTAAGGGTCTCGACACCAATCCACAACTTGCCACGCGAAGGCCACGCTCTGCAGGTACCATGACATGAAAATGCTTTACACTTCTTACAGCACGACATCGCTCATACCAGCCTCTCCCACTAATCCTACAAAGATGGCCCTTGCAGTCTATAATTGGCGAGTGCTGATCTTGACTCAAAGACATGGTCCTTGTCACAGACACGGTGTTAGGATCTCGCAGGGGCGATGATCTCCCTTGAGATGCCACATCCTGACTATCAATTTGAGGATTGAATCTTATCAGCCGGAGAAGGTTGTTGCGTTGCGACGAGCAGCCGAGTGATCAGACACTCTGGAACTAGTTATACATATTTCCATTATCGGCTGCTTTCAAGACTGTAGTTATTAGAGGACTGAGCATAACTTCAACGTGTTCGTCGTGGAGACAGCTCAACCATCTTTCCGGTGCTATGGTCGCTTGTGATGATGTGGACCCATGGGTGCCCGTTTCTCATGCACCATCTCAGCGACTGCGACTCGATTGCCTATTTGTTTCAAGGTCATTATTGAGGTTATTATTCACTCCAAATCTTTCGAAACGGCCGAGTCTGGTTTGACGCCATAGAGCCAGCTTACGATGGTATCGCACCAGACCATAGACATGTTTCACAACCAATATGCCTGGTATAGTTTCAGGTTAAGAAGATGATGCATCTATCAGAGCAGTAAAAATACTTCCTGGACTGCTTTCAGTGCTTGTCGTTCAGTGCGTTCAGTGCGATACTTGGGATGGCCCCTAATTCACAGAGTGCCCAATTATTAGGCCATTTCTCCACGATGCACTTCCCGGGTCCTGGTGGGCACAGGGAAACTTAATCTTGAACCACCATGATTCTCAAGTCAGGTGTTGGGGGTGGGAGATGAATAATACCCAGTGCCGTATGCATCCATCTCTTTGCCAAGGCGGTGCGGGGAAACTAGTCGTGATGCCGCGGATCGTCATGGATGATTTCTCAACAATGGAGCTCTCATACCTTGGCGCAATTCCATCTTCCCCATCGTTGTCTCTCATGAGTGATGATCTTCCCTGGTCTGGCTCATCTCCAGGTTCATGCTCTCGATCACCAAGTGGGTCTTGGATGATTGAAGGTGACGATCGCCCCGACAGCCTTTGTTGCACACGATAATCGCCGTCGAACATCACCCCTCACCGCCGCGATTTCCCAAAAAGGAGAATCGTCGTAAAGCTGATAGCATAATCAGTGCCGATGTTGTAGGACGAGCGGGGCCAGACTCTGTCCCCTCTCGTCGATCGTATCCAAAGCCCTGACTCGCTAGTCAAGCACGGTTTTGCGCCAGCTCTTTAATAACCAGGACATCCGGCAGTGCGGGGGTGCCACTGCTCATTGAAATCAAGCTGCGCAAACTGAAACTTGCTTCTTCTGTTCTAATCGGCTTGGACACTTACGACAGTCAGCTCTCCATTTTGAACCAGAAATCGCCGATGAACCAAACGTGGGAGTTCGTCGTAGTCGGTGGTGAGTGCCATGAGGATCGTTATTTGCTCGACCGAGACTGACTGGAAGCAGGGGGTCCGGCGGGCTGTGCCCTTGCTTCGACGCTCGCTCGCTCCGCTAAACACCCACGAGTCCTGCTGCTGGAAGCCGGCCCGCGGAATGAGGATCTTTCTCTCCGCGTGGATGGTCAGCGATGGTCGACGTTCCTCCAAGGGGATCTGAACTGGGGTTACACAACCACGCCCCAGGAACACTGCAATGGACGACAGATCGATTACTCGCGCGGCAAGGTGCTCGGAGGCAGTAGTGCAATCAATTTTGGTGTCTACACAGTGGGCGCCCGTGACGATTATGATCAGTGGGCCGCCCTCGTCGGAGACGAGGCCTTTGGCTGGGAGCGGATGAGGAGCAGATTTTGCGGCCTCGAAACCTTTGATGGCGCTATCGTTGATCCGAAAAACGTCAAATACGCGTCTCCCCAAGCCTTGAATCACGGATCTACTGGTGGTTTGCGGGTGGGCTTTGCTCGTGAGTGGGAGCAGGATCTGCCGCTCATGCTGGACGTGTTCGAGCAAGCGGGCCTGGCTCGAAACCCAGACCACAACTCGGGCGACCCGATCGGCATGGGCTTGATCATCAACTCATCTCACAACGGTCGTAGAGTGACTGCGACGGATCTTCTCGAGGGTGTACCGGACAATTTGACGATCATCACCGAAGCGCCCGTGCAGCGGGTGATTTTAGAGGGGACCAAGGCTGTAGGTGTAGAGTCAAACGGAAGACAGTGTATGCTTAGGTTGTTGCATGAAGTACATGAGTACCCAGCTAACGCGCCCTCGCAGATTTGGCCTCCCGCGAAGTGATTCTCACCGCAGGCTCATTGGACACGCCGCGCATCCTGATGCATTCGGGTCTCGGGCCTGCCGACCAACTTCAGCAATTCCAGATACCCGTCCGTAAGGACATCCCGGCCCTGGGCAAGGGCCTGCGGGATCATTTCTTCGCCCCGCTGTGCTTCAAACGCGATCCCGCAACCAACGACCGCAATGCGTTCTTCGGCGATCAAGCCGCCATGAAGACGGCCATGGCGCAATGGAACAAGGACGGCACGGGGCCCTGGGCGCGGCATTCGTGCCAGATCGCCGCCGGCTGGCTCAAGTCCGACCGGCTGGTGCGGACGGCAGAGTTCCAGGCTCTCCCCAGCGACGTGCAAGACTTCCTGCAACGGAAGACGGTCCCGCACTACGAGTTCCTCACGCATTTCCCCCTGCACCTCGTCGCGCCGGAATGGCCGCCGGATTACAGCTACATCTGCATGTTAGTGTTCCTGATGAACGAGCAATCCAGCGGCGAAGTGCGACTGCAGTCCTCCGACCCCAATGTCCCGTTGTTGTTCGATCCTAAATTCTTGTCTCATGACTTCGACCGCCGCGCCTGCATCGAGATTTTCCGCGATGCGCTGGAGGTGACCCGCCACCCATCCTTCCAGAAGGACGTGGTCGAGACGGTGATCGCGCCGGCGTCGGACTCGGACGCGGATATTCTGGAGCACTGGAAGGACACGCTGGGGTCGAGCTGGCACATGACGGGAACGGCCAAGATGGGTCGCTCCGGGGAGGCTGACGCCGTAGTGGACAGCCACTTCCGGATGCTGGGGGTGGAGAATCTGCGCATCGCGGACATGAGCGTGGTGCCGGTCTTGACGAACAACCATACGCAGGCGACCGCGTACGTGACGGGCGCCACGTGTGGAGAGGTATTGGTAGAGGAGTATGACTTGGATCGGGAGGTGGCACGGCTATAGCGGGCGGTACATTAGCTTTGCGGTGCTTAGCCCATAGTATTTGCAACGCTCGCATACTCCGAATACTCGGAGCCCTCCAAATTATACATCGAAGCAATAAAATCGAAGAAAAAGTCAATACTAGGAGTGGTGCCATTGAATTCCTGGCATCATATCTGGGATTCCAAATCCAAATCTGACTGCGGAACTAGACGAGGGTCAGAATTGTAATAAGGTATAGCTGATACCAAACAAGTTATAACTATAACAACCAGTTGCGGCCATTGGCCATCAGCTTCAAACTTAGTCGTCAGTGATTTGTTCTGTGATGATATCAAAACTAGTAATTGCATCACGAGGACCAACTAAAATTTCGACTTATCTGTAGTTGATATATAACTCTCTTGACCTGGGTTGCCAACGGCTGTGTCAGGTTGGTTGGAACACAATATACATTATTTCTAACTAAAAACAGTTGCAGATAATTCTACCATCGGCTTTGTAAAGGGTTCTAGACCAATATTCTACATGTTAGAAACCATTTTCGAACTCGTAAGGAACTACATATGGCCGTTCACAACCATTGTAAACTAGCCCGCTGCCAGCTGGTGGTTTGAACTCGGTTCTGTTCTCGTACAGATAGGTATTGGGACTGAGTAGGTAGACATGTAGGAAGAATGCGAATAGAAGTTGAAATATCCGATATGTTTCGTTTCTGTAGTGAAATTTCCCCTTTTTTGTCAATAGTATATATTGGCCCTAACAGCTGATAAGCCAGAGGTTTAGTATGTAAAAGGAGAGCGGCTACGTTGAACAGATCACCCACGACCTAACAAATACATACATAGCGCAACACGGCCCAATACTTATTCCCCAACCAACAACCCATCAATTAATTAATTCCAACTAAGCCTATCAACCTAGATAACCCCTCCCAAATTGAACCCAATCTCTCAGTACCCCCAATGCCACGCCCCCCCTCGCCTTCGAAAAGTACACTAATAAATATACCGGAAATGCAAATTCTCGCGATCGGTGCGATCCTCAAAGGCATGCGCGAGATGATCCCCGCCTCCCTCCCCAGGGGTATCCAGATTCACGCCCGCCTCGCGCAGCAGGCGCTCCTTCTTCTTGTTCTGGGCGATCAGGTGGAAGCGCAGGTAGATGACGGCGAGGGTCATGGCGGAGTAGCAGCCGAGGTGGACGCCGAAGGCGATGAAGTAGCGGGGGGCGTCGCGGGCGAGGAAGACTTGGGGGCCTATGCCCAGGAGTATTAGCATTGAATCAAGAGTGAGACCCTCGGACACTCTTGTGGATGGTAGGGAAGGAGAGAAAGAGCTAAAGGGGAAGGGGGAAAAGGACTCACCGATGGCATTCCCCACGGCCCACGAGACGAAGGTCGCCGCAACCACCGTGGACTTCTTCGTGGCGCCCGCGATGTTGCGCGAGACCATGGACAGACACAGGTTCTGGGCGGACCAGAAGGAGAGGGTGATGTAGTAGCTGATCAGCAGGCCGACCTTGGTGCTGAGGTTCTTGTTCTCGACGGTCATGAGGACGATGGTGCCGATGAAGGAGCTGTGCATGGCATTTCGAAAAGAGTTAGCATAGCCCTAACCGGCATCTTGCCCGCTATCCCCCCGATCAAGTATGGTGGGTGACTTACGGAATGATAAAACCCAGCATGACCAAAATATTCTGGTTATACCGCTTCACCAGGAACGCACTGGTCAGCAGCACAAAGATAATATAAAACCCTAGCACCATCGCCAACAACTGCGTTTGCAACTCGGTGAAATCAAACCCGGTGATAATGATGTTGGCGAACGCCCCCAGCCCGCTCGTCGGTAACGTCGTGAAGACCTGGATCGCGCAGTAGCAGTACATCTGCGGGTCCTGGAAGGCCTCCCACATCTGGTACGCGCGGAAGGTCTTGTTCTGCAGACCGGTCTGGTTGGCGCGCACGCGCTCGACCATCAGGTGCTTGTCTTCCTCGTTGAAGCATTTGGCCTTCATGGGGGAGTCGGGCATCCACCACAGCACAAAAAACCCCCAGAGGACGGAGATGCAGCCGTACGTGAGGAAGAGGGCCTGCCAGGATTTGAGGACGGTGGGGCCGTGGCGGCCGATGAGGCTGAAGCAGTACGCCAACAGCCCGCCGACGATCTGTTGGCCGCCGTTCATCATGTACCTATTTTGTTATCCTTGTTAGCATGGTGGTGAGGGGGGTGGGGGGGTGGGTGGCGGTAGGGTAAGGGACATACCAATACGTCACCGTGGCCGCCTGCTCCTCCCGCTTATACCACATACTGGACAGCAGAACAAAAGTGGGCTGGCAGGCGGCCTCGAAGATGCCCAGGAGGGTGCGCACGGCCACCAGCCCGGCGAAGTTCTTGCACGCGGCGTGCAGCGCCAGGGTGGTACCCCACAGGATGATGTTCACCCCCAGGTATTTGGCGATGCGCACGCGCTGGATGATCCAGTTGGTCGGATACTCGACGATCAGGACGGCGATGTAGATACAGGTCGTGAGCCAGGAGTACTGTCACCACCAAAAGGTCAGCAATATTCAAAATCAATCCTCTGCCTCTGGGGGCATGGGGCATGGGGCATGGGGCATGGGGACTACCTCCTGCCCCTTCATCCCCGTGTCCGTGCGGATCCCCATGATCGACGCAAACGACATGGTCCCCTTGTCCAGCGCCTGCAGGAAATACGTCAGGACCATGATTACCAGCACGCGCCGGTCGATCATGCGCCGCAGCCGGCGGCTAGTGGCCTCGTCGACCTCGACCGCGCCGCGCGCCGCGTACGCCGCGATCTCCTCGTCGACGCGGGCGGCGTCAACCCCCAGGTTCTTCTTCAGGTCCCCGTCCGACGGGGAGAGAACCCGCTCGACGTGGGCGGTCGCCTGGGCGGACTTGTCTTCGTCGTTTGCGGCATGTCGGTGCGACAGGGTGGTGTCGGTGATATGCTCCGCCATGATTCGAAGCCCACGGTGCGGAGTAGTGTGTAGAATGCAGGTGGGAAAATGAATCAAGGGGAGTAGGGGAAGGGGGCAGGAGCACGCAGGTCTTTTATTTTATACGGTGTAGGGTGTAGTAGGGCACCACCAACACCAGCATGAGAACGTGACCTTGCCATCTCGTTTATTGTTTGCTTGGCCAATCCTTCGCGGGGGGTGAATTTCACGCCAATGAGGAAGGGAGGTGTCAGTGTAGTGGTGGGAGGCGAACAGTCATGTAATTGATGGGTTGATGCATCTCGCTTAGGGTTGCGGTTGATTGTTACTCTGGGGTCCAGCTTTACCCCACGGGACAACCACAATACGCGGGGGCGGGTCAAGCCGCAGACCCTTTCCTACGACAGTAAGCAAAGCCAGGAAACTAAACTAACCGGCGGGAGTGAATTGACCCGAGAACGCGGGGAAAAAGTCTTGGGATGGAGCTTCGCACGCTTCGCTTGGGTGGCAGCTGCACGAGGGCCGCCAATCGCTGCTATTTACAGAGGAGGGGTTGGACTTGGCTGGGGAGCGTGCTCGGCGTACGCTGACCCGAATATAAAACATGACGACACGAGTCAGAGGGCGCTGGCGGGGAAAAGGAAGGAAGCTGAAGCTGCAAGTTAGCAGTACTAGTACTTCCACCTGCTCTCAAGTATCTTCTTCCCATCCTAACCTTCCTTCCTTTCTACCTCCCCTCCCTCCCAAATCCCCAACCCTAACCTCCCACCAAACAACCTACCCAAAATGACTAAACCAAGCCCCCTCACCCCGCCGGCCATCCGCACCAAAATCGACCTCCTCATCACGAACCTCATCAACATCCACGACCCAACCGGCGAATTCCTCCTCCACTTACCAGATGGCCGCATCATCGACACCAAATCGTGGCACGGCTGGGAATGGACGCACGGGGTCGGGCTGTACGGGATCTGGAAATACTACGAACTCACCGGCTCCGACCAGCACCTGCAGATCATCAAAGACTGGTTCGCGGCGCGGTTCGCCGAGGGCGGCACGACCAAGAACATCAACACGATGGCCGTGTTCCTGTCGCTGGCCCACCTCTACGAGACCACCCGCGACGTGACCTACCTGCCCTGGCTGGACGCCTGGGCCGAGTGGGCGATGCACGAGCTGCCGCGCACCCGCCACGGCGGCATGCAGCACATCACCTACCTCACCGAGAACCACCAGCAGCTGTGGGACGACACGCTCATGATGACCGTCATGCCGCTGGCGAAAATCGGGCGGTTGCTGGGACGGCCGCAGTATGTGGAGGAGGCGAAGCGGCAGTGTTTGCTGCATGTGCAGTATCTGTTTGATGCGAAGACGGGGTTGTTTTTTCATGGGTGGCAGTTTACAACCGACGAGAACGACACGAAGGTGGGGCATCATTTTGCCGAGGCGCGCTGGGCGAGAGGGAACAGCTGGATTACGATGGTGATTCCGGAGATTGTCGAGTTGTTGGAGCTCGAGGAGCACGACCCCATCCGGGTGCATTTGCTCAGCGTGCTGGAGGCGCAGTGCGCTGCTCTCAAGAAGTTGCAGGAGGAGGACGGGTTCTGGCATACGTTGTTGGATCATAAGGATTCCTACGTCGAGGCCTCGGCCACGGCTGGGTTTGCGTACGGGATCCTCAAGGCCGTGCGGAGGAGGTATCTCGGCAAGGAATACCGCGGGGTGGCGGAGCGGGCGATCCAGGCGGTCGTTGGGGCCGTGGATGCGCAGGGCGAGCTGCAGAATACCAGTTTTGGCACGGGGATGGGCGATAGTCTGCAGTTCTACAAGGAGATCCCCCGCACGGCGATGCCGTATGGGCAGGCGATGGCGATCATGGCGTTGGGGGAGTATCTGCGGGGGATTTCGTACTAGATGGTGGGTGTAGATGCATGCGCATAGAGAATGCAGTATAGATGTATAGATTCAAGACCTGTTTCTTTACTCGTTGCCAACAATGTTTCAATTCTATAGTTTCGAGTAACAGCTACAGCTGACTCTTCAACCACAAGGTCTGCGAATTGCACCAGCCCACCAACCCATGGACTCCCCACTCCGTGCCCATCCCACTGGCCTTGTGCCCGCCAAATGGCACGTGGGGCGCGACGTCGAAGTGCGAGTTCACCCACACCGAGCCTGCCTGCAGCTGGTCCACGATCCGGCGCGCCCGCCCCAGATCGCGACTCCACACCGAGGCGCTCAGCGCGTAGTCGGAGGCGTTGGCGCGGGCGACCACATCCGCCTCGTCGGACCATTTGAGCAGCGGCAGAATCGGCGCGAAGGGCTCCTCCTGCACCACGCGCGAGGCCTCGGGCGGGTTGTCCACGATCGTCGGCGGGATGAAGTACCCTTTCCCGAGATCGGCGGGGACCTCGCCGGCGGCGATAGTCTGCAGGCCGGCCGCCTGTGTCGCGGCCAGTAAGTCCGTGGCCTTGTCGAACTGCATGCGGTTCTGGACGGGGCCGAAGAAGGTGTCCGGGAGGGTGCCGTCGCCGACCTTCAGGGCGCGCACGAACTGGACGAGTTTGTCGCGGAATTGGTCGTAGATCTTCTCGTGGACGTACAGCCGCTTGATCGTCATGCAGATCTGCGAGGAGCAGAGGAAGGCGATGATGCCGATCTGTTGGGGATCGTCGGTCAGCAATTGCCATGGAACCAAGATATGCATCCTCCCCACTCCATCCGCACTCCACAATTCACAAACCCACAATCCACAACCAAGATCCAATGTCTACAATTTGAGACATCATCCCACTGAACCCACCCCACCGGACCTCCTCCGCCCACAGCCCAAACTTTCTTTCGTTACGAGCAAGGGTAAGGGAAGGGTCATCATCATACCTTCTGCACAACCGCATCCACATCCACATCCTCACACACAATCGCGGCATCATTCCCCCCCAACTCCAGCGTCACCCTCTTCAACCCGCGCGCACACCCCTCCATCACCTTCCGGCCGGTAGCACTCGACCCCGTAAAACTGATCTTCTGGATCCCGGGATGCGCCGTCATCCACGGCCCCAGCTCCTCCCCGCCACTAAGCACCTGCACCACCCCCGGCGGGAAAATTTGGGCTGCAAGCTCCCCCAACTTCAACGCGCAGTACGGCGTATACGGACTGGGCTTCACGATGACCACGTTCCCCGTGACCAGGGCGGGCACGATTTTCCCCACCGCCAGCAAGACCGGGAAATTCCAGGGGACGATGGCGCCGCACACGCCGATGGGCACGTAGCGCTGGATGATCTGGCGGTCCGGGGTGTCTTCGATGGTTTGCACCGGCAAATCGAGGGTGGGGATTTGTCGGGTCCAGGTGATGGCCATTTCGACTTCGATTTGGGCCTGGCTGAGGGGTTTGCCTTGTTCTTGCGTGAGGAGGGCGATCAGGGCGGACTTGTGGGTTTCAAGGAGGGTGGCGTAGGTTGCGAGGAGGGTGCGCCGGGTCGAGAGGGGGGTGCGCGACCATGCTGGGAAGGCGGATTGCGCGGCCAGTACGGCGGTGTCGAGGTCGGTTTGGCTGGATACCGGGACGGGGGGGTTCGGGTGGCCGGTTGTTGGGTTGGTGCTGTGGCGGGTTTCTGGGGTTGTGGTGCGTTCGTTGTTGATGATGTTGTAGAATTTCTTTGGGGGCGGGGGGTCAGTTAGGGTTGGGGAAGCGGGAGGAATTGGGGACACGGGAGGGGGAGTACAGTGGTGTCGAGCGCCATGGTGGTGGATAGAGTACTGTTCAGGACTGGATTTCTCAAATTATGGCTGCAATGAGATGATGATTACTGGAAAGTGAACGAGCAGGGGGACAACGTCAGACTTTATATACCCTCCCCTCGGTTCAGCACCGCCCACAAGCCGAGAAGAAGACTCGTATACGGGATACACCTGGGGCTGAGATGCACGCGAAGCTTACCCGTGTTGGACGAAAGACCTGCCCGGAGGCTTGAATAGTCTTACAGCTCGGCTGCCGCAAGCGTCGGTTATTGGATGTGAGTGGGGGTGCGCCTCGCTTTGACTTTACGGATCGGCATGTGCGGGGTTACGCTGTGTTCTTCATGTTTGGCTGACGAGTTTGCGGTCAATGGCTTTTGCGACTGACTGCCTCTGGACGATTATCCCAACCCTCTAAAATCTAAAAAAAAGACACTACACGATCCATAGCCACCGCACTCAGCACTTGGCTTCGTCCCCAAGGTCCATCGGCCAAGACGGCCAAGACAATGGCGGCAAGTGAAGAAGAAAACTGCTGGCGGCGGGTCTGCCCTTCGTCGGATTTTCATCCTCGAAAATCTTGAACTTCAGATAGACTGGCAAGATGAAGGACGAGAAAGACGAGATCGTGATCCAGGCAATTCCCACAGCCTCGCTGCAGGAAGCCGAAAGCTCGCAGGAGTTCCTCGCGGCGGAGCATGCGTTGACCTTCTGGCCCGCTCTGCGACAGCACTGGCCAACCGTGGCGTGGGCATTATTCATGAATTTGGTACGAAGCTCGCATGCTGATCTTCTGCGGCATCGCTCAATCTCGGACACATACTGATAATCGATAGGCGACGATCCTTAAGGGAATTGTATGTGCTATGCTACTCACCGACTGATCCACAATCCCACGAACTGACAGACCAGGATGGCGGCGTCGTCAAAGGCATAGTCGGACTGGACGTCTTCAAGCGAAACTACGGCTACGAGCATGAGGGACGCTACATTCTGGCCGCCCGCTGGCTGTCGGCCTTCAACTACGCCAACCTGCTGGGCGCCATTGTGGGGGCGCTGTTCGCCGGTCTCGCCTACGACCGCTTCGGGCCGCGCATCGTGCTCACGGGGTGCTCGTGTCTGTCGATCGGCTTCATCTTCGTGCAGTTCTTCAGCCAGACGCCCGCCCAGCTGTTCGTGGGCGAGCTGATCAACGGCTGCGTCATCGCCTTCTACCCCATCTGCGCCTCCGCCTACGTCGGCGAGGTGACCCCGCTGCCGCTACGCGGGTTCGCCGCCACGATGACCAACCTCGCCTTCTCCATCGGCTCGTTGATCGCCTCGGGCATCCTGAAGGGGACCACCTCCCTCGCCAGCGACTGGTCCTACCGCATCCCCATCGCCACGCAATGGGCCCTGCCGTGCATCATGCTGGCCCTCGTGCCGTTCTGCCCGGACCCTCCGTACTGGCTCTGCCGGAAGGGCCGCCCGGAGACCGCCGCCGCCTCGCTGCGCCGCCTCACCGTCCGCGGGGGCGCCATCGGGCCCCGACTCGCCCACATCCAGGAGACCCTGCGTCTGGAGGCCAGCTTCCAGCAACCCACCACTACCAGAAGCCTAGAATGCCTGCAGGGCCCCAACCGCCGCCGCCTCCTGATCTGCGTCATGGCCTACAGCATGCAGGCCTTCACGGGGAATGTCTTCTTCATCAACTACGCGGTGCACTTCATGGAGACCGCGGGGCTGAGCGCCTCGCACGCCTTCTCGATGAACATCGGCCTGAGCGCCCTGGGCCTGCTGGGGACGATTCTCTCGTGGCCGCTCCTGTCCTACGTCGGCCGACGCACCATGTATCTGACGGGCTGCTCCGCGCTAGCCCTGACCCAGCTGCTGATTGGGGTGCTGGACGTTGTCCCCCGGAGCACGGGCACGATCTGGGCGCAGTGCGCGCTCATGCTGGCGTGCACGCTGGTGTACGACGTCAGCCTGGGCCCGTTCTGCTATGTGCTGCTGGCCGAGGTCTCGTCGATGCGACTGCGCGGGGTCACGATCGGGCTGGCCACGGTCAGCTGCTTCGTGTGGTCGGTGGTGTTCGCCGTGGTGATCCCCTACGCCATGGACGCGGACGAGGGCGACTGGGGCGGCAAGCTGGGGTTCCTGTTCGCGGGCACCAGCCTCGTCTGCGCGGGGATGTGCTTCTGGTGGCTACCGGAGACGCAGGGGCGCACGTTCGAGGAGCTGGACGCGATGTTCGAGCAGGGGGTGCGCAGTCGGCGGTTTCGGCGGTGCGTGGTGGTGATTGGGGGAGGGGGAGGGGGGGAGGGGGGAGGGGAGCGGTGGTGGCGACGAGGGAGGAGGGCATCGAGGGGTGTACTGAAAGTTGCACCGAGGCAGCAGGCGTTGAGGGATGTGTTGAGGGTGTGTGCAGTGCACGGCAAAGACTACCAGAGAAGAATTACTAGTCGGTGCAAGAACCTAAAGAGGAAACAGCCGAGGAAGTGCAGAAAAGTAGGCGATTAATAATCTATGCTCGTTTGGGCAAGTCTGCAGAATGCGAAAATTTGAGTGCTGACGGCTGACTCAGCCGTCCCTTGTGCAGCTTCCATCAGTGCATCGTCTCGAGTCATGAAGCATCACTTCAAAACTCAATCCTCAATCGACTTCCCCTGTTCGCCCCATTCTTGCTTCACGCTGCACAGTAATCATGACTTCATGGCTCTCGCCCACCCCATCTCTTCTGGTGGCGTCAGAACTGCCGCCTTGTCACGCAGTGCCTTAGATCCGTGCCACTGCATAACTCCGGTATCCAACCTTCGAGACCACTGACCTGCCCCATCCGGCCCGGTATCTACACCCTGAAGGAGCAGCTGCCCCGAATTTCATCCGTTTGGCAACTCTGCCAGCTCCACTCGCCCGCCGTGCCGTGGTTCGCTTCTCCGCCTGCGAATGGTCGTGACGAGGACGGTTGGGCAAACCGCAAACCCCTTCCCCCCCCTCCGGGGCCCTCACTGCATTTGGCAGGTACCTAGGCAAGAGCTGGAGTCCAGTCTCTCGAGAAGCTTCTTCGACGCCCCTTGGAGCAGCTTCGTCAGCAACCAGGATGCTTGATAATCGACCCTGGGGCCGTTGCCCCACTGGTAGCAGCCATATAAAGGTGGTTCGGCCGCTGCTGTCACTTATGGCAACACATTCTCCCAAAACACACACACACACATAACACACACACCATGTCTGAAAACAAGGCCCTCATCTTCAAGGAAATCCCCACGGGCTACCCCGTGCCGGGCCAGCACATCGGCCTGGAGCCGGTCTCCTACGACGCCAACGCCGCGGCCCCCGAGAACGGCATCTTCGTGCAGTCGCTCTACGCCAGCTTCGACCCCTACATGCGCGGCCGCATGCGCCCGGCCGAGGTCAAGTCGTACTCGCCGGCCATGGCGCTGGGCCAGCCCATCGACAGCGCGGTCATCGGCAAGGTGCTCCGCTCCAACACCCCTGCCTACAAGGAGGGCGACCTGATCCAGGGCTACCTCCCGATCCAATCGTACATTTCCGTCGGCGCGGAGCGGCTGCCGTACGTCAAGAAGCTCGAGAACCCGCTGGGCATTGAGGACATCCGGGTGTTCATCGGGGCGCTGGGCATGCCGGGACTGACGGCGTACTCGTCGCTGTACGAGATTGGACAGCCCAAGAAGGGGGAGACGATCTTCGTGTCGGCGGCCAGCGGCGCCGTGGGCCAGCTGGTCGGCCAGCTGGCCAAGCACGAGGGCCTGACGGTCATCGGCAGCGTGGGCTCCGACGAGAAGCTCGAGTACATCACCAAGGAGCTGGGCTTCCACGGCGGGTTCAACTACAAGAAGGAGAAGCCGGCGGACGCGCTCAAGCGCCTCGCTCCGAATGGAATTGATATCTACTACGAGAATGTCGGCGGCGAGCACCTCGAGGCCGCCCTGGAGGCGATCAACAACTTCGGCCGCGTGGTCGTCTGCGGCATGATCTCCGTGTACAACGGCACCCCCTACCCGATCAGCAACATCTCGTACGTGCTGACCAAGCGGTTGACCATGCGGGGATTCATTGTCAACGACCCCGGCATGGGCGACAAGTACACCAAGGAGCACCAGGAGAAGGTGCAGAAGTGGATCAAGGAGGGGTCGTTCAAGGCGCTGACGCACGAGACGGTGGGGATTGAGAACGCGGCCGAGGGGCTGGTGGGGATCTTTTACGGAAAGAACAAGGGCAAGGCTGTGTTGAAGTTTTAAGCAGTGCTACTATATCCGACCCGACCCGACCATACTATACCATAACTATTATTGAACATAGACACGAATGAACTAAACATTAATCTCACCCCTTTCGTTCCAACATAAATCCCTAAATCCTTCTTAGAATCCAAACACAACCAATCTACCTCACAGTTCCCAACCCTATCCAGAACAAAAGCTAAATCTTCTCCCGATGTCCCCCCTCCGCCTCCCCTTTCCCCCCTCCTCCTCCCATCTCCATCACCTTCAACCCCTCCCCCCGATGGAAAACCTTCGTCTTGCCCCAAACAACGCCCACAACATACACCGCAAAAACCACCCCCGCCACAACACAATAAACCACCACCCCGGCAACCGGCACATTCCTACTCCCGATCCCACCCATGCCGCGTCCGGCAAGGGCAAACCCCAACCCCCCATTCACCATCCCCAGGATAATGGCTCCCCGCCCAACCCACCGATGCACATACCCAAACACACTCTTGGCACCCTCGCGCCTCCAATGCCGGTGCTGCAGGTAGCCTGCCACCGGCTGGAACAGCACCAGCACCCCTACCAGAATCATCCCGATGATGGGGTGCGCGTGTTTCAGGGTCGAGACCGTGGTTGCGAGGTACACGCCCGTGCCCAGGCCGACGACGATGAGACAGAGGGTGAAGAGCTGGAGGGGCGCGTGGAGGGCGGGGATGTTGTATTTCAGGCCGAGCGGGATGGGGAGGGCGAAGAGCGGGAAGAAGAGGAGGAAGGCTAGGCCCATCAGGGTGCCGTGGACGATGAGGATTGCTCGCGTTTTCGTGGGGGAGGGGAGGGTGTTTTCCGCTGCGCTTTGCGTGGTGGTGGATGTGGATGCGGAGGTCGGGTTGAAGGGGTTGAATTCGGCATCCTGGGGGCTGGCGTTGTCCGGGGGCGAGAATTGGGCTTTGGTGAGGTCGAGGGTTGTGCTGCCCATTTCGGTGTGGATGGTGATTGTTTCCTGCTGGGAGGCGGAGGGGAGCGGGTCGCCGGTGTGGTAGGCCCAGATGAAGGGGGCGGAGGAGGAGGAGGGGCTGTAGGTTGTGGAAGAGGGGGTGGCCCACGACGCCAAACAGTTGGTGCAGAGGATGTTGGCTTCGATGGTGTCGTCGCTGATACTGCTGCTGGGGAGGAGGGTTGCGTTGGCTAGGTCTGTGTATTGCGGTTCGATGTGTCCTCGTCCCAGGCGCGGGGAGAGGGTCAGGTTCGTGGCGGACGCGCCGGCGTAGACGACGAAGATGTTGGCGCCTGCCATCCCGGTGCCCTGGCCCAGCGCGACCCATTGCAGGCTGCGCGGGGCCCGGATCTGGAGGTAAATCGGGCCGGCATTTTGCTGCGTCGTCGTGTCCGGGACGGTCACGCTGTAGGTGAGGTTGGGGTGGGTGGTGGACGGGGAGAAGGTCACGATGTTGGCGGTTGCTAGGGGGGCTTTGACTCTGTTGTTAGGACTCTGCGTCTGGACGGGATCGGGCTGGGTATGGATACACACCTAACCCCAGAAATGTCTGGAGGAGTCGAAATGCCCGCATGGTAGACTGGGAGCCGGAGACACGAGTTGACGTTCACTCTCCCTCACCCACCGGCGGTAGGGCCTACATCCTTTATATCAATCCAGCGGTCAGGCTCAGGTTTCATTGTGGCTGGCCCTTTCTTGGCTACCGTAGGCATCTCTAATTCCGGTGCAAACCAATTATCGAAGGCATGGGAGGGTCGATCATCATCGTATCGAACCTGTCTCACCCGGAACGTGATTTCCCCGTCCGTCTGCTCCAAGGTAGTATATCTCTGTCCTACTTCCTTTCTCAGCTGCTGAGACCGCAATTTTAACCACAACGCACCAATCTGCGTCACGCAATTGGGAAATTACAATTCCCCCTTGGCTCACTTGCTTTGGAGAAGGACTGACACTGACAGCGTCCAATTCCACGACCGAAATCCCCTTGCGCGCGCCCTTGCATTAGGGTTCTTGGGTCCGGTCCATCTTTCTCCGGTTACGTCCCCCGGTCGGGGTGGAACTTCAGTGAGGAGAGGATTTGTCTGGCAAGGGGGATTACCATTTTGACGAGGGATACGAGGAATGAAGTCACGATCTTTTGTTTGGGGAGAGGGGGGGCCGTGACAAAGAACCGCAGAGCTGGGTTGAAAGGACGAGGTTTGTTTGGGATTGGGTGTGGGTGGTTCAATAAAAAAAGCATTGATGCATTGAATATCAATGGTGCGCCCCGCTGGGATCTGCAACTAGGCCCGTTTGGGGGGGGGGCTCGGAATGGACCCGTGTGCTTTCCAGGTTTTCCATCATATTTCCCGTTCGCTATTGAGTAGCCAGGTAGGAAACTTTGAGTGAGAGCTAAGTCATCCTCTAATCTGACCAACCTTATTGCTAGGGTCTACGGAGTAGTCGACCCTCAACCGAAGAAAAGTGCATGATGTCATGAGATGCTCTGCAAGATACTAGCATGATACGAGAATTCCCACGTCACCTTCTTTAGGTGAAGAATCCATCCCACGGTTACTCAATGGCCTTTAAGGTGATGGCCCGTCAGCTGGATCGACCGGCACAATGAAATCGTGGTTGACATCCCCCAACCCACGGTCGGAACCCGCTATTAATATCATTAAGTCTCATGCGAAAGTGATCACCTGCACATGGCGGTGGTTTGACAAGTAACGGCCAACGTGGGTTTCGTGCTTGCTAATGGCGCCGCGTCATATCTTTATTGTATGTATCCTTCATTGTATACATGTATACACAATGGTTTCTTCGAAGCACCACGGTTTCTGAGACCATTTCCCAAGCCATTTCTCTCCTAATAGAATTTAGAGTTGAAAATCATTTCTGCCTAGCAAGCATAAGATTTGGGTTTCCGACGCCGGAAAGCGTACGTGGATACGAATCCCCAAGCCCTGGGCGCATAAAACATCCGTGGTGTCTAACTGTCACTCACGCCCCAAGGCATCTCCACAACGTCAAACAACCTCCTGGAATAAAAGCCCCAACCTTGGTTGGATTCCTCAAACCACTCCTATTACACCTTTCCACTCGACAGAGCCTCCCGCCTCACCTCCTTCCGCATAAACACCTCCCACAACCAAATCACCTCCCCGTCCAAACTCCGCTCCTCGTACCGCGGCTCCTCCTTCCACCCGACATACCCGGCCTTCTCATACCACTCCTGGATACTGAACGGGGGCACGGGCTGGCCCATCCGCTCCCAGATCCCGCGCCACTCGCGCCCCTCCTGATACAGGTACTTCTTGCTCAGCGCCGTCAGCGCGATGAACTGGCAGGCTGGCTCGCGGGCGGCCTGCTCTTCGATTAGCTTCATGGCGTGGCGCCCTACCCCTGCGGACCGGTACTCTGGGAGGAGGAAGAAGGTCTGCAGGGCGAGGATGGATTTGTCGGATCGCGCGAGGTCCGGGTCGGGGGGGTTGCTGTAGGCATCTAGGGAGATGTGGCCCGCGCGGATGGTGTTCTCTTCAGTGTTGGGGTGGGACTCCGGGCTGGGGATGACAATCCAGAAGAAGTTCTTCAGGCCTTCGGTTTGTTTGGCTTGCCATTGCGCGAGGGTGGTGGGGTGGTGGTCCCAGCCGCAGAGGGTGCGTTGGCGATGGAGTTCCGTGTGTTGCGTGGGTTCCGCTAAGTTTATGGGTTCGAGGGTGCAGGGAGGCATCGGGTAGGTCTTTTGTTGTGGATGACTGGTTGGAGCTACTGGTTGGAGTTTATGATGGTGTTGATTGTATATTGTGTTGAGGATGCGTGCCCAAGTACAAGGGGTTGATGTGTAGATGTAGCGTCTAGACCAGTGCTGACAGTTTATATATAGACCAATCCGAGTCAGTCGCTCCTTCAGTGCCAAGAGCAAGATGGCGTGATTCACAGCCTAACTTACTTTCGGCAAACATATCATTTCTAATGATTGCATATTCACGATGTCTACATCGGCATCGGAATCAACCGTCTATGCCGGACTCCGAGCCGCGCTGCCGGCGATAAGCGATACGCGATAAGCGATAAGCTAGTTTTCTCCACCATTCTTGCCTTTTATTCCTGACTATCATCCTACAGTCACCACGTCTTATGCTTCGTCGCAACGGAAAGCCGACCTCGTGCGAGCCATGTCGGCTCTCCAAGGTCCGCTGTGACCATGCGACTCCCATCTGCCGACGTTGCCAATCGCGTGGCAATGCCAACCAGGTCGGTACAGTCCAGATGACTCATTTCTGTCTCACAGCTGACAATGACAACTGCAGTGCTATTACCACCCCGCCCCCTTGACGCGGGTCAAGGATGGGGGCATTGCGCGCCCTCGTGCGACCCCAAAACGAGGAGCAATCCACCAACCTCTGTTGGAGGTTCCCGACCTAAGTCCGACGCCGGAGCTTGCAGCGCCAGACCAGCCGCAGACAGGCACCGAGACCAAACACAGGCAAGACTCCGAGTTCCTGGGCTCGACAAGCTATCTCTCCGTGTTTAAAGAGACCCCGCGGGGGATCTCCGGCAAAGCGAACCGGTCCCTCTACGCCGAATTCGAGTACTGGCGCACCCAGCATGCCTACGCATCGTCGCGGCTGATTCGCCTGGCCTCCGCCATGGCCTTCCACCGCGACCAGATCGAGTGGTACCATCGCGTCAGCCGGTTCACCGTGGTGCCCGCCCCGATCATCCTAGACTCGCTGGACCGAGTGCAGGCGTACATCGACCGCAACCCGTGGGACGTCACGGGCAAGTGGAAGGAGCTCTACGAGACCATCACTGCCGCGACCGGACGGCCCCTCGATGTTTCGAGGGACATGTCGGCCGGCGACTTCTACGCGCAGCTCACCGGCCCGAACCTTAGGTGGGAGTTAATTGCCTTGGTATTCGCCTCGTCCGGAATCAGCGCCATGGTCCGGTATCCTGGTCACCATATCGTGGAGCTGGCGCATGGGGAGACGATGACCGTGGAGACGTTCATGAAGGAGATGGTCCTGGCGGGCAACGAGTGCATCGAGATCAGTAAACAGTTCGGGCACGTCAATGATCTGATCTTGTGGGCGCGATACATGCATGCTCATCTGGCGATGGAGGTACTGGGCGACACCAGTAAGTGACCCGCCTGTTGTGTATACTCCAGCACCAGACTCACGAACAAACAGGTGAACGGCTCTACAGCCTCTTCGGCGACCTGATCTCCAATATCTACACCATCGGCCTCCACCACCAGCCCTCGCGCGATGTGCCTTTCTTCCTGGCCGAGACGAGGAAGCGCATGCTGGCCGTTACCCATCGCACGGACAAGAACCTCGCCACGCTGATGGGGCGCCCTCCGCGTCTCCCGCACCAATATTGCGATGCAGCCCCTCCGCTAGACATCGCGGACGAGGATCTCTTCCTCGACGGGCCGTCCCTCAGCGCCGTACTTGCCGGTCTAGACGACCAAGGCTGGCACCGCGAGAGCAGCTTCATGCCCGCGACGGTCATGCGCATCCGCCACTTCCTGTCCACGCTCCGCGAACATGTCCTGGAACTTTCCTTGGGCAGCAAATCCGCCGTCGACTACAGCAATCGTGTGCAGTATGTCCCTTAGCCCGTTCCACTTTCAAGTCGCTCTCTTTCTCCTTGGTATACTCCCAATACTAACAAAACTAAGAAAAACATACCACCTCTGCCAAGAAGTCCTCACACAAATCCCCACCCGCTTCCATTACACCCAGGACTGCTGGCAAACCCCCGAGAGCGAGCTGATGGAATGCCTGGCGCGGATCCTCGTGCAGTTCGACTACCAATTCAGCGTCCTGCACCTGCAGCGCATCCGCTGCAAGACCAACAGCGACAACGCCACCGCCGACCTGATGAACACCGCCCTGCAGGTGCTGTCCATGGTCATGGACCTGACGCGCATGTTCCACTCCCACGAGATCCAGCGCCAGTTCGCTTGCATCGTACGTTACCCACTCCAACCCACTCCCCCTTCGACCCAAAATTAGACTAATGAAGAGAGACAAAAGTACCTGAGCTACGGCATCCCCGCGGCCGGCATCCTCGTCACCGAACTGCACAGCCACACCCTCGCCAACCGCGCCTTCCCGGCGGCCACCCCGCGCGCCGAGATCATCCGCTCGCTCAGCGTGCTCCTCGCCTGGGTGCAGGCCACGCAGCTGCCGCCGTCGACCACCGCCGTCGCCGCCAGGGAGCTGACCAAGGTGGTGAGTCGGTTGTTGGATGATGCGCTGAATCATCAGCAGGGGGTGGTCGGAGCCGGCACCACGGATGCTGATGTGATCGCTCCGATGGTTCGGGAGTCGGGCGAGTTCCTACCGCCGGGGTTTGTCGAGGGCTTCCAGCTTCCGTCCGAGGCGCTCGGGGTGGGAGTCGCCTCTGAGGGGTTTTTGAGTTGGCTGGATGAGTTGGATTTGGGGTTGATTTCGGGGGAGGGGTTGGTTTGATGGACCCCAGAGCGATGTGGAACGTGATTCATGTTTTGTCTGTGTGGAGTTATGTTGAATAAACGATACCGGTGGGATATTCTGTGCCGTTGTGGATAATACAGGAAGTGTTAAGGCGACCCTGCGTTTGGCATTTATCATGTCTTAGAAGGCAACATCAAATCAAGTGACTCGCAAAGAATCTTGCTGGCAATGCCTCTGCTTTCGGAAGAACTTAGGCACTATCATAACCCCCTGTTAGCCCCACCAAGGCCTTCCGACAGAGCCTTTAACCGCTAAACGGTCACTTGGAAAAGATGTATTCCTACAAGGACAAAGAGCAAGCACTAGTGTATATGGTGTAATCAGTTATGTTCTTAATCAATACTGACTGTGCTGAGGCCGATGGGGTCACGTGTGGCAGCGTGACCTTCAGCCCGATGTTTATTCTGATGATCTGATCTATGCTCAAGTTGTTTTCTTTTCTTCAATTTTTATGTAAACAGATCGTGGCACTGCTCAATTGGACAAATTCGGCTAAAACCCTTCACTAACCCGAGCTCGAGCATTCTTGTCTTGTTCTTCTATGCTTAGAACGTCGGGACCCCACTTCTTGTTCTGTTCCTCTCGGGCTGCTCTAATTAACCCCATGTAATAATCCTTCTCCGTCCCAGTAACCTCATAGCCGTTCCACCAGTGGGCGTATGCAACTAGCTTATCCCTGCCCAAGTGTTTTCCAAACAATTCATGCAGAACCATAAATCTCGCATCGGAGTCGCGCGACTTCACATCAATTCCGGCCGGCACGTAAATAATTTTATCATTCTCCGAGTTACGCGTGGCGGGATGATCCGAGAGATAACCCGTATAATATCCTTCGGTTTTCAGAAAAACAAGATCATTGTCGTAATTGTAAGCTAAACACCAGCCTGTGAGTGGCTTGCCACCCCCTTTGTAAGAGGGCGCGAGTGCATTCCCTAAGCATAATCAGTTTTGTTCTATATTCCATGGTTGTCCACTTACAAAGGTAGTAGATTCCAAAGCCAAGGGGTCCAAGTTCTTTGCCAAGCTGTTTATAGTCCTCGTCCCCCATTTGATAATTGGTTGACATTTTGAAGAATTTCTAAACTTGCGTAGATGAAGAAACAAGTCAAGATGGGCGAAATACTGTGTATGAACCTTGACAGTGGATGAAGAAGAGCAACTGTCAATTTCAAGGGGGGAGCGAGACCATACTTATATTTTTTTTTTAGACCGGGGTGCTAGGCATGGTGCACCATTACATCATATTGTCGATATAATGAAAGTGCTTTTAGCTGAAGTATGGATCCTTTTCAGCTTTCATTGATAAAGGCTAATCCCCTTACGGATTGGCGGTTAGGAAGGAGGGGGGGGGGGATGTGATGATCCTCCACGTACAGTCGATGAATGGATAGATAAATGGATTTCATTTACCCTGACCCCTTACAACTATGCGTGATAGACTTCTCTCACTATTGTGCCTGCCCTATTATGCAGTGGATAGACTCCTCCACGTGTGTACTTGAAGCAGATCCTTAATGTAAGTTTCTTTCCTCGAGAGAATAGTCGTTACCACATGATAAGCTGCTTCTCAACGGGTGTTCAAATAATTTCGGTATCGTCAAATCGTTTAGTCAGATTGCTCTGCGTACAATCTTTTCACTGAAACAACAACGGCAGTGTCATCAGCTCTCACCCGACAGTGGCGAGCAATCGTTCGTCGTAGAACCTTTTCTAGCTTTTTCTCTAAAAACAGCTGCCAGAAGGCACTTGGAGCTCCATCCTGTTCTTCCGATTGCCATGATCGATGGTGAGCGCGTGATAATTGAAAATTGCAATTGGATGACAATATGATCAGCACTCCATCAATGGGCGGATGAATGACGAATGACGGTATTGAGCTAAACTTACCGCTACTGATCAGCAATTTTAGTCGAGAAATATGGAGCATCCCGATCTCTCAGGAATGACACTACTTGCTAATCACTAATCGCTTGTATCCATATATGGATTCATAAGAGATCAATTCAGAAGTGCACTACTGCAGGTGATCCCTATTGATAAGAATGGGCCCCTAAACAAGACTTCTTGAGATACCAACCACTGAGCTAAATCCCATGCCTTATACTATCAATTTTCTCCTTCGCAATCAAAATCCACGATCTTGCGCATTCAAGGGTTCCGAACACCAGAGCCTTCATTAAGCTATGATGTTCTTATAGGCTACAGTAAAAATAACAGTGCAATTGACTTTTTGTCTGTTTCCACACATGTGGCCAAAGATGCCAGTTGATGCCCAAAAACGCAAGCCCCGAGCCCCACCTGTTCAGTGGCTAGCTGGGATCAAGTATGCACACGCCGCTTCGTCACTCCGTCCCGCTTTGTGGAGTCCGGCTCCATTTCCTCCACCTCAGCGGTAGACACTTGTACGCAGTATGTAAGTAGGTTTGCCTAGGTAATCAATGTTCAGGTACCCCACTACGACAGGTTATAACCGCCAAATAGCCATACTCCTTCTGCTTGATATCAGGACCGATCAAATCAGTTCATTCTTACTAACTTAGTGCTAACAATATAAAATATCGAATATAAGAAAAAAAATAAGAGAAAACCGCAGTCTAATAGGCTTACTTATCAGATTTCTTATCAGTAAAAACTGGTAGCCAAAGTAAAAAAGCGCCATCTGGCCATCTGGCCACCTGCGTCCCCCCAGTCACCCGGAACACAAGGATGACTGTTCCGGTCTTTAAATCCACTTCCTGCCGCCCTAGCATGCTGTTCGCTTGAGACATCACATCGGATATTTCGAAGACTCAGTCCGAGCTCTGCCATTGCAGTCTTGGAAGTCAGCCATGAGTAAAAGCTTTCCGTCTAGGATCTTGCCAAGGTGGGTCTTGTCAATTTCCTGTCCGTCCTTCCGTATCTGTGACATGAACACCTTGAGAAACCTGAGGGGGCTTTTGGTGAACTTGGCTCCTGCCTGTTGGTTCTCCACGATGAACCCATCCGCGGCGACGGCCAAGCCCTCTGGTGCGGCAGTAGATGCCACTCCCAGGAAGCGGCATATTTCACAATACTCATTGTACGATGAAATATAGAGCTGCCCCGCAAAGAGGTTCAGTTGAATGCGTAGGCTCTCAGGGACTGGTAGGGGCCTTGTGCTTGAACCCGTCGGAATCGGGTACAGATCGAGCTTATCGAGATGGTATGAGCTCTGGTTTTGACGAGGTGCATATAGATGCATCGTTACTGTGCCAGACCCTCGAATGTCAGAATGAAGGCTATTCGCCTCATACGGGCTGATGATCACCATGTGCCTTACGGGCGTTCCGTCCTTGGAGGGATGGTCATTGCTCATCAGGACCCATTCCACCGCACGCTGGTAACTATCTCGGGCAGACAATTTATCTGGCAGTCGGACTGTTCTAGCAAAATCCTTGGTGACAAGGAGCTCCGATGGGAACTGGGCCACATCCAGGTATTTGGCCGCTGATGTATCTTCTAACACCATGAAAGCTGGGCTCACTGCGGTGGATGATGCATCCAGATGTCCCGTGGCCACGAACAAGCGTATATCGGGGTGCACGGAATGCGGTTCCGGCTCGGCAGGAGGCGGACGTTGAACTTGTCGTTCCTGCTCAATCTCTGGTGCTAGCTCTCGCTCTTGCTCTTCCTGGAGTTGCGCTGCGGAGAACTTCACAGTGGCGAACTCACGGCAACGGTCCAGTATGCGACACAAGTCCCCATCGTCGGTGTTCTGAGGGAAAAGAGCCAAATCATTCTTACGACCAGGACGGTATCGCTGTTCAAGCGACTGGGATTCCGGTTCCAGAAACCCTTCGGCCTGACATTTGGAAATCGAAGTTTGCCCGTCCTGTCGCAACGCCCGCCAATGACGGGCCTGGGCCTGATATCGCTTTCCCTGCACTGCCCACAAAGGCATGCTGCGTTGCATGTCATCCCAGGTCTCCGAAATTGCCCAGCGGAGCACGTCTGCTACAGTAAGATCGGATCCGTGGGACCTCCCACAGAGAGCCAAAATTTGGAACTTGATCTCTTCCGGAATGCAAAACACCACCGATTGTCCTTTTCCTAATTTTCTCATCCTCATACATGCTGTGATAGCTGTTAGTGAAAGGTACAACTGGCCGTTCTCTTGGGACTCCCTGACCTTGAACTAGCTTGTCTTTTGTGATACTCGGTCCCAGCGTCACCGCCGCCCGGGTCTTTAAGGGTAGCATCAGATCAATCCCTCTCGTGTGTGCTTCGTCAAGGAACACAAGGCATTGGTCGAGGTGCCTTTCGAAAGGTGACGTCCGCAGCGGTTCGACGAGTCCGGTCCGATTCACCACGGTAATCTCGTCGTCGTCGTTGATAAAGACCACGGCCTGCGTTCTGCTATCATCACCGATCATCTCCAACCAGGTCTTGGCAACCTCCAAGTTGCTCAGCTCCAGTATCCGAGCTCCAACGTCCAGGATCACCCGTACGGCTGGATCCAGTTCCGCCACCATATCCAGAAGGACCTGCGCATCTGACTTGGTCAGGTCATCTCGTGGCGGAATTAGGGCGATGCCGGTCTCTGATCGAAGGAGATATTCGAGAACTAACGCATTGGTGTGATTCTGATCAGGCAGATCCAGCTGCTCCACACTGAGGGGAAGGGTGACCCGGGAATCGTTGGTCCCGCTAAAGCCGACGGTGGGATGGCACTTGACCTCCCCGATATCCCATCCGGATGAAGATAGTTTACTCGGAAACTCCCTTAGACCTTTGGCGAAAATAATATGAGCAAGGAAGTAATCGATGACCCCTTTCGCAAACCGAAGACACGGAAAAATGCATTCCACGCAAAGGAGCCGATCCTGGAGGTTAACGCCCATCAATTGACAATAAGTGGAGGGAAGATTCGGGGCATCATCGACCCATATCTGATACTCCGCGTCAGCCTGATCCGATCCGACCAAATGGTCGAATGCCTGAAATAGGTCGTCGTCACAGAGTCCTTCATAATAGTAACTCAGGCACGTGAGCACAATGACAACATCGGGGTGACTGAATTCCGCCCGTGGTGCAGGGTTATCCTTGGCACGAAACGGAACCGCCAGCCTCGTGGGGGGTTGTCGGGAGCGATCAAGTCCGCAGTTGACTCTCCACCGTCTTTGTCCCAGGCAGAATGCCAAGACGTTGCCAGCTAGCAGACCCCGAAGTAGTAGGAGAGGATCTTTCGTGCTGTCGGCCCACAAGCCAGACGCATCTGGCTTTTCGACTACCGCAATCTTCTGTTCTGACGGGTCAGGCTCAAGGCAATAAGCAATAGCCGCGCGTCGTTCTGCTTCTGGCTGCCTTGAAATGGGCAGGTTGTCGATGCCGTAGTGGGAGATATGATCCGCGATGCGTTCAAACAGCCGGTGCGCGGCATCTGCTCGGAGCAACCTGATTCTGGGGAAGCTCCCTGGATGTAGCTCCTCCACCTCAATTGACCGCGGGAGCTGCATTTTGATAACCGGAGCATATCTCCTCACCAGGCCCAGCATCTCTTGAATCAAGTTCCACCTCTGTGGACTGAGCTCCAAAGGACGCTGGGTCCCCATTGTGTAGATCAGCTCGAACTTCACACTGAAATTTTCATCGCTTTCGTCTACCAGGTCTCGCGAGGAGGTCTGGAAGAAATCCAGGATTCTAAGAAGACATACACCAACCGCCTCTCTCCCTGTGATGAAGCACTCTAGGCACATCAGTTTTAGGGATAAGAGGTGCTCAGGCTGAACAAGGAGAACTCCGCCCTCCGCCATGCAGTCTTTGCACATCCATTCGATCTCCCTCGCCTCAGATTCACCAATCCGCAACGAGCGTGACACGGGGAGATGATAAACCCGCCGACCTAAAAGTCCCCCTAGCTTTGAAACGAGCATCTGAAACATCTGCCGCGACTGTGGCTTGGCGACAATGATGCGAACTAGGGAACGGTCTGCGAGCGCGGCTGCCACGATGGGGACGATGACGGAAGACTTGCCCTCGCCCATATTCAGTTGCATGACGACATTATGTCCGGGCTGCGCATGTCGCATGCGTCGCGCAATCTGTTCTTGGACGTCCCGAATCAACAATCCACTCTCAATCTCCAGCAACAATGACTCGGGAAAATCCATTGGGTTCCAGTTCGTGTGACCTGCGTTCTGCAGTTCGCGGGCTAAATCCACGCGATGACCCATCAAATTGACGAGCCTCTTCGCCCGCTGGAGTGCCGTGATGGAACATCCATACGCGATCAAGCATTTCTTCCAGGGCCCAGGCAGGTGGCTCCAGCGTTTGCGTGTCAGCTGATGGAGAAGGAGCTGTGATGATACCCTCGGCCAGACGTTGACATTTGCAAATGTTCCCAGGATATTGCGCTGCGTGTCTGAACCTGGACGTACCTCTCCTGTCCTCGTATCGGAAAGCATCATCCTCGACATGATGGAGCGACTGATTTCCTCATGGTACTCTTGGCAGCGATGCAAATGATGGGATATGACGGTCTCAAGAATGTCGTCATCAGGCAAGGGATGATCCATATCCTGGATACCCTGCAGGGATGTCACACTGGCCCGCAGTCTCTCGATGTATTGCTTTTGGAACTGAGATCGCGCTTGTGATTCCAGGGCATCGACTAAGCTCAAAAGACGGAGGTTTGGGTCAGGAGCAGTGCGACTGCCCGACCAAGGCGGTAGAGTGGGTGGTTCCATTTCCACCGCCGGTGCTGGACCAAGAGACTCGTCCACTATATCATCCACGGAGATGAAAGCATGCCGTCGGTCCGCGGGGCGTTTCGCGCACGGGTACAGACATGGCGGGATCGCGATGGGTTGGACCTTTTGGGCTGTGTAGACGGATGCAACCCTATCAAGATACTGCCTCAGCTCTCGGTTATCGAACCAAGTTGGAAATGCTGCCTGTGAAATTTGCATCGCTTTTTGTGTATCAAAATAATCTGCGAACGCCGGCTGTTCACCAGATATGGGAGTTGAGGGGCATCGGGTCGGCCACTGTCCCTCTAGGCCCTCTATGAAATGAGCTAGTGCCTGTTTCCGCTTTGTCTTTCTCAACTTCGCCACGCGCGCATGAAACATGCTATACGATTCCGCTGGTCCGGGAGAGAGGCCATCTTCGGGGGTCACACTCCTGCTTACAGAATGGATCCGAGTCTTCAGTTCGGCGCAGTTCACCTTGGACCCTTTTTGGGGCCTGTATGATCTCTGCGCTGGCAACGTCATAGAGGCCATGCCGGGCAAGATGTACATCGCAGCAAGAACGTGCAAGACGATTATGTCGATCTTCCTGGAGAATGCCAACGTTGACAACCAGAGCATTACTGCATATCTGTTTGGCCGGGCCGTCTCCGAGCAGAGGAGCCGATGGATACTGCACCAATGACTGGAAACAAACTCGCCGGTCTCCGTGAGCCACATCGCATCGTATTTGATCTGTGTAGAATCAATCGAAGAACTGGCTCCGTGAACTGTGTTGGAAGTCGTAAGAAACTCCCAAAGACGTGCAGCCAGGATTTCAAGCATGACGTTCTGGGCAGATGGTATATCTTCGTAGAGAATTCTGCAGAGACTGAACACCCGTGAACAGCTTTCGGACTGGTAGTCCCGGCCCAGTTCTTCGTACGGACAGTCCTTCGCGTCCGTGTGGTCCTCAGCACCGAAACCAGAGATCCGGAAGGTCGAGGAGCGAATGCGATCTCGCTGCAGGAGGTCTGCATTCCATGAAGGGAGCGACGGCTCTGTCCCCTGTGAAGCCGGGTTGAATATCCTCATCCGACGGTGTTGATCAAGTATAGCAGCTACCTGGCTGTGGAATTCATCATGTTGAGCCAAACAGCCGAGGATCGGATCCCATCGAACGCTCTGCATTACACGCTCGTTGGCAGGGTAATATCTCCTCGCTGGTGTGAGACTCGCAAGCTTTTTAAGAATCGAGATATTCTCCGGCTGTAGTTGATTGAAAGACCGCATCGATGCCGAACGAAGGATGGACAGAGACTGTTCGGTCCCTGTGTGCTTGGTCAAGGGGTCAGGAGTGCAGAAGGATGTGACGGCATGCAGATAGCACAGTACAAGTTTGCTCTGTAGAGTCCCGTTGTCTGTCAAACAGCCGATGTCACTGTTCACGAGATAAACATGCACGCGGGTTGCCGCCTGCCAGCCAACCTTGACGGCGACATGGCCATCGCCTTGCTCCCATGTTATCTGGCCTTCTGGGATCAAAATCCTCCGATTGTGTGTGTTTCGGTCCAGCAAAACGAGCTTGTTACGCAGGCCGATCAGGGTGCCCACCGACTGATCAGGATCGACGACCATCCCCCGGTACTGGCGAGACTCAATTGAGGACTGACCCGATCGCAGATCAAAGCCCAGCCCGAGGCGGGGGATCTCGATTTCCACCATGTCAGATCCGCGGTGAAGTTTGTAGTGCAGCTTGGGGGCCTTTTCGAGGGGTTGGAAGATATCAGACAATGATCTCGCTGTCTCGCTCCGCATATTGATTAACGAGATACTGCCCTGGGTAAGCCGCCAGTTGTTTCCCAGCTGGGTGCGCTGCAATCGCCAGTGAGAAACCGGTGATGACTTCCATGGATCATTAAGAGGACGAAACTCTATGAATTGGCCATCGGTCTCGTACCAATGGGCGTATCCCTCCACGAAGGCATCCGGCAAAGCATCCGCGAGGAGCCTCGGGGATACGAATTCCCAGACTCTACTCCCGTCCACAGCTCGAATGCGTAGATCGAACCCACTCTGCTTGGGGATGGTTAGTTTCCCCAAGTAGATCGTCTGACCCATGTGCAGTCTCTGGGCGGAGAATTCCAAGCCTGGAAGATTGCTAGGCATCACTTCAACCAAAGAATGCCCGAACAGGGATCGATATGTGTTGTGGCGCTCGAATTCCGAGGGCAACCGCGCAAGTGGACGACCATTGATGAGCAGCTGACCAGTGAGAAGGTTGACGTGCACCACGACACCGCTATTACTGCCGCGTTCAACCATCATCTGGGTATTCAGGCAACATTGACTGCCCCCTGGGGCGGCTGTCCAAGGAGATCCCGGTCGGTACGCGGCCCAAGTCCGCTGGATCGCTCGGTCGAGTGCGGTCGTGCGGCCATGGACAGTGTGGTTTGCGAAGATGCGGTGTCCCCGAAAGGCTATGCTCTGCCACCGATAGTAGAAGATTGGAAGTAAACCACTGGATACCCCGTCCAGAAGACTCCTTCGGTCATGAATGATCATACTGCATTGGATGAAAACGGAGGCAGCCAGATCGTTCCGGAGCATTTGCTCCAGGTGACTGTTCTCGCAGTCAAAAGTGCCCACGCACATCAGTGCGAGGTAAGCGGCGGAGGCCATCAGATTGTTCCTGTGTTCATCACTGTCCGTAGCACCGGCCTTCTCCCCAACAGTCATCACCCATTGGAAAGAGATCTTCCGGAGGCCATCCAGCTGGGCTATGCATTCCTCCTGAATTTGAACCGATGGGGAGCAGGCCAACACTTTTTTGGGTGAGGGCGATCAGCACGCTCAACTCCTCTGCGGATTGCCAGTTCTGTGCGATGGCCGCTGCTGTCTTCTTGATCTCTCGCAGCAAAGGAGCTGCAAACAAATCATCGTTCAAAACATGATGGCCTTCTCTCAGGGTCGGATGCATGGGCGATGGCGGCCCTGCCTGGTGCATGATCTGCAGGGTAAAAAGGCACGTCTCGACCTTATTGAATACCACGGAGGGGGCAGCGAGCTGCCGAAGGATGTTCTGCCACTGGATGTGAACGCCCAATGGCATTGAGCAGAGCGCCTTATACTCACCCAGTGACATGTTTTCGGGGCAGGCATGCTGCGATGCAATGACCGTGTTGGGTGATTGACCGTCCGGTGTCTCCGCTGGGCGGAAGAGAAATGGCTGCAGAGACGAGCTGGATGGAGGTAACTTGTAAGTGCATGCCGTCGCCGTTGCATGTGTTTGGCTCAGGACTTCAGTAAAGCAGCGGAGGGCATTGTCAAAGTATTTGAAACGCAAACCGTTCGCGAGACAAACGTCGCTCTCTGATACATTGATAATGTATTTTTCCCGCCTGTGAGTTGCGCGGTGGGGTTTAACTTGGGAAAGAAGGCCGATCCTTGGGTGATCAACGACCGCAGTGTAGAACATAGAGAGTCCGCTATAGGTGTTTGGTCGGTACTCAGCTCTAGGCGTTTCTTCCGAAACATACTTGATCCCCAAAACATCAAGCAAGATGAAAGCAGTGATATCACGCCAGAATGCAAACGGTCTGGGCAGTTTCAACTCGAAGACCGTAGATTTTGCCTCCAAAGGATTGGAAGACAAAGGCCACTCATGCACATCAATTGTGATCCCTCTCGCAGCCTTGTCAAACCCGCATCGCTTGCATGAGGGGCTATGGCGACGCTCTGTGAAGAGGAACCGCCTGTCGACTATCTCATCGTAGAATGTGCAAGAAATCTCATCCCGCCGAGCACAATAGTCCCTGTACTGCTGATGCTTGCGGTGCAGCTCCACCACTTTGGCGGCCTTCTCAGATCCAGCTCTTTGTTCAATAGTGTCAAGTAGACGTTGGTGCTCAGCGGAGTTATCGAAGTAGCGCACAGAAAAGGAGGAAGAGGTTCCAAAGTCGGTTAGAACATTGGAATCTGGGTACTGGAGGTCCTGGTGACGCTGGCACATGTAGAGTTCCGCCTGTGCCAACCTGGTAAGCTGGGACAGCCGAGATAAGAGGAGAGACTGGAATAGATGTATCGGAATACAAGTATGATACTGGCGAAGCAGCGGATGAATATGGACGGCGGACTTGTCACAAGCTATCCAGAGCTCCAGGACGGTGAGAAGCATGGTAGACAATGCCTCGGGGTTGGAGGCGTACAACTCGGATGCAATATTAAAATAGGCATTAACTACACTGCTTAGCCGTTCGCAGGTGTCTTCATAGCCGATATGTGTCTCAATCCAGGATTGAAGATTCAAGTCAACCCACGCTTCAAAAGCAGCAAGATTGTAGACGTGATAGTCGGGGTCAGTCAATTGGAGGAGCGATGGGAGCTCTGCCGGCTCAAACTCCAAGAGTCCAGACTGTGGGTGGGAATCTGGCGACACTAAGGAGTGTTGGCAGGTTGTGATGCTCTGAAGCCACTCATCAAGATTGGGCAGTGAGCAATCAGTGTCATCTTTAAAGTTGAGTCGAGTCAAGGCGGACATATCAGGTCGGCAGGCGTTACGGGCGATGATGCGGCTCCAGTTTTGTTCGAGGACGCCATTCGCTTCTCGAAGGGCACACTGGACAAACAGGAGCCAATCGTGATTATCCGGCGGCAGATCAAGCTTGCGTAACCGGCGCACAATTTTGGAACTCATGATATACCGGTGTTCACTGCTTATGCTCTCGGGACAGCGGTGGAGAATGGAACTCATGTAAAAAACCATGAATACTTTGTAAAGGTCGACTGAAATTCCTTCGCGCTGGGAGAGCCTCCGAATGAACACTTGGATCGTAACTCGAACCTGGAGCCAGAGGGCGGAACGCCTCCAAGGATGCAGAGTGTCGAGCCACAGGACTTCTTCCCGTGTGTTTTTACGAACCTGCAAACTGTCCACAGTTCTGCATTGTGGGCGCAGGAATGTTGTGAACAGCTCTGTAACCATCATTGGATTGGTTGTATCCCGATCCTCGTCGTGTTTATGCCGCGCCTTCTTCACTTTTGGCTTGGTCCCCGGGGCAGGCTGACGACTCATGCTCTCAAGGGCGTGCGCAATTGTGTTTTGCATATTCGGCTCATTGAAGATGGCTCGATCCAAAGCAAAGGTTGGCCCAGGGAATTGGCGTTGCAGTCGACCCACCGTGGTGTTGACAGCGTTGTTCCGAGGCCACAGTTCAAACGTCTCGACATGTATTGAATCGCTGTGCCTGGTCATTAAGACCGCAGCATTCTGGCAGCGAACATGCACAGGTAGAGCACCTCCTATACAACACGTGTCAGTAAAGTTCCAGACGTCAGCTAGGTAACAACTGGCCATACCTGAGTTTTCCAGTTCTCCTAAAGCTTTTCTAAGCTCGACGTGATTCACGTCCCCATCACAATCGCGCATCGCTCTCAAACGAGTGAGCATCACTTTGACACTGACAACAACTTCACTTTCCTGCCCCTGCCAATAATCCTGAAACCGAGCAAGGGCGTCAATAACGCTATCGAGCATCACAGTTTCATGTACAGCGTTATAATCATCTTCCTGTGGCAGTTTTGGGGGCAGAAAAACGTGATGAAGTAGATATCTAGATTCCGTGGTCGATAGACGGGATGCAGCAGGCAAGCCAGACATTCTCCACTGCGTTCAGTATTGAAGAACAATCCAAGAAGAAATTTTGCGAGTAAAAGGCTGTTTGGATGAGTGCCGTAGAGCCGAATGTGCAGCCCAGCCCAGTGCCTTTTATCCATCCCAGAAGACTATAGACATAGGAGTCATTTTAGCGGTTCCAACGTGCAGTGGTTGGCCGTCTCGTATCATTTGCAGAATTCGAGGCGTGCCCTGATTTGTCCCAGTTGTCTAAGCGTGCTGTTGATCTGCCCTTGCTTTGAACGAGAGACGACTGCATCCCACACAGTCTACCGACCAAAGTTGTGTTGTATGCTTCGCAAGTAAAGGCTTTAGCATCTTCACTTTTGCTCACGGAGGTTATCTCCTTCATTTGACGGGGGCAGCGAAAAGTCTTGGCTACCCAATCTCAGTACGCCAAGTGTGCTTGAACTTCCTCCCGCATGTCTTCCTCCCGCATGTCTTCCTCCCGCATGTCTTCCTCCCGCATGTTTTCCTCTTGCATGTCTTCCTCCCGCATGTCTTCCTCCCGCATGTTTTCCTCTTGGATGCCTTCCTCCCGCATTGTCTTCCTCCCATCCCCCTTCTGCATATGGCCTTCATCCCCCCACCTCGTGGCTGAATTTCTAAAAGTATATATCCGGCACCAAACTTGATGGTGGGCCTAAGAACTCATAAATTACTCTTTCTTCTTAATGAGCTCGCACTCCGAATGTGTTTCACATTCCGTGCACTTTTCTATAATCTATTCAAAATGTCATCTGCAAAGCATTCATTCAGAGTTCAGAACAATATCACCTACAAGCAATTGCCTATCGACTCGGTCCGCGTCGGGCCCCCAAGACTGAACGCGTATAAGAGACTCCTTGGTAGATTTTACGAGCCTTTGTTTCTTTTGCGTGTACTAGGACAGACCCGTGGGCAGCACACAGTCGGCTCATCGGATCCTAGTCTGGAGCAAGAAACACGGCGAAGAAGGTTCCTACGTAACCTCGCCTTTGTTTGCGACTTTACCAAAGGAGGAATTTCTTGCACTGCCATTGGACTTGAAGACAGCGAAACATGTTATAGATTCTGGATTTCATCCAACGCATCTGTCGACAAAATCGTCGAATTCGCGAAGAATGCTCTCAGCCGCCTGAAGCGATTCACAACAATTACGGGAGACATTGATGGAGGTCAATACAAGGCAGAATTTACCGGTTTCTGCCTTGATTTCGCGATCAGCCGAGTAAAGAAAGAGCGTCAGTGTTTGTTTCAAGCGATCAATCAGTGTTATCGCAAACCAGGATCTGTGAGAACGGAACAGGGTTCGTAAAGGCCAAATTACAGGTTCTTACGATGCTAACTGGTTCAGTAGATCAGATGATAAAAGACTGGCTTGAGCCTATCCTCGAACAGAATGATTGTCTAGCACTTTGCCATTATGCATATGTTCACAGAAAGTCTGCAATCAGGATAATTGGACCCAAAGCTCAAGATGAAGAAAAGCTAATGGGCCTTCAAGACCGACGGTCGCCTTTTGCGTTAGTCATCCATTATATAGGGCGACTGGCAGATCACATCCGGGCACCATCGCAGCTGGTTGAGGATACCTACCATTTGTCTCAGATCCTTGACTCGTATCAGGTGGTGGCTATTGCTTGTGTGCCTTCAGTGCCTCGGCCAGAGCCCGATAATTTAACCACGGTCGATGGTATCCTCAACAGAATGTTGAAGAAGGATGACCCGGAAAGGCTTCAGATAAAGAATTCTTTGCTTTCCATGAATTCTCGATCTCAATGTCGTACCTTTGAGGGTTTCATGAAACAATATGAAAAGTGCACGCCGCAGGTGCATGCAGAAGTGCAGGCTCTGGACCATTTCTTCAGGTTGAATCTGTCTTTCGTGGGGAATGACCGTTACATTGCTTGTAGCAAACCGGCCTGTCTGTGTTGTGGACTATACTTTAAGCACCATCCGGCGCGAATGGTCTCCCCTGATTGTCACCGCAAAGTCTGGGTTAATTGGAGCCCGCAATTAGTCAAAAATCCCGTGAAGGGGGATCCAGAATACGATTTGCAGGTGAAGGTCCTCAATGAGATGACAAGTGAGATTCGCCGGGATGTTATTGCTGATATTCTTGGTCACTCATCATCAAGTCCCTGGCATCCTGATTCCCAGACAGCAATTTCAGATGACCGGTGGTCTCGCGTGGATTTGGAGGAGCTTCGAGGACATACATTCCGATATTCGATTGCTGACGGCAGCTTGGACACGGAGGCAACTGAACGTAGCACAGCGAAGGTCTGGAGGACAAAGGAGCTCAAGACATACGTGTCGGATGAAGACTATGACGCAGACTGTGGCGGGGTATCTCTCAAGATATAAGGTGGCAATGGATTTTGGCTTACAACTTGATTTGATCTACCCTTTCTGACTCTTGAGTAATTCATACCTCTTTCTTTTTCTTGTTTTTTCTCTCATTGAAACACGTGAGTGTAGATCTTCGTTGGAGTCATGGCTACAAGTAGGAGGCGGGTGTACTTCTACTTCTTGCGGGCGTTACGATTCTGAAGGGCATAAGGTACTATTCAAAACCCCGTCACTAAACTCGACAGAACTAAGGCCCGACATACGAAATTGCTCAATCGGACACAGAGAGACTACTAAGATCTTCATGCTGAGTTCGGTAGTGTCTGCGAAGATTGTCTCTCCGTGTGAATGGTTTACCGCACAACTCACACACAGCGCCCACTTTCCACCACTGCCGAGCCCAGCCACCGTGATGCACTTCGATATGTCGACGCATATGAACCTGCTGAGCCGTTGTTACCGTACATATGGGACATTTGACTGGCTTGACATGAATGCGCATATGCTTTCTGTGAAGAGTCAGCAGGATGAATCGAGAAAGTGGTAGCGTAGCTTACTGCAAATCACGCTTTCTTGGAAAGCCATTCTTGGTCACGCATGCACGATGTTGGCAATAATATAGCCCCTCAACTATAGAAATATTGTGATCGTAAGAAGGCATCGGCGCTTCCTGAAATCTCAAAGCGCATGTCCCTGAATCGTCCCGTCCTCCAACAACCACAGCTGGCGTGGTACTCTTGTGATCTTCACCACTCAGGCATCCATCTAAGCCCATTCTCTATAGAGATTGGTTTGGAAGAGGCAGTGCCTGTGAGTTCAATCCCACTGAGGTCAAAGTCGGAGTTTTCATGAGATCAACAGAAAGTGACTGGCTTTCAGCGGAGCCTTCCATCGAGAGTAGGTTGCTTGGTGCGACGAGGTCAGGATATTGCTCCGGCCAAGAAGGTCCTCTGCTGTCGCCGATCACAGTATCGGTCATTATCGTAGAAGGAGGAGCCAGAAATTCTCCTTGTCTATACCCTACCACAATTGGATCGCAATAGCCCTCGAGTGGAAAAATGGATAAATCGGTTCCAATGTAGGTTAATGAATCCGTGAATTCATCCTGTGGCCAGGCTGGGTAGTGTCCGTCCTCAGCCTGGCCGATAGATACAGATGTCATTGTGAGGACAAACACAAATTGATCCCGGAGAGAAGCTTCGACCACATACAAAGAAATGAAAAGCTCGAAAGCCTTCGGAAGGGATGACTCCCTAGTTATTAGGCTCAAGTTCGTTATCAACCTGGCTACTCTGGAAAGTTTGTGCAAGAGAATTCCCCAAGAGCTGGACCAGCGGTGTGCTAGCTACTTAAGTTAGGCAGCTTTGCAGTGACTAACTTGGCCAGACTTACCTGTGAAGGTACCCAGATAGCTGCCACATTCCTCATGCAGGTATGTACGGGTGTATGATAACGTTACAGGCATGACTGGTCCAAGAACGATAAGTGAATGTACTACGAAAGATGCGGTAAAAACAAATAGAGGACAAGAATCTTAGCAAGAAACGGCACACTGCTGAAGGAATTAATACCGGGGCCTTTGAGACAGGCTCAGCAGATGCGCAAAAGGCCTTAAAGCACTTACTTCGGTCCTATCTAGGGCTGCTTCAGCAATCCCGCGGTAGTAACGTGTATAATATACACAGCTGCTTTCTGGAGAGGTACGAGTTGGGATATAATAAACTAAATCGTCGAGTACCTCAAACTATCGTGATAAGAGAGGGCACGATACGAGAACGTTCCAGATGTTCTACGCAAAGAGTCAAGGATGATGACTATTAATCGCTTGGAAAGGCGCACGAAATACGGTGCGTAAACTGTGCTATATATACACAAAGAAAAGCAGGTAAGGAATGTGACCACAATTGAGTGTATCCTTCTAGCTGCAGGTAATATTGGTCAAAGGGCTTCCCGTCGGATTGATGTTGTGGCAAGTACCACTCCCTGGCAGTCCGCCTCAGCAGCCAGGAAGACAACGTTGGTAGGCCGTCAATTGGACGTAGCTGTCTGTGGAATACAATCTCTTAGGTAGTGTAACTACCGTATCCGTACTTCGCTAAGACCGATTCTCTGGAGCTAGATTGTTGTTCGCGTCAAGAGGTACCATAAGGATCTCTCGCCACCGAATCAGGAATACCCTTGACGACCCCCCTGCCTGGAAGGGACTTTGCATGGACGACATGGGGCAGGCGATGGAGCGGCAATTGCTATTCGTGGTGCTGGATCCCTTGCGATAAGTGCAACCTGCTTTGACCTCTGAACATTGTGAAGTTGATAGATATAGAATAATCATAAGTATATATTAACTAGAGTGGATTTTGGTTTAAAAAACATACTAAAAACCAAGCTTTTGAGATCTGTATTCAGATTTGATCTTTGTAAGATTGTTATGTTTTTAAACAGTAATAGAAGGTATTTGATACTTCCACCTATATTTCACATATATGATATAGTAGATCTCGAAATCGCTTGACCAACAAACACATCACTATTATTTCCAAATCACTGCTAAGATGCTAGCTCTATTATTTTCTTGAGCGGGCTGCATTAAAGTTATAGGATTGCGTAATCTTCTGTATATACAGTACAAAGTTCTTACCAGACGCAATACTCGCTCCATACATGGTACTTTGGGTCATAATTGGTAAGATAAGTATATCAGGCATTACACTACAATTCTTTAAAAATTTGTAGTAGCACTTGGACAAACCAGACAAACGCAGAACAACTGTACCTATAGCTATTATACAACAATAGTTAATATTATACTGAGAAGATTTGGGAAGGATTATCTTTAATATATATAGAACAGAGTATAAATAGCAGTAATAAATAATAGGCTGGGAGACTTTTGTAATAAAAAAAATAAAAAGCCAAAGTATATAAGAAAAAAGCCCTTTGGGTTAGAAACAGATGCGCCCGATGGGTGCGTGTATAGAGAGTGTGGGAGCGTGGCATAAGGCGGTTGATGGAAGGCTGCCATTTCCGGCAGCAGGGAAGCAAGTCGCATCTCTCATAGAGCAAAACTGCCACCTCACTAATTAGGGCTCATATTATTTTTCATCCAAGAGCATGCTTCTTCCTCGCACCGTATTATTAAATAATGATTCGATTCGGGTACAGTACAGGTTTATCCTTCTGCTGTATTTCCTGCAGCCTCACCACACGTAGTAAAATCGTATCTACTTCTGCCCCTTACCAACAGAATCATTCATTGTTGGTAAACCCCCCATAGAGATCTCCTCTGATTGTTTTCCCTTGCTAGACAGTACTTTTGCTCTGTTCATTCCGGAATATGTATTATCCCCACTTAGCTCGAATACTGCTTGATTAGTAAGCTGACCGAGGTCTCCAAGCTGGCGACCGTCTGTTTCGAAAATCGCCGTCCCAGCCAGCTCGGCTGGTAAAGCACGCTCCATTTTCGCATGTGGGTTTGAGTCCATTGTTCCTGGCTCTTGCGCTGGCATATAACCTTCGGATGTGGAGCGGTCCCGCACTCGTCTTCTGCGCAAGTACCAGAATAGCAAGGTACCCACGCAGATAAGAACCACACCTATTGCAACGCCAATCCCTGCTTCGGCGCCCGATGAAATTCTAGCAGAGCTATCACCGGCTTGGGAAGCTGAATTAGTTTTTGTTGCTGTCCTAACACTGGTCTCCGTTGTTACAGCACTATTGGTTTCTGATATCGGATTGGTGATAGTAGTAACGGCAGCGGTAGGTAGGTGAGGTAGGTGATGTTGATACACTGAAATCAGTGCCCACCAAAGTAACCGTTTTCGTGAGGGTAGTGGCTTGACTCGGAGTCACAGTCACTTCTGTGGTAATGACATCGACCTGGGATGCGGTTGATTCCGCGTTGGTTTGTGTAACAGCAGCGCTCATGTCAAGCTATAAAATATTTCGTCAGCATATGACGTGTGGCGTTTAAAGGTATTGTTTTGAGCATACATTGGTCAATGATCAGATTCACGCGGGAGTGAGTGGTAGCAGGTGAGAAAAGGAGAGAATGAAGTCTCAGCAGCTGATTATTCAGGCATTTGAAAACGCACGAGACGATCGCATGGGCTAACCCCCGTTCGACACTAGTCGATATAGAGGGCAACGATGTAGCTTGTAATCTACTACACACACAATAGTTGCCTAGTAGACTAATTTAGTGGCGGCTGTGTCAGAGCGCTTAGAGCAAGGCTGGGGGAATATTAAAGGAGACATGGAGAAGAAAGGACCTCCTCCTTACCTGCTTTGCATTCACTTTGAGTGCTTTAGGGTTCAAGTTGTCATCAAGATTCACTGTTGATATCGCATTCACTGACTGGCAGTTGCGATGCCCTTTGACTGGGGCTGTTGTGGGGACAAGAACGGCAGGAACGCAACCGACGCGGCTGCTGCCCCTCCGCGGCCGGTGAATCTCCTCTCCCCGTCCACCTCCTCCCATTCAGTTTCCAAACCATCACAAGTCAAGCGTTCTCCCTCTCAAACCACCGTCCCACCACAGCAAGCTTCACCGGTATCGGAGAAACATGACCTCTGGAAACGAGCAGAAGAACAACTGGACGAAAACAGCCGCAAACGGCTTCGATTGAGCCAGGACAGCAACTGCCCCTCAATCGATCGAGTGCTGGCGGAGATCATCAAAGAAATCACCGCCAAGTACAAAGACTACCAGAAAGGCAATTTGAGTATCCGGAACCGCGACGACAGCAACAAGAAAATCGATGTTCGAGGCTCGGCCAAAAAGGTCCTCGTCTGCGTGCTACAGGCCCAGGACCTCATCAAAGCGGTGGTCGGGTTCGATCCTACCGGCTACGCCTCGATCGCTTGGTCAGTCGTTGCCTTTGGGCTCACGCTGATCAAGAACGACATCGATCGGCGAGATGCGATCATGGACGCATCGGAGTTCCTCGCCCAGGCTCTCGCATACCATAGTATCATCGAGCACAACTACCGGAAGGGAACCATTCCCAGTTCGGCAAGGTTGGATGATGCTCTGGTGGATGTCTATGTTGCGCTTCTTCGGTATATAGCAGAGGTCCAGAGTGCGAGACATGAGAGTGCCGTTGCTCGAGTGGGAAAGAGTATAACTGCTCTGACTGACCAGCCGCTCGACCGGCTCAAGTCGGTGGTGGAGCAGAAAGGCGCCGTCGTGGATCAATGGAAAACGATCGTGAGAGATGAGGATCAGAACCGCCTTGCCGAGGATCAAAGTCGCCGTGCCGAGGCTATCTTGGTGCGGATCGACGAGATGGGCAGGCGGGTGCACAGTATCGATGTTCGAACCAATGATCAAGAGGAACTCAACATCCTCGACTGGATTTCAACTTTCTCCTATTCCAACATCCAAAATGAGACCAAGAAGGCTCGTTCGCCCGATACGGGAACATGGTTTGTGGAGTTGAGCGACCGCTATCAACGCTGGAAGACCACACCGGGACAACTTCTGTGGCTGCATGGCCCTGTGGGTTGCGGCAAATCAGTCCTATGCTCCACCATTATTGCAGACACTGACCTGCACTGCCAAAGAAATGAGCCGTGTGTTCTAGCATACTGGTACTTCAAATTCAGTGACAATGAAACACAAAGCATGGAGAGTATGGTCCGATCCTTCATACGGCAATTGTGTCCCCGACCTATTCCCAACCCGATCAGAAGAATTTGGGAAGATCACCGGAGGAACCGAGAGCCGGACTTGGACGTACTCTTGACAATTCTTAGGGAAATTATGGATTTGCTGCCTGGAGACGTATTCATCATCTTCGATGCCCTCGATGAATGCCCCACTGAGACTCGAGAAAAGAGCCTCCTAGCTTTCATGGATGGTCTGATAAGAGATTTTCCTACCAAGGTTCACTTGCTTGCCACAAGCAGACCGGAACCTGACATTCATAACGCTCTTACGCAGCACACCTTATTCGGACTGGAGGATGCTTTGAGCGGAGACGTCGAGAAGTTTGTGCAAGAGAGGCTAATCAGTGGAAAGTTGCGTAGATGGAATCGCTCCATCCTTGAGAGGATAGAACACCAGCTGCTGAACGTTTCAGAAAGGCAAGTCACGGGTGCATGTTACAGTCCCTCTCCGTGCTAACTAGGAGGTAGGCGATTTCGCTGGGTTGATCTGCAGATAAAGCGCCTAGAAAGATGTCACATTCCCCAAGACATTGATGAAGCGCTTACAACAATTCCTGACACTCTTGAGGCGACGTACAAAGGCATCCTTGAGCAGGAGATTCTACCAAGGTACCACGACGCAGTGCGATCCATTTTCACTTGGCTCACTTTCTCCATGAAGCCCCTAAGTCAGGAAACCGTCGCAGAAGTAGCAGGCTTCCCATCACCGGATAGCGTGATCGAAATTTGTACAACTCAAATGATTACCCTGAATACCGCGGATGGGACTATCAGACTTGCTCACTTCTCCGTGAAAGAGTTTCTTCTGTCCGAGCAAGTGGCTCACTGGTGCCACATGTCTGAAATACTTGGGTATCGCCTCATTCTAAACCAGATGCTGAAGCAGATTCTCTCCGAAGACGAGGATTTATCACTCATGGCTGCCATGAGTAAGCCACTTCTCCGCTACAGTAGTGAATTTTGGCCCGACCATCTTCGGAAGTTGGAGAGCTTGAAACCCGGCCCATTGCAGGAGATCTATTCGATGCTGGTAGAACTCTTCACTGAGCCCCTTCTATACCACAACTGGCAACGCTTGTATTCGTTCGACTTTTCCTACACCAAGCAGGCATGGCGCCGCTGGACGGAAGCAGCGTGGGTGCCGCCAATCGAAAAGGCGATCATTCTGCAACTGGAACATCTAGCAGACCTACTGGTGCAGACGGGCTCTGACGCTCTAAAGAACACAAAAGATACGGGTGAAAGCACGCTAGTCTACGCGGCCGAGCATAGCGTTACAATTCTGGCACTTCTTTTACAACGTGTGATTACCATTCCATTGCAGGAGGTGCAGGAAATCCTCTTTCGAATTCGCCCTCGATCCACCCAGGAGCAAGGAACATTATGTCTTGTCATAGATCAGCTCTGGAACATGGGTGTGCTACATGACGGGAGAAAGTATGAGGACTCGACCCATCCAGCTCTTCTTGTCAGTATGGTGAAGAACCGCCACTGTGGGGACGTACTCCTCGGCCTGTGTCTCGAACGCGGGGATAAAGAAACACCGAAGGTGACGACGGAACTTCTGGAAGCCACATTACAGAATGACGATTGTGGTGCCAGGGTATTAGAAGTCTTGATTCAGCGACGAGATGAGAGAATAAGTTTCACAGGTCAGATTATGCAGACTGTGGCAGAACAATCGAGGTCCAATCCGTCTCTAGCGTGCCTCATTCTGAAAAATCAAGACCGCATTGTTTGTCTGAAGCCGGAGCATGCAGAGACTTTCGCTCGGACAGCTGACAGTGAACTCTTGAAACTGGTTCTTCGAGTTTATGGAGAGCAGATCATGATGGAACGCAACGTCTTACTTGCCGCGATTAGCAACCCCAGTGCCAGGGATGTGGTTCGCGGCCTCTTGTCTGGTAGAGAACTGAGTGCCAATACCCAGCAGAGCATTCTTTCTGCTGCAGCTGCGGTAGAGAGATGGGAGTACCTTGAATTGATTAATTTTCTGTTGGATGAATGGGGCCCGCGGTTCAACATTGGCTACCAAACCATGGTTGCCGCCGTCTCGAATCGTCTGCTAGGGCTCGCCATTCTCGAGACGTTGCTCGCTCGACAACAGGCCGGGTTCATCGTCTCGGATGGAATTCTTGTCCATGCTGCTAAAAAGAATACGGAGCAGGTCCTACAGTTGCTTATGATTAATGGAGGCTCGACAATCCCGATCAGGGACGAGTTGGTGTTTGCCGCGGCAGGGAACGAACCCCGAGGGCTGTCGGTGCTCCTCTTCCTCTTCCCCCTCCTCGGCTCTGACTATGTCGTGTCGTCGGAGCTCCTCCAAACAGCAGCAGAGAACCCCAACAAGTACAAAAGCCCATGGGAGACCAGCAAAGAGTTTCAGGCTGTCTTGAAATATTTCACCGGCACCACTGTGCCCGACAGCGTCTTTCTAGCCATGCACGATCAGGTGGACCATATGAAGGTTCTTTTGGACTGGTCGAACAATAAAGCCCCGACCAAGGAAATCTTTCTAGCAATCTGCGATAACGGCGATCTCGGGGCGTTCTACACTCTGCTGCTACTCCTTGATCGGGGCCTTTTGGCGGTCGATGAGTGGTTTGTGGAAACTTCGGCCTGCACCCCAGGCCTCTTGTGGCACATCCTCGGCCATGTTCCTCGGGTCCCGATCACTGATAGAGTGATTAACTCCGTGAGGGACGAGAGGTCTCTACGATATATCGTTCAACATCTTGAGGAGAAAGATATCTGGACCGAGGAAATCATGGAAGCCATCATCAGTACAGCATCCGTGGAGACTGAAGCCCTTATCAATATCCTAGAACTTTACATCGGCAAGGCGCCCCTCACTGAGAGTATATTGCTTATTGCCGCGGAGCGCGATACACGCCTAGTCGAGTTTTTACAGCAGCCGAGAAATTGAATCAAGTAGTCGACTGCTATAGCGCCATAAGTGTACATATACCTACTCTCCGCATGTTTTATTACCTTGTCTCTGGACTGAATTTTTGGCATTGAAGCTTCCATTGTTGGGAGATTTCGGTACCGTACCTCAATACTACCTACCCCCCATTGTTCTACCCCGGATAGCCAGGTCTGGATCCGGACTTGCGTCAGCCCTACGCCCTTATGATCCTATACCCTCTGTCCTATCGATTTCAGCCGTGTGCAAATGATCAACAGCCTCAAAGGAAAAGATATCAGGCAACACCTTAACTATAAATAGCGTAAGCGGCCCCCAATGTTTCAGGGGCCCCGCGTTACGTCATACAGCCCCGCCTTATAAAAGCCACGCAATCCCGCAACAAACCCTGAATACCCCAACAAACATCGCAATTGACTCCTCACCATCACTACTATCTGGAGTTCTAACAATTTGTATCTACATCGCACAAATCCCATTCACCATGCCTGACTTCGGCCACAAGATTCTAAACAAGCTGGGTCTTCACGACCATCACGAACAACAGCAGCAACCCCCGCAGCAGCAACAGTATTACCCTCCGCAGCAGCAACACCCCGGTCAGCAGCAGTATGACCAGCAGCAATACGGCCAGTATAACCAGCAGCAGTACAGTCAGCAGCAACACGGCCAATATAACCAGCAGCAATACCAATACAACCAACAACAATATGGCCAGCAGCAGCAGCCAATGGGCTACCCAGGTCAAGGCCACGGCCACAGCCACCCCCGCCCCAACCGCCACGTCCACCACGACCAGCGCGCTCTCTCCAATGGCAACGGGGGCACCTACCCCCGTCTAGCCCGCCTCTCAGACGGCTCCCTCCTCTCCTCCTTCACCCGCTTCCCTGGAGACGGCTCACGCGTACTCGTTGTCGCCCGCAGCACTGACGGCCACAACTTCGAGGACATCGGTGAAGTCACCCGCGGTACGGGGGACACAGACAACCTCTTCCTCTTGGAGGTGGCCCCCTCTGTTGTGCTAGGGGCATTCCGAAATCACGACCACGACCCCTCCGGCCGTGTCACCCACTTCCGCATCACCGTCTGCCGCTCCCATGACGGCGGCCGCACCTGGCAGTTCGCCTCGCAGGCGGCCGAGAAGCCCGGTGCCGACGGGTTGGGTATTTGGGAGCCGTTCATGCGCATGGGCAGCGGTGGCGAGGTGCAGCTCACCTACTCGCAGGAGTTTGCCCAGAACAACCAGTGCACGATGCTGGTGACGTCGACCGACCAGGGCAGCACCTGGTCAGAACCCCGGTGCCTGCATGGGAAGGATGACAACCGACGTGACGGAATGAACGGCATCGCGCGGACCTTCGATGCCGACCTCGGAAAGGAGGTCCTGGTCATGGTGTTCGAGACGAACACCAAAGGCCCCATGCAGATTGAGGCCCTCATCTCGGACAACGATGGGGATAGTTGGGGCCGTCGGCATGTCGTGTATTCGCCCCATGACGGGCACAGGCATAACGCCGGCGCGCCGCAGATCGCCTCCTTTGCGGATGGGTCGCTGGCGGTCGTGTTCATGACCGACGAGGACCACGACAAGGTGGACTGGGTCAAGAATGCGTCGATCAAGGCGGTGTTTGCGCTGCCCCCGCGGGGAGGTGAGATCCATTGGGATCAGACCTCGACATCGATCTGTGCTGATTCGAGCCACTGGCCCGGTGTGTTCGCCCTGGATGGACACACGCTTCTGGCGACGTATGAGTGCAAGGGGCCCAAGGCGAGGGCTATTTCGCTGCAGTGAAATCTCTCGTGCTTAGTATTTTCCCCCGGTGATTCACTTCGGTTATCTTCTTTGGGAGACCATCATGGCTGGTCCATCGTGTCAATTTTGTGTTATGTGTGGGGATAGAGCAAATGTAGTGCATGATTTGACATAGTCATCTTGCAAAAATGTTTCATGAATACCATTGATGATTTCCAGGAGATGAAGTCTGGACTACCACTTCCCTGAATGTGAAGATTACATATGTGGTAGAGGCGCTGAATGCTATTCGATCCTCCAGTTCAGGGCGAATTTGACCTTGGATAAATCTACTTTGCTAAAGAAGAGCTCAACGCCCTGTTGAGCCGCCAGCAGGGGTGGTCTGGAGCCATCGTACTCTTCGCCTTTGCGCAGCCCAGCATGTCATTTTGCCTATTGGGTGACCTGAAAGGGTCCCAAACATCACAGTAGCCGAAAGTGATATTCGAGTAAGGACACTGAAGCGATTGAGCCCGGAAACAAGCGACGAAGCTGGCACACTAAGCCGACCTGAGACGAACCCCTCTCGTCATCAGCGAGTCATGGATGGCAGCCCGCCAGGATACCGGGTCAGGCACCGGATATGCAATTCCAAGGTTGGTGCAGGGTGTCAGATGTGCCCCTCAGCTGCCGATCATCACCAGTGGCAGAAGGAGCAGATCGTGGTTGCGCCCCGAAAGAGGCAAGATGATGATAAGCGAGGAGGGGGCGTGGCTCTTGGCGCGGAAACGGCTGACTAAGAACGGTCGGAAGACCTTGCCTCTTCGGGAGCAGAATTTTTAAGCTCGCCGAGCGGGAAAGCCCCCGCAAGGTTCCCGCCGCTTTTTCTCATTGGCGGAGTAGCGACAGCTGCGAGCGGAGAGCATCCATCAGGGCGGGGCGGACATTAGGTAATGAAAGACCTCGATTGGTCAGGAGGGAATTCTAGATGTAACCTGGCCCGGCGAGCAGAGATTGAATGCCCATGAGGCAATATTCGGGGTGGGCGAACGCCAGTGACTCAGAGGGCCACACCTGCCACTTTCTCAAAGCACGCCTTTTTGTTTTGTTTATCTCTCCATTCCCTCACTTCAATTCGCCTGGCTGGGAAAAGCTAGTAGCTGCCAGCTATCATACCTGTACCTTAATTCTTCTTCGTGTGTTCGGGGTGTTCGGTGGATTGAATTCCTCTCTCGGACGATCCCGCCTTGCCGCTTTCGGAAAATTTCTGCACTCTTCCCCAGTTCATCCGGGTTTTCTTTCATCCTTAATTCCTTCTCACCTCGGCTGTGTCGGAGAGCTTGAACTTTGAAGAGAGGAGAGAGTTGAGACTTGCTCCCCTCCCCTCCCTTCCCCCTTCCGTCTCCCCCTCGTACATCATTCTAGGATGTCGCAACCCATGAGCATGGCCGTGGACGGCCATGGTGCTGCTGAATTGGATCATGCGCCCCAGTATGATGTCGCCCTGCACGACAAGGAAAAGCAGGAGGATCGCAAGGGCAGTCCCATCTATCAGGACACCTTTGGTGATGAGGAGTATGCCGAGGTCAAGTACAAGGTCCTCAGCTGGTGGTATGTTCGCCATTCTCTCTTCTGTGGTTCCAATTCCAGTGTAATCCAGCTGACTGACTGCTCATAGGCAATGTGGTTTCCGTAAGTCCCGCCTACTGCCTTGATGATCCGCTTGATACTAATTTGATAGTCATGGTGGCCGAAACCGTGTCCTTAGGCATCCTCTCGCTACCCGCCGTCGTGGGTGTCTTGGGTCTCGTCCCGTATGTATCATTGCTCCGTAATGTCCTAAACAACAGACTGACTGGCCTAGTGCCATCATCCTTCTGCTGGGATTGGGTCTCTTAGCCACCTACACAGGCTATACCATCGGCCAGTTCAGATGGGCCTACCCGCATATCCAGAACATGGCCGATGCCGGCGAGGTTCTTTTCGGTAGTTTCGGTCGTGAGTTCTTCGGCACCGGCCAACTGCTCCTCGTTGTCTTCATCATGGCCAGCCATATCTTGACCTTCACTGTGGCCATGAACACGATCACCGAGCACGGCACGTGCACGATCGTGTTTGGTGTTGTCGGCGTGGTCATCTCTTTCTTCTTGGCCCTGCCCCGAACCTCAGCCAATGTCTCCTACCTGTCGGTGGCGTGTAAGTGTTCGACTATCATATCGATTATCATGTTCTGACCCTCGGACAGCATTCATCAGCGTCTTCTCGGCTGTCATGATCGTCATGATTGCTGTCGGTATCCAGCGTCCATACAAGGGCGCGCTCGAAGTCACAGTGGACACTAGTCTGTACAAGGCTTTCCTGGCCGTGTGCAACATTGTCTTCTCTTTCTGTGCGTCTCCCACCTGATGCCTTCTGGACCCTTGCTCACAATGCAATAGCCGGCCATGTGGCTTTCTTCGGTTTCATGTCCGAACTCAAGGATCCGCGCGATTATCCCAAGTCCCTGTGTCTGCTGCAGGGGATCGATACGGTTCTCTACATCGTTACCGCCGTGGTGATCTACGTCTTTGCCGGACCCAACGTGACCTCCCCGGCGCTCGGCTCAGCCGGCCCAATGATTGCTAAGATTTCCTACGGCATCGCTCTGCCGACAGTGCGTCGCAACCGCTCATGAAGACTGTTTAGCTGAAGCTAATTTGAGTTAGATTATCATCGGCGGAGTGGTTAACGGCCATGTCGCCTGCAAATTCGTGTACGTGCGAATCTTCCGCAACAGCGACCGCATGCACAGCCGCGATCTGGTGGCCACCGGCTCCTGGGTGGTCCTCATGCTGGTCCTGTGGATCGTGGCATGGATTATCGCCGAGGCCATTCCTGTCTTCAACGATCTCCTGAGTTTGATTGTAGGTTCACACCTTTTAAAGGTCGACAGGTTCCTCGCTAACTGATTTCTCCAGGCCTCCCTTTTCGCCAGTTGGTTTACTTGTAAGCATACCTACCCCACCCTTAACCCCACAAAACCAATACTAACCAACCCATAGTTGGCTTCAGCGGCATGTTCTGGCTGTACCTCAATAAAGACCGACTATTCTCCTCCCCGAGAAAGATCGCCTTGACCATCCTCAACGCGTTGATCGTGGGTATCGCCGCTTGTGTTGTAAGTGCTGCTTGACTCTTCCTCTCGGCTTGTACGTTAATTATGATTCATAGTGTGGTCTTGGGCTATATGTCTCGGGACGTTCTTTACACGAAGACGCCAATAGCTCGAGTTTCTCCTGTGCGAATAATGCATGAGTGGGCCGGAGTTGTGTATTTTTGGTTTGGCTGCTGCATATACTTGCATGATTTTGTATAATACTTTGTTGGACAGATGTCACTGGTATAGTGGTGCATCTGTGACTATAGATATTGCGTTGAACTTTGTCGATACTATCAATTTTGCACTTTCCGGTTGTCGATGAGATCATCGCCTCCCGAATTCGACGCCGTCTGCGCCAAGCCTACTTCCGCTATGGTCCGATCCGGCCTGGGTGGGAAGGCGGATCACGTGGTCACAGGACTGACTGACAGAGCGAGGCATGGCCTGTACCGCACGTTGTCACACCTGTGACTATACGTACCAAGCTTCTCGGACCTGTACAGGCGCTAAAGACTGACATAGCCGATCTGCAGCTTCCTCATTGGTTCTGCCCACGGCCGTGACAATGACAGTTCTCCAGATTTTTAAAGCGGTGAACTGAAATAGATCTACTCAGTTCGGATCATTTCCTGGCAATTGAGTCAAAAGGGCGTGAAGGTATAACTTAACTGATTTCGAACACTACGGTACAAGGACACAATTAACCATATAAGCCAATTGTCTCTATTCAAAATACAACGGCCTCAAAAAAGGAAACCAAACGCCTCGACGCACAAATCTTTCCGCATTCTACGCAGTGTAGAGCCAATCAGACCTTGGTGATAGAACAGAACCAGACTTATCAAACCTGTTCGGCATCATCAAGAGTATTTCTGGCACCTTGGTCAATTTGCATGTTTGATTTCGTCACTCTCGCCCATTCATTTATATCACGTAGGAACCGACGGGCTGTTCCAATTTGAATACCTCGTTAAATAAAGAATCCAGCATCTGGGCCTTCGAGAAATAGTCCAAGGTCGAGGTGGGTTTCCAACGTCACCTGGCACACTTTTCGGAAGTCTGCTTTGTTGCAGTATTCCCTTACTGCCGCTTCCCGAGGCCGAAGAATCATGAGAGGCTCGTCGGATGTACGTCTGGGCAGGGATGGAGTACTGTAGGTTGAACTTTCGACTGTCTTGCCTTGCCACCGGGGGCGTTAATGCAGGGTTCTTTACCCTAGATTTGTTCGTATCGTCGTATCCCACATGTCGGTTCTTCCCAGAGCCAGCATGTGATGCTTGTTGAGAGTCATTTCTCTGCATGACGCTCGTTTCCGTGGTACAATAAATTGCAATATGTAGTGGTCTGCAATGGTCTTCCGTGGGACCATCCTATATGGGTACTGAGACTGGAAGTTGGGAGAGTCCTAGCTCAAAGGAGTCCTCGCAGTCACAACAGTAGAATCTTCCGCCTTGAACCAGTGTCGGGTTTTCTTTCATCACTCTTCTAGAGAGTTACCTCCCATTCAGTCAATGGTGGATGGTAAAGTATTTGAGCACCCACATAAAGAAGAAGGGAAGAGTGCTTTTCTGCCAAATATTCAGAATGCATGACCCAAGGCTAGGAACAGCTAAAGTTGCATTTTGATTCGTTGTTTCCATACTAAGATGGCACACCAGAGGTGAATCATTACATATCAACTCAGTCTAGACCTCGATCTCATTAAATTATATTTTGTACTGATATTTCAGCATGCCTAGCCTAGATCAATGCTCTTGCCGTGATCCTGGAATAGCTCACCGCGCATCGGTGTTGAGATGAAAAAGTCCGATTCATTCATCATCATAAATCTGGCGGATTTGCTTGCGCATGCACAGGCCTTCCGCTCGTTCGTGGGTCGAGTCCCATCCAGTACCACTTCGAGCACATTCTTTGGATAATTGGGGATACACAACCTTGTGAGTGAACCCAAGATTCCCTCTTTCGCCAGACGTCAAGCCAAGTCCGACGAAATCAGCGCCTTGAAGCTCCAAAGTCCTGAAAGTTTGCTGCCAGTCTTTAGGAAAATCCATTTCTCGTAAGCCATAGAAGTACTCGTTTGAGCAGCCATCGACTCGCAGCTCCGCTCGGAGATATTCCGTCAAATAATACTCCACTAGGTCGATTCCCATGACTCGCTGATTTCGTAAGACGTACACTGTGAACTGAATTCTGCAGCGGTTTACCGTCGGTCACCAAGTTGTGAACACGATAGGGTAGGCAGAGATGAGGATCAACTTGGGCAGCTGCTGTTGGCTGATTGTGGACTCGATATTCATCGGCGCCTAGAAGGGGCTCAGAGACTGGGAGTGGCACTCCAGTCTGAAGCTGTACCTGCTGATGTAGAGGACAGTGCCGTGGAGGGTACGGGGGCATGTTGATAATACGTTGGGTGGGTGAAGGCCCTAGTATATACCGCTGAAGCCCGTCTACCTTTACTGAGTCAAGGCTCGAGGGAGTTAATAAGGCTGTAGAAGATTTTTCTTCTTGACAAGTTGATGGATTTTGTAGTTTGGCAAGCTGGCCAGGGGCAATATCATTAGTGCCCGTTGTCAGCACCTCTGGGAAGGCCGCAGTCATTTGACTTGCGTAGACATTTGTTTCATCCCGATTAGGAATAACCTCCATCCCCAGTGGTTCTTGCCAAATGAATGTGCAGCGTGATGCTCCAGGCCCATTGTCATGAAAAGCGCATAGGTTTCCTATATTAATCCCTCCAGTGCCCGAGACGCGGTTCTCGTCACTAGCAAAAGCCAGAATGCACTTTGAAAGCAGCAGACGGCATGTGTGGTTAGAATTAATACGCACAATAGGAGTGCAGTGTCGATGTGACTGAGAACAGATATCCGTGAGTGAGCTGGAAACGAACAATTTCGCTGTCGTGTATACCGAGGACGCCGTTTTTTATCATGGATGTCGTGCAGGTGTTTCCAAACCTCGTTCCTTCCTAGCGACTGACGGACTTCGATGAAGACGGCGAAGCAAGAATCATACGCTTTATCGCAAAAGCGAATTGAATTCGCCGGCTGTTAGGTGCAGAGAATATCTGGATTGACACCGTAGGTTGTGACTATGTTTGACCGAAGAACAGGCCCCTAGACTCCTGTGGCTTGGAGATATCAAGGCTGTATACGAGCTGACTAGGCTCCCATTTTTGTACGATGCAACGTGGCTCTGAGCGCGAAATTGGTGTGCAGCCCGGTTGAGCTTCCTTTTCTTCGCCCTCGGATCAGCCAGAGAGGCATGAATGTTGGTGAATACGTGAATACTTTCTTGTGGTAGACATACAAAATGTTCTAGGTTGCATTTCTGGGTCACGCGAAAATGGGTTTAATCCCACTATGTTACCAACCAAACTTTCAGTGGGGTGGTGTGGACCGCTTTGATAGATATTGACAATTGTGTTTTATCCACTAATTCCACTGCAGCTAGGTTCTTTATACATGATCATGATAGAAGTGCCCACACTTACCGACTACATTATGTAGATGCATTAAACAATATGTAGATCGAAGTTTTGAGCTGGCCGCCGGATTTGCCTGATCTAAATCCGATATTTTGATGCGAGCTACACGTATGACTCAAAACTTTCCAGCAACGCAGCTTGACAAGATACCAGTGTCTGTCCAGACACCATTCGCATATGTGGGAGTCAAGGAAAGAGCATAGTCAGTTGCGAAAGATCCAGCTGCCCATCCGATCCACCCCAAATAAACATCGGAATTATCACTATTTGCTCAGAAAAGTAGCGTTAGATACGCCAGAGACCGGCGGTCGTTTTGAATCACCGATTGGGACTTACTTCATCCAGTCTAACTCAGCACATAGATCTGTGTAGCAAGAAGAAGTACTTCCGCCACCAGTTTCAGTCAGAAAGCTGGTTCATATCTTGTTAGCACAGATGTTAAATAACCTCGAAGAGTCCTTTGTATGTGGGACGTACGCTTGGCGTCCATTGCTACGCAACCAAGTCGCTAGCGTTCCGAGGTTACTGACCCCATTGGTAGTGCACGTAGTACTGGTACCGCTTCCGTCCGAGTCCAAATACTGATGCACGTCAAAGATAAGGTTTGTAGTACTTCCGTCGGGGTTTTTCACGGCGCTAAGAGCTGAAGCAGATCCGTCCGAGATGAAGCCACCAACGGATGTATAGCTAGTACCCGGAAGCAGAATTATCTGGGACGTTGCACCCGCATTGCGGATCGACGTGACGGCTTCTTGGACGCTGGTTGCCCATGATATGACGTCAAGGTCGTGAGGCTGTGAAATTGGGAGGTTAGAGCCACGACTGGCTGTGGTTTCTGCTGTCTGCGCACCTCATTCATCACTCCAAATATAACCTTAGATTTCGACGCATAATTTGCTGCCCTAGCCTAACGTCAGGGAAGCTTTCAAACGGAAAGTAGATCTCTTACAGCTGCCACCACACGCTAGCAAGTTGGTCACTAGTCACCGCACCGCTCGACTGCCCCACGATTTGATTATTCCAACGGGCATAGTTGTGAATATCAATGACACAATATGCTCCTGTGTCCAAGCAGGCTTGAACAAGCTCGTTGTAGATGCCGAAATTGGTCGCATCTAAACTTCCACCGAGGTTGTTGTTGACCAAGTACTGCCAGCAGACTGGAAGACGATAGACATTGAGACCATATTCGTTGGTGAAATGACTCATCTGCCCTGCTCCATCAGCTCCTCCCTGGGACAGGAGGGGCGGCATCACCTCAGAAGCAGTGTATACCCCATTTGTATTTCCGCAGCCGAAATCGAATCCAGCTGTTTTAGAGAGGACAATATTAGATATAGTCCCGACAGTGGACAAATCTGGGCAGACCTACCGATATTCACGCCAGCTATATCCAATATTCGTTAGACACACCTCAAGCGATCGCTAATCAAAAGGGTTAAACCTACCTAACCAGACATTTGCCTTGGCCACCTGGGTTAGGATTGTAATTGCAAGCGACTTCACAAGCATGGTAGTTATGACCGGCAGCGTTTGCTTCTGGTTCAATAGAATGCCAATATGAGAATTGACAAGAATGTAATCAGAATTCTCTCAATTGAATGCCCACTTTATATAGCTGGGATGTTGAAATTCTAAATGAACACATGATTCAAAGAGAAAGCAAACATTAGCACTTTAGCATTTCATGACAGGGCCCCGATCTACCCCGGAGACACTCTCCGTGCCGTGTTGAACTAGGACCCTCTTCCAGGTCCTTGTTCCGATATTAGCCCGAGGAAGAGACAGTTTGAGAACGTTCCCGGGAGGATTTGTCCCACAATTCCTGCGGCTGACCATTCCCAGCTTGCCCCAGGTCCAGAAGAGAGCGTCCCTTTTGCGGGGACACCACAGGTTGTGCCAAGTTTCCCCGCGTGAAGTCAGTTTGACTACGCACAATAGAATCAACACCGCTTGTTTCAGGCTTGCCGATTAGGCCGTGGTAATATTACCCTTCTCTAATGTGCATATCGAAGGGGCAGCGTCTGCGAGAGCAGAGGAAGATCTATTTTGTCGGCAATTCGGAGACCCGCGCATCTCGCTGGCTACTCATCCCAACCCTGCTTGATTTTGTTTGCTTGTCGCTCACCCCCTGTCCATTTTAGACAAGTCTATGTCCATTTCCGCTATTGTTTTAGCGCAGAGTCTATCCTATGTGGGCCAACGAGTCCGTCTCCTTTCCATCCAACAGGCGGCTCCATCCGTGAAGACTACTAGACCTTCCCCGACTGTCACATTCTTCTCGTTATCTGTAATGTGGTAATGGGCTCATGTTTCTATTGATTCGGTGTTTCGGGCCGATCAAAGCGATATGAAGGTGAAATTCAATTTGAACAGTATATCTTCAAGAGAGATAAAGTAAGCGCGGGGAGATCCACTACCGGGGCTCGGCGTCTCGGCATTCCGAATCTCCGGTAAAGTACCACCTCCTCAGCACGAGTTCCCGCTCAGCGGGACCCAAAAAAGTTTAACAGGACCTAAAAGATTTCGAACTAATCTTAGGTCCCGCTGAGTCCCACTAAGCTAGGTGCCTCCCTAACTGTCTCTTCTATGAGTGGCTCTGCCCTAAGTCAAGCATATGTCTTGCATCCTCCAGTCAGTGGTTTGCACTTCGCCATATTGCTCTTCTCGAGCTAAGCTTCACAAGCCCCCGTATTGTACCAAAGTGGCCCTGAAGCAATGGGGCCGATGTGTAGATGTGAATCTAAAACAACACATTATTTAAATTGGGAATAGAAACTAGAAGATGACAGGTAAGTCTTTTACGTTGTATGTTGTACAGGAGTTTCGATTTCAGGACCCAGCTTCCAGTGCTCAGTAAGTAGCCCATACTCATTGTGCTATATGTAAACGATACCTATGTTTTCTCTTGTATCGAGGGAAAGAGAACAACATAGTCTACTAGCATAGTTATGTCTTCCTTTTTTTTCATATCCGGCATAGTATGTTGATATCTGCCTGCCAGCAACAGCAAAAAGTCCAATTAAGCTATTGAACATGGCCCTGGAAATTTTAATTGTTGACTATTTGTTATCTATCTACTCACGTCTGTCTCTCGTAGCATAACTGTTGTTGAAAGCTAAAGTGTAAGGACAGTTTGAATCTAGCAACAAAAGCAAGCCTTTCGGGGGTACTGTGAGGTAATATCATATACTCTTTTAGTCCTATGAAGCGAAGAAAATTCATCAGAAGTTCATCGCTTCTTGGGACTTATTTTGCTATGCCGATAAATATTAAAACAAAGGTCGCGCCTTTTAAATCATAGGTCTGAATGATGCGATGGGATGTTTGGCTCCCCGTGGGAAAAGGTGCTAGGCATAGTGCGAGACCAAACCGTCTTCGTTCACCGAGCTAGATGATATAAGAAGAAAATAACTAAATTCTTCTCTTCACCTCAAATATCTGCAAGAATAAGCGGTGTAGCGCAAAGCCAACGATTGCTTTGGACTTTGACACATCGTAGATTGGTAAAATGATGCATAACTGATTGAGATCAACAGGACTTTTGACTTCTCTAGATTGTGGTGGGATGGAGACGCGTCTACGCGGGCGGCTTTTGACGGGCGAATTGTGGTGAGACCTACAAAAGATTGTTTGTCTAGCGAGACTCGCCCGGCAGGGGCTGCAATATTTTAACAAGCCGAGAAGCTTAGCGCGCTTTTGATGAATTTCAAGGAGGCTTACGAGCCTCGCGTAGCAACAATCTCGTCTATATTCCATAATGGACATTGCCATGCCGCCCAAACCATCTCCAAGACGGGCATGCCATAAATGCCGCCGACGCAAGATCAAATGCTCCCACCAGCTGCCATGTACACAATGCCAAACGTTGCTGCTATCTTGCTCCTATAGCAGTGGGCTGCGCCGTAGAGGCCGGAAGCTCCAGATTTCTCATCCTCTGGCTGCCACCTATCCACGTTCATCGCAAGGTTGCGCCCTTACGATGCTAATGTACCCCGAGTCATCTGACGGCGTTGAAATCCCGACTTGCCATATGGATGCATTGCCCGCATTTTTATCGGCAAGGTCGGATTTTGCTCCTCTTGGTTTCTCCAATACGTGGTCGCAGCTGAGTATTTGCCCCAACTCAAGCGGTTCTGCTATGAATTTCGTGAATGACTATACACTTTCGTCCACACGGCGTCTTTTGCAGCAAATCATACTGGCTCACATCAATGTCTACCTGAATACTTATATCAGATCATGCCCGTGGTATGCGGTGAGCAATTGCACCCGCAACTCCGCCAATCTGAGAGATCCCCTCCACGACGATATGCCTTTCTTGTGCGGCAACTCATATTCAATTAAAATAAGACGTTAAATCTAAACATCGGAAGCGGTATAACTATTTCCCATATGAGTCAACACAATCGCCCATCCGTCGTATAACATGCAACTCCCCTAACCCGAATGCTGTTCTATCCTGTTCTATCCCGTGCTCTCAATTCTATTTAGTAATTGCTTCTCCAAGTAACTATGGAAACCCAAATGACTATTTTGGGTGTCTTCTCAGACTGCTTGGATAAACTTCTCATGAAAATTGGAAGGGGCCCCAAGCGAACCAGTGTCAACACTAGCTGGATTATTGATACCAAGACGCGTGTAGTCCCCTGGCTTGGTAGATCCATTGGGAATCCAGAATCGCTTGTCAATGCGATTGAATGTCAATATACCGAGAGTGATGATCTCAAAGGTAAAGTTGAAGACATAGAAACAAGCCTTGGAATCATACCAGGGGGCATTGGTAGCAATATCGGGCGGGCTCCATATCGCCCCAGTTTTGAATCCTGCAATCATCATACAGAAACACGCAGAAATCATCACGGTAAGCACCCGAGTCCGCGAACTTCCCTCTCCAAACTTCTCCTCGTCTTGTGACTTCGGCAGTAAGAGTGCTGTGGCAATGTGCAGTGCCGGCTGACAGTTGAAAACAAGAAGGTAGGTGAGACCTGCAAGCTGGGCATCCCGACATTGCTGTTGGACATGTTTATCCATAGTATAAGCCGAGATAACCACAGCCGTGATAACCATAATTAAGGCGCCTCCAACCAATACATAGAGGATCTTGAAAGTTGTGCGCAAGATTGGACTCCACCCGATTTGCGGTTGCTTCGCTCGGAGGATGCGTTGGGCGAGAATGAGATTTATGATGTAGAGTATGAGCACGCCTGCATTGACGAAAACCTGGGCGGCTATCGCGAGGGAAACGTTTGTTGGCCTCTGTGACCAAACGATGCGCAGGACAAGGGTTAGGAGTCTTGCCATGCAGAACCCGTACATTAAGGAATTGAAGATGAATTTGTGGCCCCTTCGACGGTTGACTTGGAAGATGCTCATGTTTGTGGCGGCGAAGCAAATGTACAATACGATAAAAACGGCGCAAGTTGGGACATCGGGGATAGTCGTTGGGAGGCCGCCCATTCCGGCCAGATTTGAGGCATATGGACCCCCTCGGGCTTGTAGAGAGTTTCCCATGGTTCCATAAGTGTAGGTGCCGATGTATGTGTAGTGCAGACGATGTCGTTGTAATGAATGTTGGCGACATGGATCGAGTGGGCTTCGTGAGACGCTAAACGAACGTGGAAGGATGTCTGTCTGTAGCAGTGAATGCAACGGTATACAGAACAGATGGAACAGATGGTCAGGTGCGTTGTTTGGTGTCGACTTTGAAGAATGGTTAGCCTTTTTTAAAAGCGAAGATTCTCGTCAGCCTAGCTGTCGTGGTGGCGGAATACGCATCAGTGGGGGTCTAGTTCAGTAGAAAGATGTTCGGTCTCGGTCGACAAAATTGTCCGCGGACCCGATTTCATGCACATGCCGAGCTCCACACCCAACCATTCCTATAGTGCCCTAAACTAGCCTTCAGATTTGCAAAGAATTATCGCGTTCATTTCGACTATCTTCCGATTACTGGCTTTCTGCTTACTTATTACCGCATTTCTGATTGGCTTATTGCATGAAACTAACAATAGGGTGGGTTTCACATACCAAAGTCTCCTGAGAGGCGGCCCAGCAACTAGAAACCGTGAATCAAGCAAAGTGCACAATATTTCACGGCTCTCTTTGATTAGTGCCGTGAGGAGAAACTTCACATTGTATATGATGAAGCCAAAGTAGGATAGAACTTTTACGTAGAATAGCAGGATGTATCGGATAACCTTGAGTTTCAATTCTATATAAGTACCTTGTGAATAGGAAGGGCTAACCTTCACCTACATAATTAGGGAACAAAAACAACATCCATGTGATACGGTACGATTTTTAGATATTATCTACTGTTTTTCTGTGAGTTCAACTCTATGCAACGGGCATACCTGACTTTGATTGATCACTCGGAAAGCGCATTTTTTTGGAGGCCGAAATGCTCGGACACGGACGAATTTTGGAAAATTGTCCGTGACCTCCACTACTGGGTACAAACTACGAGACAGAACATGCGGGACTTCAGACTCGGGTACGAAAAACATATAAATTCGGCTTACCCATAGCTACAAGCCCTCTCGTATTGTTACTACATATCCCAACTACCTCCTTTGATTCAAACTTTCCAATCACCTCGATTCAACTTCCAGAATGGCTCCTCTCACTTTCGCTCCCTCTGAATTCCAGCTGGAAATCAAGAGCAAATTCAAAGTCCAGGGCGGATGCAAAGACTTTGAAGCTGCTTTTGCCCGCCGATCCATGATGTTGATACGACGTCTGTTGGGCGATGAGCGCCTGACAGAGCTCCTCCAGGACGAAATCAGGGCCAGCGACGCCTACTGGAAGAAGACTTACGCCGAGTCCAATGGAAAGTGGCGCGCATCCCGCATCCAAGTCTCGCCCCGTGGAATCAGCATCAAAGACTTTCACTCCTGGTTCATGCAAGAGACCACTCCTGATGCGGAGAAGGTCGCATCTCACCCAGAGCACTGGGTTATCAGCACTCTCCCGGGTTCGACTGATATGTCCGTTCTAGAGACATTGGGCGACAAAGTCACACTCTTTAAGATGACCACCGTCGACGATGTTCCGGATTTCATTGATCAGGTTGCTGAGTATCCTATCAAGATGAAGTTCCGGGGGTTCACCGAGGGAAACGTCCATATGGCTGAGGTGTACCATCAATTCAAGGAGAATGCAGATGGACAGAGCTTCGATGCGGACTTGGCGGTGTATTTCCCAGCAGCTTGTGGGGATGATCTGATTGAGACTCATCGCCAGCACCTGCTTGTGGAATTTAACAATTGGTTCCAGCAAGCTTATCTGGCCAAACAGTCTTCCTAGGGCCTCATTATCTTTGAAACTCCCATGTAGACTACAATTTCATCATTGTTGAGCTGTTTTGTATCATGAAGCCAATACGGTTTCCAAGGTGAAACAGTCTTTGTTTTTGTCGATAATTTCTGTCAATGCAAATATCGATGCACGCTCCCATTAGATTTCTTGGGGGAATAATCATCATGGGTGGTTTTTAATTTGCATCTTGTTTCTTTTCCGACACGGCTATATTCTCAATTTTTGACGGTGTGAAAAACTGTAGGTTACAGCGCAATGGATTATTTGAGATCAGTGGACATTTTTGCCATACTCTGCATATTTCATTCTACATAGTATCAACCATCGAAGGGAAAGTTGTGGACCCCATTGTACCAAAGAGTAGTTTGATCAAACGTATCTTCCATGAGTGTATCCTGAAGGAAGTAGGCAGGGTCTTCTTCAATGAACCAGGAGAGGTCATCCCATTGCGGAAAGTCTTGCCTGCTTGAGGAAGCTGCATTCAAGCCAAGAGAGGGAGGGAGTGGCTGGTGACTGGTGGTCCTTGACGGCGGTCTGAAAGAAGTACGCGAGGGCTCAACTTTTTCCGTTGTGGGTGTCGGGGGCGTACGAACGTTGCGCTGAATATGTACTTTTCCCAAGAGAGGAACATCCAAAATCAATTTCCGCCCCTCGGTAACGTTTTCGTCCTCGTGTAGGAGATTAGTCAAGGAAGATAATGTATTCACCGCGCTTTCGGCAATTCGTGAGGTGGGGGTGTTATTGATTCTTTTGCGCATGATATCAATGACTTGTTGCACCTCCCTTTCGGTCTTTGCCTTGTCAACATGCAGGCTGAATTGTTGACTAATTTTCGATGTATGGGAGAGCAGAATAAGGATCACCGTGGCTGTGAATGTGTGCAACTCCATCATAGTGTAAAAGAAGAATCCAGGAGGTACAGCTTCAAGAAGGATAGCATTTCGCTGTATCACTGATTCGCATGACTTGAAACAGGCTAGCTGGGGGTTAGAAGGCTCCTCGCTTGAGGTTTGGCGCAATGCAAGCGGCATATAGGCCCTCAAAAGGACGTAGTAGTGAATGGCCTGAACTATATTATCGGGCTTGATGCGCTCTATTGGCTGGGTCCACCAAGACTCCGGAGTTTGAGACGCAAGTGACCTGAGCTCTTCAACCAATTCAAAAGTAGATTTTGAAAGTTGAGCAGTACCTTCGTGGGCCGTGTTCAATTCATCCAAAGCTTGAACCTTTCCAGCAATATTCACGAGTTTTGCAAAATACAAATGAGGCTGGACAACGCCGCCGACGGTCAATGCTTCGTCCTTGATATGTCTGTGCCAACGCGTATCTGGAGGAAGGTTAAGAACCATTCCTAGAAGCCTGTCTACAGCAGATATCGTTTCCCATAGCTGGGTCTTTTCAAGCAGCACTTCATCGTTTGTTGTGGGTATTCTATTGCGCTGGGAAGCTTGGAATGCCCTCGGCAGTCCCATTAACTCGGCGATCGCGCTAGCGTGTCGTAAACGAACCCATGCTTTCTGGAAATTGCCTTGAGGCAGTTGACTAATTTTGGCTAATGATTTAGCGAGTGCGGCAGCCAGTAATCGGACTATCACTTACAGCCGAGTCCAATGCATGCATAGCATAAGACCAGTTGTCGTGCCTAGCAGCCGGTCATGAGAAATGATCGTGCTCTCCACGGCGTCTGATATCGCTCGGGAGAGTTCGAATTGCTTCAGCCACTTTTCAGATTGCTCAGGTGTGGATGGGCCATCTCGTGGTGTTTGCTGAGCAGTGATTGCCAGTGTGAGCATCCATGAGGCGAGTGCCATAGTGTCCACATCCGGCTTTATCATTCTGTCATATTCACCCAGCGCGTCGGCTTTGGATTGAGCAATAAATGGCTGGGGGAGGAAAGCGTGGAGAACCTCGAGCCATTCAAATGCCGAATTATACATTTCGACCACTTCATGCTTTGGTGGAATCAATTTCTGAAGAGCCTCCCTCGCAGTATTCAGCAAATTCGAGGATGGTCTCTCCTTGCGCTCCTGCTGTTGCCCATCTTTCTGACGGCTATCCAAACTAAGCCAATTATTCTGAAAGAGCGACTGCAAATGCGATGGCCGCTCAGTTGCAAGAATATCCGACGTATTGGATTCGTCATCCATGGCTTGCATTTCAGGGCTCGGGTTGCTCAAAGCAATTTCCGAAGCCGATTCCACTTGAACACCCAATTTTGCTTCGATTCGATGCATCGCTTTAATCAAGCTAGATACCTGCGATTCGAGCTGAGATATCCGTTGTCGCGAAGTCACCCTCCGCGACGCAACTGGTCTGTATTCCTGAGGCGCACATTCTGAGCCCGTCTCTTCGCACCTCCGGCAAACCGAAGCATCTTCAGAGGCTCGAATGCAGCGAACTTTGCGACGTCTGCCTATTTCAGGTGTCGTGGAATGTAAGGTGGGTTCATTTGGGTTTTCTTGTGGTGGGGAGGTCACCACTCACATTCAATGCAGCTTTTTGTACCACTTCGGATTCTGTGAGCCTCGTTTCCCTGCATGACTGTCGTGATACCTTTTTACTGTGGCGCCAAATGTTAGGAGAAGTTAATTGGAGAAGTTGAAAGTTGTAGCTTGGGGCTCTCGGTCCGACCAGATCAGGATCCGAGGCCGAAGCATCACGTGGTTTAGTGCCAAGGCATACCTCGCCTCAATGATCGGCTCCAGCAGGCTTTCAGCTTGGAGAAGCAGCGTTGAAATGTTTCCCCTCTACCTGGGCTGGAGGTCGGCACGTATAGTTACTCGTAGAGATTTGAGATACTCGCAATTACATTCGTATTTCATAGAGCCTTTACGAGTATTCGTACTTGCAAGTCCAATAGTCGTACGAGTCTTACCCTGTCATCAAGACCAACTTCAAGCTTCCACCCAATAAGACAAACTGGATATTTATTGGGACACATTTCTCGCCATCATCCTTGGTTTCTCAAATTTATCTCATTGCTTCGATTCAACACATACACGCTATGTCAGATAATGCAAACGATCTACTCTGGACTTTCATAATCTACCTCCTCCATAAAACCCCATCGCTTTGGTCAGCGACATACGAATTGTTAAGAAACGGTGATCGGATACCTTTCTCTTTCACGACGGCTGCTGTAGGAGACACGGAATCTGGAGAGATGCCAATTGTGATCATATCAGCTCCCTCCCAGTTAGAATGGTGGTAATCGAATTCAACATAGAGGTCATATGCTATTCTTGTTAGCGTTACTTGCTTATCTATAGATCCACGAGACCGAGACAATACCGTCATCATCAAGTCCTTTTGGGTAGATAGATGCGATCAGCCTCTTAGAGCTTTTGACCAAGATATTGTTCCTGAAGTCATCGTTCCGTCTTGTGTAGAAATATCACCGCCAGAGTTATCATCCAACAGGATACTAGCGCCAATAGCCAGAGGAGGGGTCGAATGCTGGTCGCCTGTCAATTTCCTTATCTTGGGCCGAGACTTCCTTACTCGAGCTGTTTGGTCACGAGACGGCTTTAGATTGGATCTTGGCATTATTCCCTTTATTCTGTGCTTTTGAGAAGTGCCCTTCTTCTCAGGCAACGGGGCAGCGCAACCCAGGAATACGCCCAGAGAGACGCGGAGAGATGAGGCAAAATTGAAAGGGAAGAAGAAAAGCAAACTGGCCAGACTGCTTACCACGGGAATTCGTTCTCCGTTCGACCTAACGTCAAGTCTCACGGCGAAGACTCGCGGTCCTCTTTTTAAGTTCTCGTAAATAAGCTTTCTCTCTCTCACACTAGAACATGAAGGATTTGGTATTATTCCTTTGTATGTGCCCTGAAATGAACGTAGTGAGAGATAGGGACTTAAACAGCGTGCTTGTCCGTGGGCGATCGTTGATCTGACGCTCTTGCCCTGAAACGAGGAATGAGTGAAAGGATTACTACCCTGCGCGAGCTGCCCGCAAAGTTTGGCTTGCACTCGTACTGCAAAAGCCTTGGCCGTTCTCGTCGCTGATTCGTCAATTCGTCGCCAAGATATGTTCTGCTTGCCAGAAGTGCTAACATCCATTAGCAAACATTCGGCTTCTCCGGATGTTAATTTACGATTTAGTCTATGACGGAGCTATTATCAATGATCTTTTTATATTCTTTACTATAATCATTCTATATATATTAGCTTATTTTATAATCTTTTTATCTGGACCTTTACAGTGAGCTGAAGAAGTATAATAAGAAGTCTGATTATTTTTCTTATCAGCGGAATATCTTACCGTCTTCAGCTATTGATTATAGTTAGTTCTTGCAGATAGCTTAGAATTCCAGCATCTTCAGGCCCCCTTTAAAAACTACCACTCCTGCACCTCGCCAGTATACAGCACCACCTTCCCACCCACCCGCTCCTTCGTCCCAGTAGTCAACACCTCAACCATCCCCCCCACTGACTCCTCAACGCTCGTCGGCGCGGCCTCCATCCCCCACCCCTGCGCCGCCGCATTGCCCATATCCGTCTGCACCCAGCCCGGATCCAGCATGAAGGCGTTGAGCCAAGCGTCCTCAGCGTTGATGCGCACCCCGTACCAGTTCACCATCGACTTGGAGGCACCGTACACCGCGCTGGGGACGGGCGGTTGGCGTCTACACCACGGTCAGTCAATCCACCTTCCTAGCCCTCTGATAACAGAGAAGGGGGGTAACGTACCCCAAAGCTCCAGCCCCAGACCCCATGATCGCAAACACCGGCTTGGACGTGGGCGTGGATCTTTGCAGTAAGTCCCGCGTAGCCTGGTAGAGCGCCACCACGCTCAGGACGTTGGTCTCGACATGCTCGCGGATATCGGGGAGCTGGACGTCCTTGACGAGCGGGTAGGATTTGGCGATGCCTGCGTTGGCGACGACAATGTCGAGGTGGGTAATCCCATGTGTGCGCGTGAGGTCCTGTATGGCGGCTTGGGCGGAGGAGTCGAGGCTGGCGTCGTAGGGGGTTATGATGAGCTGGGTGGTTGGGTCCCGCGGGAGGAAGGGGAGGGCTTGGGCGGTGGGGTGGTTTGGGTTGCGGACTGCTGCGATGACTGTCTGGTTTGGGTGTAAGTGTGATGGTGCTGAGAGGGGGTGAGGATCAAGTGAGTGAAAGGGCAAGGACGAACGTGGTTGGGTTTCTGAAGGAAGAGCTTGAGGAGGCCCTGGCCGAGGCCGCGGTTGGCGCCGGTGATGAGGACGGCGGTTGTCATTATGGGTGGGTGGTTTTGAATATGGAGGTTTTTTCGGGAGGTAACAATCTAAGACTCGGGATGTATCTGCATTCGATTGAGTCTGGTGACTAGGCCGATAGCTCATGGAGATAGGAGAAAAGAGTAGGAAGAATGGGAGAAGAAGGATACTTATATACCTTAGAGCGAACGACTCACTGCGTTAGCAGTTGATGTAGTCCTTTTTCTGCGTATCGAGTCCAAGTAGTGACAGGAACAGGAGACTCTGGTATAGGGCAGTGCGCCGCATGGACTAGCTGACCAACAGGATGACTCGATCTTCGTGAATGTCGTACATATTGGTCTGATGATAAGCTCTAGATAACTCTGTAAGGATGTATTTCTAAGCAGCTTCGATTTATAAGCACCGAAACATTGCGATGAAGCCACTCCAGGAGACAAGCCTATGAAATCGTATATACTAGGCGATGTAACCAATCGGAACCCTACCTTTCTATGTGGTATCCACTTGGCTGGGCCACAAATCATGCACGGGCACTTGCTCTGGTCCCCTATAATCCATCCTGCGGCATCTCCTCCGGTGTTCCATCAGAAGCGTTATGCACGTTAAAACCACGACACCGTCGTCCCAAACTCGCAATAGTACGCAGTCCTGCCAGTTGCCCTACAAGTTTGTTAAAACCAGTTCGCCCTTGTATTCTGTTGGTTAACGGCCAAGAGGCACACTAGTTTGGACTTCGCAAAGATGGCCCGACGCGAGTTCGTCACAGGTCCTTGCGCAGGCTGCTACGTAAATCTCGTTGCACCTTCCCCTTCCTGTCCTTGATTGCTCTTCAGTCTCCTCAATTGTCAAGGAAGCATCTCACTACCTTACTCTCTACTCGCGGCAGCGAACAGCGGCCCTGGTCCGGTGTGCTTGTCCATGATGTCGGCCCCGCGAAGTCAATGCCTCCGTGAGCTCCCCTTTCTCATACTCATAAGACGAGAGTACGGATCGACCTCATAGCCAATCTTCTTCGGAACAGCCCGAGGGGGCATCTTTGCGTATAATCGATCTTCGCGACCGGTCGAGTCCTATCCTTCATTTTCCTGGTTACCGCTGCAGAGGTAAGGTATGAATCACTGCGATAACCGACTATAGAACCATATTTCGCCTTCTCAAGGAGATTTACTCTCGATTCTCTCCTTGTGGAGGCTCCGGCTGCGAATCAAAATCGTAGCCTGCGGAAGATTATAGGTATGCCTGCCGAGGGCTTCTCTCGAGAATGGATTTGACATGACAGAAGTGCACTGACTGACATCTTGACTGCGAGCAGAAAACAAGGGATTGGGATGATCCAGTTGTCAGTGAGCATCTTGAGGTGTAGTGTTGAGAATCTGGCCACGCGGGGACGGCGCTCACCTAGGGTTAACTGGAGTTTGCCCTTGACTACGGCAACCTAGGTTGAATTATGACCACACTGCAGCGTCCACACGACCTTTCAGTGACCGCATATGCGATCCGAGTCTGCAATTACGTGCCTCTGAGTGGGAGGGTTTCCAGGAATTATGATGGCAGAGATAACTCTTCATTTGACCCACATTACTCTGACTCCAGAACACAATTGGCCCGGTTGTCTAGCCTTGCTGCCTTAGTATCGAGTAGCAGGTTAACTACCACATAGAACGTCAGCACTAACTAGCTAGTATGAATATTAGTGACCTGCGACCTTCTTGCCAAACCCACTCAACCATCGCGTTACAATGCCCAAGCCCATCTGCCTGCAACACCAGTGTCAAACCCTGTTGACGCTAGATCACGCCACTTGATCTCAACCTTTCCGTCCTCCACCCTCGTCGTGCAAAGGCCGTTAGACGACATCGCCAATAAGATCTAATTCAGTCCTCTTCGTGGGTAGACATAAACACACTGCAACAGAGATGTCCCTTACAATGGAACCAGCACCTCGAACGCAGAACCTGACCGGGACAAGTTCACCGTGGGCCCACGCGTAAGAAAGGATTCTTGCGATGGTCCCGCAACGGGTGCCGAAGCTGCCGGTACGTACAGTACACGCACTATGCTACACGCTTCCTGGGTATAGATCTTGCTCAACGCTAAGCCTCATCAAACAGAGCCCGCCGGATCAAGTGCGATGAAACGCTGGGGACGTGCGACAACCGCACGCGGACCGAACGGCAGTGCGAATATGATCTGCACCGGATTCCCGAGCGCGCGCGCGTCGGCAGCGCCGTTGCGCCGGCGGCCCAGATCTCGCTGCCGTGGAAAATGACCTCGGACGAGCGACGGTGCCTGTCGCTCTTTCAGCACAGCTCGGTGCCCCATCCGCCCTGCACCACTGCCAGCACCGCCTCCTCGCCTACTTCACCCGCTACCTCCACCTCTTCCACGAGTTCTGCCACCGCACCCTCCAACCCACGCACCAAATCAACCACGAAAAACTCACCCGCGAAGCCCACATCATGCGCCTGTCCTGCCTCTACTCCCTCCCCGCCATCAAGATCGCCCTCTTCAGCAAGGAGCGCCCGCTGCCGCCCCGCCTCCTCCCGGACTTCCTCGCCGTCCTCACCGCCGCCGAGGCGGCCATCGCCCGCTTTCCGGTGACCGCGACAAACACCGCGGGACGCTCCGCCATCACCGCCCGCCCGACCGTCCCCGCCCTGTGCGTCGCCACCATGCGCTGTCCGGACTTCGGGCTGCGGTGTCGCGGCATCGCCGCCCTGCGGGCGTGGGACGCCCAGGAGGCGTTTATGGGCGCCGCGTTCAATGCAGATCTGATCGAGGAGGTCACAAAGGTGGAGTTGTTGGTCCGGTCTCGTGTCGGGGAGGAGGAGTTGGGTGTTCGAGGGGGTGAGGTTTGAGATGGGGAAGGCAGGAAGACGGGTGGGGACGGCAGGAGCGGACTCCGCCCCGCCGCGGCGCGGATCGGGTACCGCGGGAGCGACGGGGTGGAGCGCGCGCATTGGGTCATGTGGGTGCGCAACGAGGCGCTGGCGGCGGAGCTGCGCGCTTTCGAGGGGTCGGCGGAGTGGCCGTGTGTGCGGTATCTGCAGCTGCTGGATCATTCGTAGTTTTTTTTGGGGGAGGGGAGGAGTTGTGTCCTGGGGTGCAACAGCATCTCTCGCCATGATATCATGCATGGGTAGAGAAAAGTTTGAGATAGTTGGACGGCAAGACTTAGGTTGGTGGCCCCGTGTGCTTTAAACATATTTACCGTGGCGAAACCGTTGACCGCTGGGTGGATTGTAAACTCTTCTTCTGTTCAACGCTAGACTGTGGTATTACAAGTATTTTTATAAAGATGGTCACAGTGAACCAGTGACACACTGAGGATATCGAGACACGAACTAGCTATATCACAGGGAAGCCGGTCCCGGACCCCTCCCCGCTCTCTCGAAGATATAACTCCCGAAACGCCCCGACTCCAATCCCATCCTCCGGTTCGCACTGAAACAACTCCTGCGGTGCCCCGTCCTCGACAATCTCCCCGTCCCGCATGACGACGACCCGATCGAAACCGTACTCGATCACGGCCCGGATCCGGTGCGTGACCATGATGACTGTCCGGCCGGCAAATGCGGTCTGGATGATCGATTGCATCTGGGCTTCTGTCTCTTCATCGACGCTGTGGGTTATGTGGAGTCAGTTCGGTTGCCAACTTTCCATGATTCCCCCAAAGTGCGAGATATTCCAAATCCAAGGAGAGAGGAAGAGAGTGTCACTACTAACCTACTCGTCGGCTCATCGAGGACCACTACCCGCCCCGGGCGCAGGCTGGCCCGCGCCAGGCAGAGCAGCTGCTTCTGACCGGGAGTCATGGTGTTCTCGTCGATGACGGTGTCCAACCCGAGAGTCGGGTTGAGGAGATGACCGAGGCCCACGGTGGACAACGCTTCCATAACCACCGTGTCGTCACCGTGTGCATCGAATGGATCAAGGTTGCGCCGGAAACTAGAGCCCTCCAGGATGAAGGAATCCTGGGGCACCCCAACGATGGCTGTACGGAGGAAGGTCCGGTCGATGGTCGAGATGTCCCTGCCGTCAATGAAGATCCCCCCTTCGGTGAGGTCGGATATACTGAAAATGGCGGTGATGAGAGAGGTTTTGCCACTGTATCAGATATCAGTTCAGTTTTCAGGTCAACTCATTCTGTCCTTGTGAGGCGACACGTGGTTTATTATCACCGTGACTCGGGGACTTGAGGGTGGCAAACCTTGCTGTGCGGCCACAGATGGCCAATTTCTGGCCAGCGGGAATTGATAGTGATACATTTCGCACGGCAGGGGTCGATTGAGCACTAGCAAATCTCGTGGTTTAGACCCAGCGCCGTTAGTCTTTGAACGGTAGCAGGGAAATGGAGGACAGGAGAAGACTGAGGACAGGATAACACTCACCCATAGGCGACGGATACCTTCCGGAAATTAACAGAGCCTTCGACCGGCCAGTTTTGCGGTAAATGTTCTGACGACTCATGCGAAGGACGCACAAGGATTTCGGAAGGGGTCCGTTCCACAAACGACTTGATCCGCGCGACCGCCCCCAACGAGGTTTCCAGGGACGCCCAGTAGGTGGTCAGAAGCTTGACGGAGGTGCCAAAGGCGATAATGTTGACGAGGGCCAAGCCCATCGCCGCCGGGGAGATCTTTCCCAGGCTGGTGACGCCGACCCCCATGACCACCACGACGAACCCGGCCAGGCTGAGATCTAGCACCAAAGCGAGCCACATTTGCACGGCGTACAGCAGGTAAAACGGCTTCTGCGCTTCCACCAACAGCCCATGGCACCGTTGCCTGTACCTGTTCGACCAGTCAAACGCGCGGATCGTCTCGAGCCCCTGGATGGTCTCCAGCAGCAGCGACAGCAGGGGAGCGCGGGCTTCGAGGTCCAGGATCCGGAGCTGGCGCGAAGTGCGCGTGTAGAACCTCTGCACCACGTAGAAGACCACGAGGCAGGCGGGCAGCGCGGCGGCCGCGTAGTGAACCTGGATGGCGATGACAATCATCTGCGCGATGCACATGAGCAGAGCTTGCGGGGTCATCCGTTAGAACCGTTGTCTCTTCCCCGGCGCAGCGCTCTGCCTCTCGGCGTGAGGATTACTTACTAAGAGAGAACAGCATAAGGAACTCGGGCACTTGAAAATCAATGAGTTCAAGGTCCTGACTGAACCTGCGCCATGGTGAGTATTCGAATCAGCCTGAGCTACGCAGTCATTAACCTGGAAAGGGGGAAGTCGCGGACCGGTTCAATGTTCCACCTGCCTCCAAAGACGAGAGATATGAAAACGGGGCACTAAGGTCTTTAGGTCAGTAATGCCTTCCGAGTGCAGGCCAGAATCACAATGCAAGTTGCGTACTTCAGCACAGTCTGGAGAAGATCTCGATGGAGAGCTACCATGGTTCGGGGAGCCACCAGGCTCCAGAGGCACCTTGCATACTGTCAGCACGTTCGTCCTTTCCCCGAATGAGGAGACATATGCATACCACGGAGTCAAGAGAAAGAAGCCGGCGACTAGAGCCCCAAGGAGCCAATAGACCCCAACTCGCATGTTGAGGTTGCGGTTGGGTTCTCGGTCGTTATCCTCGGCCCACCATTTGACCCAGACAGCTGCATTGCACCACCACATCAGCCAGCTATGACGAGGAAGAGGGGTTCAGGCCTTACACATAAAAGTATGCAGCGCGACTAGCGCAGCCAGCGAGCCATAAACCAACAGCCAGGCGGCCGACGGCGCGGTGGCGAGGTAGTACCGATAGATAGAAATGTCCGCCAAATCCCGGTCAGCCGCCGGCTTTTCCTGCACTGGGGTTTTCTCCTCGTCGGCCTGCGCTGGAGAGGCGACCCCAGAGAGTTCTGCCGCAGCTACCAGAGTCACAGAGGATGCGTTATCATGCGAGATGGTGGGATCGGACGAGACACGTGGCGTCGAGCTTGTCACCGATCCATCCGCACCTACTGTAAGCACCTGATCGGCGAATGCAAGCCAGCGAGCTGTGATCTCAAGGAAACAAAGTTAGGAAGGCAAGTCAACACAGCTGTCACAGTATGGTTTATGTGGGCTAAGAGCTGCGGGTATAGAGAAATGAGAAGCATACGTGAACTGGATGCCACAACGACAGTCACCCCGGCGGTTCTGAGCAAGCCATGGGGCCCCAACACTCGGTGGAAGATGTGCTCCTCTGTGGCCGGGTCCAAACCACTCATTACATCGTCGAGGAGCACAAGATCGGCTTGGCAGAAGATCGCTCGTGCCAGAGCCTGGGGAGACGAATTCCATCCGGCGTGTGTTAGCTTAGGCTTGGTGGAAGAAAGGTGGGGCCATACCAATCGCTGTTGCTGACCCCCACTGAGACCTATCCCTTGTCCGCCAACAACCGTGAGATCTCCTTCTGGCAGACTGGCCAGGTCCTTATGCAGGTCGCAAGCGTCTAGAACAGTAGCATACCAAGCCTGCAAGGAACGTACGCCACTTCCCGGGCCGCGGATATTTTCTTGGATGGTGCCGGACACGATCCATGGTGACTGAGCGCAGTAGGCGACACTGCGTGCTGCCACGGTTAGCTTTCCACTGACCTTGGGAATCTCACCGAGCATTGCGCGGAGGAGCATAGACTTCCCGCCTCCAACAGGCCCATTCACCATCACGAGTGTTCCACGGTTGAGCACAAATGAAAGGTCTTGTAAGATCGGCGCCCCATCCTTCCAGGCTAGGGAGACATCCTCTGCAACAACATGCCCGGAACGACTGGCTTTGGACAAGATCACATCCTGAAATAACATGAGCCCGTACGCTTCTGGAAAACACCGACCCTCCGCACGGGGTGGCTGCAACACAAACTCTCGGATGCCGTCGATGCACCCCAACGCCGTGGAGAGCTCCGTCAGTGACTGCAGAAAACCGACGAACGAGGAAGCCAGAATGGTCAGAAACGCGAGGGCAGTGAAGGCTCGTGCGCTGTCGAGCGTCTCGATCCATTCTTTCTGGCGCGCAATCAAATTGTACATCGAAAGTGCCACGACTGGCGTGACAAAGGTATTCGCGTGGACTAGACGATTTAGTTGGATGGGATTGGGTGGAAGAGTGTCATACAGACCTAGCAATGTAATAACGGTGAGAAGCATCCGATACCCGCGAGAGCACCGCACTTCGTCGTCTCGAAAGGAGGTCATCTGGTCGAACAATATTCGCCCCATTCCTGACATCTTGATAGGTTTCATCGCTTTGAGCATCGCAGCCGTGGCCCCGACCCGAGTCTTAATAGCCTTTAACCACAGAGTCTGCCTTTGGACTAGATAGCCTACTGCACCGGCAACGGAAACCCCGCAGACTTTCCCAGGTCGTTAATCCGGTGATCTAGATAAGGCTTTCGCAAATATAGATACGCACCGAGAGAGATGATTGCAGGCGCCAAGTCTGCTATACGCAGCGGATCCGACAGTAGCCAAACGATGAGGATGACTTCGGTCAAGCAACCCCATGTATCTTGGATCATTTGCATGCCGGTCGTGATCCGCTCAGTGTGTGTGGTGATCATTGTCGTTACTGTTGCGACATCATGCGGCTGCAGTTGCAATTCGAAGACCTTATCGTATAGGATGGCCATGAGGATGCCTCGCAACTTGCTCGCGAGGCGGTTTGAATGGTGTCGTGCTCGTGTAGTAGCCACCTGTTGCGCGAGATCGTATCAACTTCCATGGTGAACCATAAAGGAGGCAGGAGGGACAGGCCTCACGTACCCCGATGCCGACGAAGGCCAGCGCGAACGCCGCCGTAAGCAACATTCCTTTCTTGTAGTTGGTCGTCGAGTCCGGCATGGCAAAGAGGATGATGGCCTGCTTGATCAAGTAGGGCTGCGACAGCAGAAACCCTCCCTGAGCCAGTCGAGGAATGGCACCCCGGAGGAGTTCCCATTTCAACACCTGGAACAGAGGTAACGATGTGTGATACCATTTGCCGTGTTCTCTACCTGGTAACAGCCATGTCAGAGGCCATTATTCTTTCAATTAGTGCGGAGATCCTTACACCGTGCCCATCCTTGAACTAGTCGCGCCTGATCCGTTTCGTCGGCGCAGATAGAGCCATCGATCCTTAATAGGTCGCGCATCAGCAGCGTTCCCTTACACCCTTGCAGAAGCAGCGGGTTGAGCCACCAGAACAGACTCCGACTAATGGCGCCCGCCCCCATTTCCAGAGAATCCGGGCGGTAATGAGGTAGACTTCTGTGCGTTTTCTCCATGGACTCTAGAATGACTAGGGCAAAGATCACCACCAAAGTCGCGATGTGGATTGACGCTAGAGAGTGGAGGCCCGAGACGGAGAGCAGTGTTCGTGCCCGGGGAATCCCCAACAGCCAAAGGACCAGGTAATGAAGAACGAGACATGTGGAAGGACGGAGCAATCGGAAGTGCTCCAAGTGAGAGAGGTAAAACGCTGTGATCGCGGCGACGAGGGATGCGACCGAGGCTGGAAGGGAGAGACTGGTCTTCGGAGTCGATGGGAGAGTCCAGATGACTAGTGAGACAAGTTGTAGGAGGATATGAGTAACGTGGAAGACCTGGCCACGAGATGTAAAATCAGCTAGTATTCGTCGCACGACGAGGTCTGAATCTGTCGCCTACTATTTTGACCCAATTGTTCAAAGATGCGCGGACTTTGGAAGGACGGCTTCGAAGAAAGGCCACACGGCACACCCCGACGAGGATGCTCAGCACTGCAGGCGCCAGCAACAGCACCGCATCCTCAAAGAGCAAGGTGAAGTCGACATCATCCCCACATCCATCCACCACGGGTCCGAAGTGGTTCTCCACACTGATCGGGCATGTCTTGGAAGCCATATCCCGCGCTGCCAGAGACATGCTGTCGCGCAGAAGAGGCTCATTCGAGTGCCGCGCGGAGTTTCAGGCCACGGCCCTTCTTTTACCAAAAAGACCCTTTATTGTTCTATCCACTCTCAGGAATTCAAGCCACGCGCGCCGTTCTCTCTGGCATTCCAAGAGACTTGCCCCTGATCCGCTCGCGGAATGACAGGAATGCTTGGCTAGACCTACTCGTTACTTGCAGCCCCATTTCTGCTCTCAATACTCCCTGCATATCTGACACTTTCCGGTTACGTATCTGTCTAGTCCCAATAGTGTCTATGACAGCTGGAGGAAACTCACATCGACGTGTCTTGAACCTGGGTGATAAGTTAATTGCACGGTTGAGCCATTCGGTGCCTCACGTGGCGGGTACGTGTCGAAAATCATGCCTGTGCGCTGGAGGCTTCCTACTTTCGCTTCCTCCTCTCTCTGTCTGGTTTCTGAATACTTGCAAACCGGTCAATAATCCTCAATCACTTGCTCCATCGGGAGTAAGAGCTGTTCCGCGTCCGCAGATCTTTAATGCGAGAAAACCCATTACATCTCCACGACGGCTCATAAGTGACATCTCACCCCAACTACGCAACTCCTTGTGTGAGGTTCGACCCGACAAAATGCCCTGACGAGAGTCTATGCGGGAGTTGGCGGGGCTGTCTATGGAGAAGGCGAGGTCGGGTTGCTTGGCGCGGTTGCGACATAATTCGAGGTAGATAGAGTCTTGGCTTTTTGCTGCTTGAGTGTGTGGATTTTGTGTTCGTTTATCTAGGATTGCAAGTGTATTTGGACAGGTAGTAAGACGGCCCACGGGGGTTTCTCAGCTGTAAGGACTCTCGCGGGGAGGTTTTCGGTGGGATTTTCGGACTCCCGATATATATCCTGTAGTTACTAGTACACAGGTTCATCCACCACACTTCTCTCCTTTGTGAGGTGCCGGACTTATCACTTACTGCCTGTTATCAAACCAATCAATGAGCTCACCTAAGCACCTTTGGAAAAATTATTCTTAGAATATTTGTAGCCCAGCGAGGCAGCGGGGCACCGCTATCCGCCGGGAAACCACAAGTTTTTGAGAACGGTAGAAAGGAAGAACCGGATTGTAGAAAATTGTCTTCACGTTGGTTTTAGTTGTTGTCTATATGTTAATAAAATACTACGCTCTTCAACAAGTCAGCCCGGCTAGCTCAATCGGCAGAGCGTGAGACTCTTAATCTCAAGGTTGCGGGTTCAACCCCCGCGTTGGGCTTTACTTTTTCTTTTGCATTTTTCAATCCTCTTTTTGCCTGCGGGTTTTGTGATTGGTTCTACGCTCAATTAAATATGATTCATTGACCGGTGTTCCCATGATCAAGGATTACTCGGGTGAAACACACTTCCCTCCCTTGTTCAAGGCCCGCTAGAGGACAATTCATGGAAGCCAATTTGGCGCGAGTATCAGTACGGCAAGATGACATATACCAAAATACTATCGCGCCACTGATCAGTCCAAGATGTGGATACGTTCAATATCGTACAACATTCTGGACGAATACCCTATTCTCTCCAATGTGAACCGAGCCTACTCAACTTGCCGGCATGTGATTCCCCCACGAACCCGTTCCCCC